CTCAAGATCAAGATCAATCATTTAGTATACTCTACTATTAGTTACGAATTGCATCATTGCCATTACTTAAGTCCCTGCTTGACGCCTAGTTATAAACCACCTCGAGAGCCTAGAGCACTTCCACGTGATCTAGACGGCAAACCTCGTAACAGATAGCCGTCGTAACATATAAGAGGGAAATAAAAAAAAGAATTGATTAGATTTATTATAATATATTATTTAAAAAGTAAAATGGGTTTTATAATAATTCTGGGGTAAAAATTATATATATTCAAAAGTATATATATAAAATGTTGAAATTAAGGTCATTATGGGCCTAGAATTGAGGTCATATGACCATTATGGTGCACGGACCATAATTGGGAATATCTTCAATTCTACCATTACTGTAACTTAGATCCTCAGTTTAACCTACATCTAATAATACTACTACTTCCAAACAACTCAGATTCAACATAAAAGATTGATTATTTAAAAGAAAGAGTAATAAAGTCTTTTTTTTATATTTAATTATTAAAGGTTATATAATTAACTAACTAGGAAACCTCTATGTATATAATCTACAATTTTAATTTTCTCACAATAGTAGGTGATGATAATAATATAGTCTTTGAATTGTGGAACAACGATTTCAGGATAAAAGATAACACTTGTGTAGTATTAAACTTGACGTTGCCAACAAAAGAAATAATTGAATACTAGTAAGCTCTACTGAATCAACAATTGCAAGCACTGCGTCTAATTTCTGATGCTCTTCCTCAATACGATATCTATAGCCAATCGCAGATGTCTTTCCTGGCTATTGATTTTCTCCAATGGATCACATGGAATGTTCATTAGCGGCATTTACCAATGTCAATATCAGAAAACATAAGATACTATATAGTTGTTTATTAGTAGATAATATTTATTTCAATACACGGCATAAGTGTTTGTGTTTGCATTGCAAGTAGCATAGTTACTCAAGCCACATGTTCACCTCTCCTCGCATTGACTTTCAATAAAAGGCATATTTAGTAATATCTTGAAGAACCAACTTGGAGCTAATGCTCCACTCGAAAATTCGATATGAAGAGAGTTGTGGGTGAAAAGCTTCCAACGAGGTAACTACTTGGTTATCTGGGAAATTACATTGACTACACATTACAGTATGAATGATAGTTATAGTTAACAATGGTGCATAAACAATAGCAATAATCGTTATATAAATATACAGTAATCGGCCATCAAAAATAAAAACTGAATCAAGAGAACTTTCACAAGTTTGAATAACTATTCTTCCGAGAGCCTTCAACAAGCTACAGGCCAAACAACTATGTCCGAGCTCACGTTTTGCAGAAATCTGAGTGGAGAAAGAGATGGATGATCAAGAACACGAGACTTTTGGTTTTGTAACCTGTGCTGAGAGAAACTATCAGTACTGCGGTCTGAACCTACATCACAGATCCAGTGACGATCGTGAAGCTACCCCTTTTTGAACATTGACATCAAAGTCGGCAAGGTAGAGCGAGAAGTAGATTGCAGTTTGAACTAATAAGACGGGATAACATGGAGATACAGAGTCCCTTTTTTCTTTGAGCAACTTCAGTGTGAAATGGTGTGTGACACCGATAGATTATGGTAACAATATGTTGCATTGCCCTGGGCGTCGGCATCCTAATACTTTAGAGATTGTGATATCCACACTAGTAGATCTCTGATCCCCAGATTATCAAATGTGACATGATCGTCGATGGGCGATTTCATGTTACACATGATTGGGATGTTTCGGACATTGACAGGTGTGAATGCGGCGATCTAGAGCAAATGGGATCATTTCCTCCCACCCGGACCAAACATTGAATGGCCCAAGAACCCGACAAGTTCATAAGAAGCTTAAGTTTTCAAGCCTTCACCCCCAAAATAAGAGGGAAAAAAGCAGGAAAGAGCATCGATGATCTGATTTCTAGTTTAACATCGGCTCTAAGGCAAATGTTACCGGTACAGAAGTCCTGAATATATTTTTGCCCAACCCCTCTTATATCTACCACCAGATAAGACATTTTGCCCAAACAAGATCACACGCAATTAAACCTATAAAGGAAAGCGGTGAGATAAATTTGTGGATTTTTCCACGCGTGTATTCTGTGGAGATTCCTATAACATTTGTAACATTTATCTCGATTCGGTTGTTTTTGAGTTTTTGAATGAAAGTGCCGACCGGGTAAACTCCATCCGCCAGATAAATTGAGGGAGATTCAGATGGATAAATCCCGGAGGTGGCAGTTCGAGGCTTTTTGTTTTGATGCTTGCTTTAATGTTACCAACGAATAATATAACACAACACAGCACAACACACAAAAAGTAATGTCAATGCATGAAAGAGTATTCCTTTTTGTAAGGGCTTCTTGAGTTATATACCTAGTATATACATATATACATATATATACCTAGTACTTTATACTACACTTGAAGAAATGGTATGAGGTGACGATGAAGTGATATTTGGATACCTCTCATTCTCACTCTCACTCTCAAGCGCTCTCAATCAGTCTCATTCTCATTCTCATTCTCACTCTCCATTTCATCCTCCCTTATGAATCCCTTTTCTTCAACAATTCTCCAGCACAGCCACGCTTTTATGCGTGTGATAGCATATGGATAGTAGACTTGAGATGTCCACCACACAAAGGCGACTTCAAACAACAAGACCCAGGAATATAATGGTCAGATATTGAATATACTTAAGATCGTATCTCTCAAACTAACCTGGATCCTCTATCTATCTGCTTAATAATCGTTTTGTATCTACCTATGCCAAAGCAGAGTTGACGCGTACGAATACCGGTTGCGACTTGGGAGGATCGAAGTTAAATAAGACGCGCCAAATAGAGGCGGCTATTCATAACTCAGTTCAATTCAATCAATTCAATTGCTCATTTCAATTGAATGGCCAAACCTTTTCAACCCTTTTGACAATTTCATATCTCATTATGTCGACTGCTGCGGTGAGTGATAAAAGCTTCATTCCTTTACAGTTACAGGTCGACTTTCCATGAAGTGTGGATGCAGGATAATAAGTCAAATGCCAAGCCTTCCAGAAAGCTTAAATATCAATTGATATCTTTAGCTACGTTTCTTGGGACGAAGTCCTTCAGTCCCTAGAACTCATCAATAACTTGCAAGGTCTTCAAATCTTAGTCTAATACTATGTCTCAGGAGAAAGCAAATCTTGCGCGCATTCGAGATAATCAAAGACGGTCCCGCGCCCGGAGGAAAGAGTACCTTCAAGAACTCGAGGCACGATTGCGTCAATGCGAACTTCAGGGTATTGAAGCTTCTTCCGAGATTCAAATGGCGGCAAGAAGAGTAGCAGATGAGAACAAAAAGTTACGAAGTCTACTGGCACAGCAAGGAGTGGGAAGTGATATAGTGGAGTCCTATCTACAAATGAGTTCTGAAGATCTGATGATATCGGGGCAATATGCGAGTGAAAGTACTTCAGTGCAACAGTTGGAGCACCTACTTCAGGCGCGAAAGGCTTGCTGTTCAGATGGAAACAGTCATCCGAGCGCAACAACGATGGGTCAAACAGTCCAGAGTCGAGAGAGTTCTTGTAGTGGCAATACCGTGCACTCATTATGGGATCCAGTTCAAACCTCAGGTAGCTTAAGTCTAGGGCAAACACAACCATCGATTATCAAGGGAGTTTCAACAGCACAACAATTCATGGGTCCACGAAGAAGCAGCGCAACAAGTCGACATGGCAGTATTAGTCAGAATTCCAGTACTGTCAGAACAGTTCACAACCAACAACAACAGCAAAGATTCAACATGACACCACTAGCATTACCAAATACACAACATGGAGTATCATCCAGTCTCTCCATTCAAACCCCTTCAGTCTACGATTTTGACCCTCAATATCTCTCCAACCAATCCTACCATACCCTATCTCCACAGACCCCTCACATGCATCCCCACTTACAATCTCACACGAACCCTCATTCCAATTCAAATCCCAATACCCGTTCATCCATCTCATCTCATCAAACCTCACCACCAATATCAACAACATACACCACCGCCATGACCACCGATAATAACGTACCCAACATGAATAGTTGCGTTTTCGCCACCGACATGATCACCACCATGGCGGGTGGCGATCCAGCAGTCGTGCGTGCAGAATTGGGCTGTATGCCAGACATGGATTGTAATGTGGATAATCAGTTAGTGTTCCATGTCATGGATCGATATTCGGGTAATGGAGTAGGTTTATGACAATTTCGAGATGAAACGAATTCAGTATTTAATGTAATTCTTATTTGTTCAGATGCAGATTCAGATTCAGATACCCCTTACTTTACCACGAATCTCAAGGATAGCGATGATTCGAATAATACAAAAGTTTTTTACTTCTTTCGGCTTTTGATGAGATTTTTATGGTGTATGCATACTTCTCACCTACCTACTTACATTGAAAGTTTAGTGAATCAATCCAAGTCAATATCTCTTGTGTAACCTTGACAGGTATGCAATGTTCGAATAACATTTATTAGCACCCAGAACTTCCAAAATCCATTAGTTAAAAGATTCGACACATCCGCACCACCTATTCCCATTTTCATCTCCATGATAACCTCACCTCAACCTAACCTAATTTCCTTCGACCTTCTTTTGGATGTTCCTTTCCCTTCCCTTTCTTTCGCTTTGCCTTTGTTTACTACTCTAACCAAACAAGTGCTCCATTTAAAATCCTACCATTCCCTCACCACACCTTCCCACTACCGGTATAACCCACCACCCAACATTCCTCAGCAAGACACTAACCTCTTCCGTCCACATATACCTACCAATGCAACAACACATCCAATGCATCCATTTTCCGTATCCTTTTGTTTTTTCAGAAGAAAAAAAATTAAAACAATCCTCAAACCCTTTCATCAAAGACGGATATGGACTCCCTCTCGACGAGCAAAGAAAAGAACCATGCAGCAGAGAAAACCATCTCAACCCCAAACATTTCTCCTTTCTCTCCTAAATTTTTTCTTCTCACAAAGGATTCTTTGTCCATCTTCTATATTCTGCACAAGAAACCTCTATCTCGTTTCTTGTTTCTCGTCTCCAATATTGGGTTTTTGTAATGCTCGAGTGTGCTGTACTGTATTCATCATTCTATTCTTCATCTCGAAGCTCGTTCTGTGGTATTTGGATAGCGTGTGTTATAATTGCATACACGCAAGTAAGGAGGTAATTGAGCAAGAAACGAATCAAGCAAAAAAGCAAGCAAGCAAGTAATCAAGTGATTAAACCATTCTACTCAAATCACTCATATCCATATCTTCAAACTCCATACCTCATAACCGCAAAACCAACAAAATGGCACTATCACTCGCCGCCCCATTCAAATCTCCCCTCCCCGTCGTCGACCCCCGCAATAAACCCACCCTCAACGTCTACCAAAACAAATACACCACCTACGATTTCACCCCCTTCCTCGGTTCCCCCGCCGTTCTCCACCGCATGCGAGTAAACCGCCAACAAATCCCCCTCCTCTCCCCCATCCCCTCCACACGAATCCCCTCCCCCCTAGCCGAAAACCTGCACCCCTCCGTCGTAAAAGACGTGCGAGATTTTCTCCTGGGGACCGGTAAATACACCAGTTCCTACCAACGCCAGTATTCCGGCAACGGCGCCGAAGTATGGGCGAGCTGGAAACGCGCTTGGGATATTTGGAATAATCACTACATCGACGGACGCGTGAATGAAGTATGGGTTGCGCGCGCCTACAAACAATGGGAAGCGTATATAGCGCAACAGAGCAGGAAGGGAAAAGCGCCATTCGAGGGACCATCAGGACGAAATCCCCTGCGTAGAAAGAAGGTCGAGATAGGGAAACCGTATCGCACAGAGAGTAAGGCGTTGGAGCAATTCGAAGTGAGTATCGACGAGGTAGCGCAGGGAAGGAAAGAATTCAAGCAGCGCGCTATCGACGAGTTAAAGGCATCGTTTAAGAGAAACCGCGATTTGGGTCATGGATATATTGAATTTTGCGAAGCGCTTGCCGAATGGACGAGACGCGAATGGAATCGTCCGGAGTGGAGTCTGTATAAAGATCACAAGAATAAGGCTGCGGAATATTTACCCTTGACTATGGAATATGTACACCAGGAACTATATGGGGATACCAAAGAACGCGTCATCGAGCTCCTCGGTACGGAATTCTGGCAGAAGGAGCCCAAGCTCGAGGCTCATCCGGGAACTATCGAATACGCCATCGCTGTTGCCAACTGGGAACAACAAGCCGAAGTGATCCGATGCAGATACACCGAACGACCCAACTGGCTATCGATGTACGAGCCCACCGAAAAACTAGAGGACAAATACATCGAATCCGCGAAGAAACGTACAAGTCCCGCCGTAATCGACGAATTCCGACTCCGCATGAATGTGAATCGGAAACTGGGGGTTGGATATATAGAGCTCTCGTGGCAAGAGGCCCATTATAATATCAATGCGAAAGCGCACGATGGGAATTTGGATTCCACGATTCAGGAGTTTGAGAAACCCGATCCGAAGGATTATATTGATAAGGCGAGGCCGGGGAAAGAGGATGAGAGTGCGGCGCCGGTGGAGGCGATTGATCGTGAGCGTGGTGAGGAGGAGGAGGAGCAGGATGATGAGGATATCAATCATAATGATCTTGCTAGGCCATTGCCCATCGAAGAGAATGGGTCTAGTGGGGGGTTTTTTGCCATGAGGGATTTTCTTGAATATGCGGTTCCGGATGAAGATGATGCGAGTTTTCAGGAATATTATGATCCTATTGAGAATAGTATTTGGCGACCAATACAAGTTGATGAACAGATACTAAAGATTGATATGGACGAAGAACCCGATTCATTTTTAATGAATTCTCAATTTGAGATTGATGGTGGTGTGGATTGTGGAAGAAGTCCTTATCCTGTATGTTTTCATTTCCTTTTCATGAAATATGAAAGCCATTTACTAATACGATCAATGTAGCTTCTCCGGCCTCTATACAGATACGCACAAAGCCACGTTGGGGCACATAAAGACTCAAACCCCAAAGATCACCTACCGCTACAACCCCAAGGATCCCTATTGAAGCTCAAAAAGTATTGGGATAACGTCACAGGCACAGTTTTCAACATCCCTACCAAGAACATATTTGCACAAACTCTTGACAAATTTGAAGATCCCAAGCATAGAGAATCCTTCAATAATAACGAGAACTATCAAAACCTTGACATATTTCCCTTGGATATCCGACGATGCGAAAAAATCACATCCCCGTTCAAACCCGGGAAAATACCCAAAAAGTCAGCTGACTTTAGAGAGACTGATACTATTATCCAACCATCCTTTAGGATGAAGGAAAAAGAATATAGGTCCATGCGATTTGATGATCCTTGGTGGGTTGAACCGGAACAGAAATATTATCGAGACATGCCACCTCGAAACTATCCACCCAAATTTGATGAAACACAATCGCATCTCCCCAAGGATGTCAAACTTTGGAAAGAAGAAGTGGAGAAAGATTCTGATTTGAAGAAACGATATTTCGTCGCTAATTTGGACGGAAGACTTTTGACAATCAACGGAGTTGAAGTCGGAAAAGGCGAAATTGCAGGTCCACTACCAGAATTTGCAATCATACAAACTGAGGGAGGCGGAGTGTCTTTCTGGCATGGAGTAGGTGGTAGATTCTACTTACAGCCAGCTGGTGCTAGAATGAAGGATTGGTCTCGACAGTGGAGTCAGTTGAGACAAGTCTTGAATGATGAATATTTCGGCGTTGCATCTGGATATTTCTGGCAGAACGAAATCGTGGGTAAAATCACGGAAGATGATGAGGGAGAAGGGGAGCAAGACGTTAAATGGATAAAATGGAAAAGTGCAAAACCAGCCAGAAACCCAGATGGAGCAGATCCGCGCGCCGTCAAAATTCATTCCGGTTTTCTCGATTCTAATGCTCATGCTCACTTGAGCGATAACGAAGACTGGGGAGCCCCTGGACCTTTACCATTCGAGAGCCCAGAAGCCGAGCTCAAATGGGCAGCAGCACAACTTCATTTTCAGGAAATGTTTATCGACGAACCATGGCTCAAGGCCAAAATGATTGAGCCAACCAAAGATACAGCGTGGGGAGGGCTGCAAGAAGACTATCAAGATCCTTCTGATGGTCCTACAGATGAGGCTAGGGATGCATGGTGGACATCCAATGCAGACCAAACTCAAAAGACTCAAGTAAAATCTGGTCAAACATTTGATGAAAGACTACGGGAAGAATTTGATGCCGACCAAGCCAAGGTTGAGGCCATAAGTTTGAAGCGAAAGGCTAATAATGATGGCTACTTCTTACCTGACGCCAAACGATTTCGAGAAAACATAGAAGAGAGAGAAAAACAGAAGATAGAGCAGATTGAAGAAAAGGAAGTGGAGCAGTTGAATATGGGCATAAAAGAATTAGTTGATCAAATCAATCAGGGGGCTAAAGATCTCACAGAGAAAGCAGAACCCAGTGCACTAGTGAAGCAAGAAGATCTGTGGAATCCAGCTTCTAGCGCTGATGCCGAGTCACAAACAAAAGAAGCGCTGCAAAGAGTTCGAGAGCTGGAGCGGGTAAGACTAATATACAATGAACGTAGAAAGGGTGCGAATGAGAGCGCGATCCCACCTTTCAAAGACCCTATCGCAGGTTTAGCCCCTACGACTGTCTTGACGTTACCGGAGAACCAATGGGCATTAGAAGCAATAGTAAGAAACAGGGAAGCATCCCGTTTGGACCAAGAAGTCCAGGAAACAGGGGCTTTGAATAATCTGAACGCCTCTGCAAGATTGAAACGAAAACGTATTGCGGAACAACGAGATCGAGGTTCACTTGGGTTTACAGTCATGACAGATGCGCAATTGAAAGAGCAAGAAAGACAATTGGTCGTTAAGGCAAAAGAACAAAAAGAACAAGAGGATTTCCAGAAAATCATAACATTGACCAATGCGTACAAGTCAAAGACCACACAAGTCAAGAAAGATGAAAAACATGTCGCAGCTGTGAAAGATGGAATTCAAGCTGGCGACATAGTAAAGGCCAAAGCAGCGATAAAAAAAGGTCAGAAAGAACTTGAAGACGTCGAATTGGAAATAGCCAAACAACTTTCTGTGACAACTATGGCTGCAGCTCAAGGTATTAGTATGGACGAGCTAGTCGCATACTCAAAGACTACCCCTGAATTTAATCCTACAGACCCTGGAAATTGGATCAGCAAAGTATCGCGCATTAAAAGAGAAGGAGAAATAATTGAAGCAGCCAACGTGGCAGCTGAGTCAATGAAAATATCGGTAGATACTTGGTACAAGAGAGAACAAGGAGTCTCTAATGCCAAAGAATACCTCGAAAAGCTTGCGAAGAACGTGTTTCCGAAATTTGAATGGACTGCCAGCCTTGCGAAAGCTAAAGCGGATTTTGTTGCGAGTATTCTCCGCACTGTTTCCGGCCATGATCAGACGAGAGCAGGCAAATTTAGCAGTTGGGAAGAAGTTATTTCAAGCATGCCCGTCGCTGCTGATTGGAATACTGTGGTGAATGCCCCGCCGGATACAGAGCCCGTGGCATCAGGATTGACGCTAAGGGTCCTCTCAGTTAGCATATATGATGGTACTTCAAAATATACCGGTCAGTTGTGAGTTGTGTTGAATATATCGATGTCTAGGTATTGTCATTCGCCAGGGACTTTTTTCTGGATATTTGCGTCATGCAAATTGCTGATACGATGATGGTGTTGGGGCTGAGATTCTCCCTTTGGTTGTTCTTCGAAGATCTTGGTTTAAATGAAAAATTAGAAGTCGAAAGTATTTGCAAGTACGCAAATTGATTGAGGGGATTTTCATTTCACCGTGGTTTTTATGGAGATTAGGTAGTGTGTTATTGATAATATAAAGTTAGTGATAGTGTAATATTTTATTTATTTCAAGCATGAGAATTATTTCCAATACATTGAATGAATATACAAAATGGACTTGAATCGTTGATGATATCTTTGCAGCATGATATTTTCAACATCTTAACATGGTGGTATTCGCTTAAGCTGAGCACGAAAGGGGATGTCGCGTGTGTAATAGCTCCTTCCTTCCTAGCTGCATGGTCTATTTGATCTGATGATTTATTTAAACGCTGTAAGTAACAGAAGATTATTTTTCACAGCATTGCCATGGTAGGTTAGCAAACCATCACAATTCAATCATAGATGCATATCTCTATAATTCGAGTTAATTGTAAATGCTTATTAGATCTTACCTTGCAGACCCGTTGTCTCGGTACGGCCGAAGTCTGACTAATAGGATATTTGATAGGTATGAATTCGGGAGTTGAAATTGTTCTGAAACAAATAGAAACTGAAGCATTTTCGGTCTGATCCATTATTTCATTTCTTGGATCCACATTATAAGTCTTACATGAGCGTTTCACCGAGGCCTGCATACATGGATTTGAAAGTTCCATACGCACCCAAATGTTTTGTTAGCCCACCAGGGGCCATCTTTGACGCAAGAGTTCATAAACTCGATATCAGATCATAATGTACATTGAGTGGCACAGTATGTACAACCGCATAATATATACAACCCTACCGCATAAATTCCTGTGTAAGAGATGACCAAGAGCCATGTACCCGGACCGAAAGAATAAATATACCGGTAGACTTCATTGTAATGACTTTGCGCTTCCGTCGAAGGGCAATGACAATTTAGTCTATCACCAGAAGTATCTAGTACTATTCTCCGGTGCATGACTGTCGGGCATCTCTTGCTCTGTATTCCCGCGATATTTGTATCCAATTCCTACCTTCTCTATTCAAATCGGTCCAAAAGGATATCCTTCGCTACGGTGGTTTGGAGCCTTTCTCATCAACACTCGACTTGAACCCCAAGATACCCCCCAGAACACCCCCAGGTTTCGGCACCGGGCACTCGCGCTTTGCTTTCCTCCTCCCTTCTATTTCCTCCCCATCATCTGATTCCCCACTACCACCCATTTCCTCCCGTACCTTCTCATTGAAATCCTTATATCCACTTACTCCCTCCCTTTCTCCTCGCTGAACCTTCAATACCCTCTGATCCTGTGCTTGTCCTTGACCCTGCTCCCCCACCTCATCAACAGGACATTTCCGCCTTCTCCTCCTCGGCCTCTGTGACCCCGACCCGTCATCCGCATATACCACGCGCGGTGCTGGACATGGAAGAACATGCGGAAGCGCTACTACGAAGAAACTAGCAAAGAGGGTGCCTGCGAAGAGGGAGGAGGTAAATTTCGAGCGGGGATGAAGATGAGGTGGCATGGTTTTTTATATGAGTCGAAGGGAGTGTGGTGAGTTTTTGTTTAAATGAGTGAAATCTGTCTGAGGATGGTATTAGCAATGGGTTTATATTATGTAGAAGATACTTACTTATTATTGCATCTTTGTTGGAGACATTGATATGGGGGTGATATTGGGGTAAGTGATAGGTCTTCAATTGACGTAGTTGAACATGTAAAGATAAAAAATGGTGGGATATCATCGGGTATTAATTATAAGGCCTAAATTTACCCAAGGTGGTAGGCATGATCCTAGCTTTTCCCAACTTTGAAGTTCACTTCCTCAATGCTCATTGCTCATTGCTCACTCATCTCATTCACACTAGCGTAATCTTGAGGCACCCTTATCACATTCGAGGCTGTAGAAAATTATAATTCAACCAACAATTTCAATAAAAAGTAATGAAAACATCAATTGAACTTATCATGACTGCGATATAATTTGTTTTCAATCTTTCAACTTTGAACTAGAATTTATCTAGTCTTTCTTTCCTACATAGTACTTTTTCCAGCTTTGAGATACACACGATATATTTCGCCATCCGTTTGCGCCCCCCCCATAAATCTCGATGCGCCGTTGACATTCACGCGTTGTTACTAAAAGAAATCAACAAAAGATATTGGACATATACGAATTTAGATCGTAGTTCTTTCGAATGAGCTGAGTCGCAGATCTTAAACGGCCAATAGATTGAGATTGCGCCTCATCAACATCTTGGAGCTATCTACATTAGATCAATTTCGTAGACGCCAATTTGGATCTACTTAATACCTCAGACCCCCAGAACTCGAATCGAAGAATTTAAGTGGCAAAGATGAGTGATTTGGATAGGTACAGCTTCTGCGACTTCTATGAGAAGGTTCCAATCTGACTTGACTCAGAGCCATATCGCAATTGCGAGCTTGTCGACCAATCCCAGAAGCAGAGGTTCGAGAATTATGTCATAAGGCGAGGGAATTGTTGATAGAGGAAGGGAATGTAGTCACAGTAACAGCGCCAGTTACGGTATGGTGTCATGAATTTGCGCAATGATGGATCGATGTTGACGGATTTGCAGATATGTGGTGATATTCATGGTCAATTTCATGATCTTATGGAACTGTTTAGAGTAGGTGGTGATGTACCTGATACGAATTATTTATTTATGGGTAAGGTTTCAAGGCAGTGTCAATGGCAGATGTAATACTAACTTGCATAGGTGATTTCGTCGATCGAGGTTTCTACTCATTGGAATCTTTCCTCCTCCTCTTATGTCTCAAAGTACGATACCCAGATCGAATGACCTTGATTCGAGGTAATCACGAATCTAGACAAATTACCACAGTATACGGATTTTATGACGAATGTTTACGAAAGTATGGAAGCGCAAATGTATGGAGATACTGTTGCGAAGTGTTTGATTATCTTGCTCTGGGTGCAATTGTACTCGGGGCATCAAGCAGTCTACAACCTACATCTATGCCAAACGGTGAACACAGCGCCAGTTCTACACAGGAATTTAATGATGAGGATGTCGAAATTGAGATTTTAAATGTAGATGGAAGTATCATGAACAAATTTCTACGAAACAGGGATAGAATTGGCAAAAGACAGCCATCCTTAGATTCAGAAATGAGTTCGTCAGACAAGGGTTCCCCCAGTCCTCAAAGCAAATTCCCAAGCAGCACGGGACCCCCCGGTTCTGGAGCTTCAGGCTACAGCGGAGGTAGTTCTGGTAACCCCTCTGGCGCAGTATTCTGCGTTCACGGAGGTCTCTCCCCTCTAATCCAAGCCGTTGATAAAATCCGCCTTCTCGACCGCAAACAAGAAGTCCCTCACGAAGGCGCCATGTGTGATCTCCTCTGGTCCGACCCAGACGAAATAGATGGATGGGGACTCTCACCCCGTGGCGCAGGATTCCTCTTCGGAGCCGACATAGTCAAAATGTTCAACCACACAAACGACCTCTCGATGATCGCTCGCGCTCATCAATTAGTAATGGAAGGCTTCAAGGAAACATTCGACCACAGCATCGTAACCGTCTGGTCCGCGCCCAACTACTGCTACAGATGCGGAAACGTAGCAGCAATCATGGAATTAGGAGAAGACGGCACGGGAAATGGAATAATGGCAAGAAGCAATGGAGAAGTAAGTAGAGGCAATGGAGCCAACGCGCCGCTACTAGAAGATAAAATCCCCTTGAGTGGTCCGGCGAGGAGATATCGCGTTTTCCACGCGGCGCCCCAGGATTCACGGGGTATGCCGGCGAAGAAACCAGTAGCGGATTATTTTTTGTGATAGAGAATTTTTTTGCGGCTCGTTGCTCTGTGTGGATGTTGAAGATATCAATGATTAATTATCATGTGGGACTTCTCGTGTGAGCAGAGCAGAGCAGAGCAGAGCAGAGATGGATATTAGTTATGTTATGTTATGTTATGTTGTAGAAAGGTTTCACACACACACTTACTTACTTACTTACTTACTTACTTGTTCATCTTATGGGAGGAATATCGAGATCTATATGTATTTATTTATGTATGTATGTATGTATCTATGTATGAAGAAAGGAAAGAAATACTTTTGTCTTTGTCTTACGTACCTATATTTACCTACATGTATTTGCATATACCTAGGTACCTACATGTTTTAATTTTATGTAGGACTCTTAATTTCATGTAAATGCACTTTATGTAAAACAAGGGGCATTAGTATGAACAGCACGGAAGTGTACATTTCATCCTTTGTTGATTATAAGATGATATGATATGATAATGTGATATGATATGTCGCTATCGAGGTGACTAGCCGTAAATTTCTCCATTCATAAGAGCACAGGAGGTATCGGTGATATCGTAGATATTTATTTTTCATCCTCAGTATCCCATTTCAATTCAATTCAATTCAATACAATTCATTCCATCCCATTTCATTCCCCATCCATCCATCCATTCATCCATATCATGTCAAATCCACATACTGCAATCCCATTCCCAAAGCCAAATTCAAACCAAAATTAAATCCATTCATAAGCGCAAACACAAACACCCCTAACCCAAAGGTTTAACCTTCTTCTTTTTCTTCTTCTCACCCCCACCCCCAGCTCCACCCCCCTTTTTAGCAAACTCCCTCCAACTTCCAATTCTCTCCTCCCTACTCTCTTCCCATTTAACCTCATTTTCCCTCTTCCTCTTCCTAGCCTCCTGCTCCTCCTCCACCCTCTTCATTTCCCTCCCTTCCTCCTGCATCTGCGCTTTAACCTGTCTTCTCCTCCTCTGCTCATTCTCAATCAGAACAAATGTAGTTTTCTCCCTCCACGCTTTGCGAAACTCCTCACTGGGTTCTTTAACTTCCGGACTATCTCTATTCAGACCCTTTTCCCGCATGACTAACATTCGAGCATCAGCGATCGATTCATCGAGTCTTTCGCGGTGTTTTTCATCCATGAGTTCTGTTTGGGCTTTTTTTAATCGGTCGAATGCATCGGGGGCGAGTGGATTCCGGGTTTTATCTGGATGGATTAGGAGGGATTTTACACGGTAACATTTTTTGATGTCGGATTCGCCGACTCCAGGTTGGAGGTCTAGGACTGCGTAGCTGTTTGTGTGTTTTGTTAGTATTTGATCGTAGCGCGTCTGTACAACCTCTTCAAACTCAACCTCAGACTCTGTTTTTGTGCCATCTTTAATTGTAGCAATGAAAGAATAAAACTTACGCATCTAAACGAAAAGCTTTTAATATCCTATCGATTTCTGTGTCCTATAGATAACACATAAGATTAGCACTCATCCCATCAAATACAATCTCCAATCTATCTCCACCACACACCAAACACGTCCTTCTCCTTGTCAAACAGAAAATCATACCTTCATAAACTCCTTCGCCTCACTCTCCAACCCCTCCAACGCATCCAAATCCTCCTGTTGATCCCGCTGATCCCGTTGATCCCGTTGCTGTTTATCCAACCCACCAACCTGTACTCCCGCTTCCTCCTTAAATTCCCTCTTCACCCCATCCTCACTCTTAATCCCATCACTCTTACTCTTATCCAAACCCCCATTTCCATCCGCATCCCCCTCCACCTTCATCCTCTTCGCATCCGGTATCGTCGCCATTGTAATCGCAATCGCAGTAATCTCACTATTCCCGATCCTCAAAACTTCACAATTCCCAATCAATCAATCAATCCGTTCCCCTCCTGCACAAGAACCCTTCAATTCAATCCAATCAATCCCTCAATTCACCTCTTCAATCGATCAAACAAAACACAAATATAAACTCAAATCCCTAAAGTCGTTTATTGCATACAAGTTACAAAAAGCGAGAATGGGAATTCGAAAAATTGAAAGGACAAGACACCGATAAGATCGAACCTGTCTGTAGATTATAAAGTACGATTAGAAGCTAGGCTGGCTAACGCTTGGACCATGAGTCTAAAATACGAATTGTTATGTTATCGTGTGGATCAATCTACCCTACCTTGATAGTCTTGCTTACATAAGCTGTGGATTGATTGCATCAAGGCTAATATGCTTCCTGTGAGATATAATCACATTACAATCCAGAAGAAATCAAATCATGTTAATTAATTTCATCATGATAATTTTTCACTACAGGCCTAATAGACTCTGTTCCATCTGCACTCCACTGATATCAAGTCAAGGGTATCTATCAATCTACTCTCAAAGACCAAAAATGGAAAGAGAACGAAAATCTCTTTCTCATCATGTCCATGCATCCATATCAAACACCGCATTAAACTAAAAACATTAAAGAAGTTTGGCACAACTGAGCCCTCGCTATTCCACTCCTCCATCAATCCACCAATTCGATATCTTTCCCGGGGTATATAATCCTCTCATCTCAATCTCATAAAACTAGTCCTAGAAGACCCATTATGGACCTTCAAATCACTTGTCCTTTGCTCCGCTTAATAGAAAATCTTAGGTTGCCAAAGTGGTGGTCTGGCTCCTTCAACATCCCAAACCAACTTATTCTTCTCATCAAGAGTACACCCATCATCCGTAATTGGAATAACCTTACTGGTATGCGCAACCTCTTGTGCACTAATTCCCGCCGAATCTCTTGGAATCCATAAAAGAGGAGGTTCAGAGACAACAGCGGGAGGATAATATGCGTTTCGAGCTGAGACTTCATCGTACAACTCTTCTGGGTTGATGTTGTCGTGTGGGACGAGTTGGCGCATGGTGGCATAGTCGCAATAAAGATGGGGTTTGAAGAATTTGGCAAATAGGCCACCTTGGGGTTTGGGGTGCGGTGTGAGGTCGCTGGTTCCGTTTTTTTCGTTATTTTTCTCATTGGAGACGGTTGGGCTACCGCTCATACCGGCTTCCAGCTCTCCCCGAATAGATTCTTCTTCAGCTTCGAGAGTTTTTGGAAGAGTAGAAAGAAGAGGATCCATGGCTGCGTTGAGAGATATGTGGTATAAGATGGTGAAGACAAGGAATATAATCATGAGGACCAGTGGGCCCCATGCTTTACCTATGGCGAAGAGACCGATCAAGCAAAGTTCTGAAAGATATACTCCAGTAAGTAGTTGTTGAAGGGCACGTGGGTAGATAAGACCTTTGGTATCGATTTGAGCGTCGGTGACAAAGAGAATATTGTATCGGTAGGCTAGATAGAATAGACCCATGCCGATGGTTCCAAAACCCATGACGAGTGGAGCAATACAGGAATAGGTGATGCCAATTACGGCAATGTTTGTGAATACTGGAAGAGTGCTACCCCAGGAGATTGCACTCAAGCTGGTCCATTTCGTGTACATCTTTCTTGGAGTACCGGCCAAGAATTTATAGAGAAGTTTGAAGATGAAGAATCCCGTAACTTGGGAAATAACTCCAGAAGCAACCGTCAATCCTTGAACTATAAAGTAGGAAATATAGAAGTTGGAAGCACTGGGCAATTTGTTTGCAAGGAGGTTGAGGATTCCAGTTGGGTTATGGATGAGTTGGTATAGGACGGCTGATGCGGATGATGCAATAGTTACAACCAAGAAAACTTGAACGACTTGGAAGGTAAAGTATGCATTTTGAGTGAAGAGTTCCACTCGTGCAGTGGTTGGTTCACCAGAAAGTTTTGCGCAAACTTTTTCATATTAGCATAGTCCATGCGGATTTCAACGAGGGTAACTTACGTCTCATGATAATGGGAACAAGGGACATGAGAATCGACAGAGCCACGGAGGGCAAAAGACCAGAAATTACACCCATAATCCAATTTGGCACAGCCTTTAACCATGACAGCCAGCTAAAGCGTTCCAAGTATGTAACGTTCGAAATAAGACCAACGGCTGCAACTGGAATAGCCCAGAAAATAATCATTGCCGTGATAAATCCAACGACAGCAAACCTTCGAACAACTCTTTGCCACCATGAGATAGTCAAAGATTTCCAGATAACTTCCCTAGGATGAACACCGATATATCTGGGAGACATTTGAAGAGCCTGATGATGAGAGAGGGTTTGGAAAGCGACTTGGGCATCCGATTGATGGGCAAATTCAATAAAGACTGATCCAACCTTACGAGTCTCTCCGGCCAAATAAGTATTTTGTGCGGCTTCAGTTTCTGGGATGATTGTTTCTAGTTGACTTCGAGCCCAGTCGATTGTGTCAACCTTCTTTCCGTACAGACCAAATTTGCCAAGCTTGTGTGTAGGACGCTTCTTCTGAGGAACCCATCTAGCGGCTAATGATCCGGATTCGCCATCTTCATCTATGACAGGTTGTTCTTCTTGACTAGCGCCATTCTTGATTGCCTTGAGTCTTTCGCCGTTTGCTGTCTTGATAAGGTTTACCTCTGCACCTTCAAGTTTCAATGCAATATCATCGCGCTTCTCGACGAGTTCCTCCACCTTTTCGGTATCTGCAACTATCCAAATGTGTCGTACTGAGCTTCCAAAGACTTTTCGAAGTTTGCTTTCATCGAGATATGCTGCTGGGACTGATACAAAGAGAACTGTTCTGGATGAGATACGGTTTGCGAAAACTGGGTTGAGTAAGAAGGCCTGTCGAAGGTTGACATAATAGATAGTTTCTCTGGTAACAAGGAAAAGAACACTAAGCAATTGGTTGTTAGTGCATGCCTCAGCAAGTAAGACCCTCCAACGTCTCAATTGAAATAGGAAGATTTCAGGGAGAGCGCATGGGTCCCTAGAAAGGGGCTCAAGTGGTTGACCTACAATCCAAAGAAAATCCATCCGACGAAACAGGTCGCATAGTGTCGATTCCTTCCAGATGATGTAGAACTGTCAATGTTACCCATAGAGAGCATATCAAGTTGTTTTGCTCCACCTCCTCCCGTAGCATTGACTGGGAAAAGAATAGGCCATGTGATGCAGCAACCAACAAACATAATGACCACCGTCATTCGTAAAAATCGAAGGAATAAGTAGGCATCAAGACCTTGGTGTTGAAGTGCGTATGTATCTGGAATCTTGCGAAAAGGACCAATCCAATTGAACAATCCTGACGGTAGTGGTGTTGTCCGTTCTCTATTTTGACGTCAATACTTCGGTCCAACTCTAACCATTTCTGAGTTTACTTACTCCTCACGCAATGCGCCTAGGTAAGTTCTAGGAGCATACCATCGTGCATTACTTCTTCGTAAAACCAAGAAGATTACGAAGTAAACAGTGGCAAGAACTAAAGTAGGTACCAAAGTTGCTACTAATCCCGATAAACTTTGGCCACTGCTGCTGGTGGATGCGCCGTGCGTGCTCATGATTGCGGAGTGCTATCCTCACGATACTGGCGATATCGTGAAGTTCGGATCAATTGATTTTGAGGTTATAGTTGTTTGAAGTTGTTGCTATGGTTGTTGTCTTTGCTCGAATGAGCAAAAATCAACGGAAGGAATTATCGAAGATCGAAGAGGGAACGAAAGTAGAAATCAAAACAAATCGTTGAACTGGGGGGGAAGTTAAAAGAGATAAATGAATTCCCCTTGAGACAAACGCGCAGTGGGACCAGGATTAAATTAAAGCTTGGGCCAAGATCCCTTGTTAACCTCTTGGAGCCGAAAAGCAGGAAAAAAAACAAGAATTTTAGGGATTTTCTTTTGGACGGATGTGAAGGTTGGCGATCAATAGGATGAAATGTCAACGTAGGCGAAAAATGATAATCGAGAGGTAAGGATCTTCGATATGACGATATGTTGCGCTTCGTTGCATGAAAATAAATTCAGTGGCTGTTATTCTTCCTTTCGATTACTCTCTCTCAATTCACTCTCAATGATGAAATGATGAGAATACAAGAACAAGAATGTAAAAAATGTGAATTGAATAAATTCGGATTGATCCGTGTCAAAAATCAAGATAGGATAGGAGGGAATCTTGATTCTACCTTAGAAGCCAAGAATCGTGAAGATGCTCAAGTACGCGTACAGAATAGTAGTGAAGCATGAAAGAGTAGGTAGGTAATAGGGAGGTAGAGTGTATCTAATTGTCATTCGGGATCTTTGACAGGATAGTATCAATATTTAGAAACAAAGAAAACCAGACATGAGAAAGCCTATCAAACCCCAACAGTAGCTAGGTACGATTGCACAGAGGTGGTACTGCGGTACCTCGATCCTTCCCTATCCCCTAGTGTACGTAGTCCATAGGTGCAGTAGTATCTGCTTGCTTGCTGTACAATGAACCATGTGGATATAACAAGCCTTACATTAACCATCCCAAAATGTTTTGAAACTGATCTAGATCATTTTCAAACTCATTCAATACCCTGTCTCCGCGTCTACGTAGAGATGGGATGAAAATCTATTCGACTTTTCATCACAGCTGAACCCATATCTCTCTCACATCTTCTCTTGACCCCTCACTCACTTCACTCTTCATCCCTCAATAACACCATCGAATCAAAAGATGGGATTTTTAAAAAGAGAAAAAAATAAATAAAAAACGGCTTAAAACACAAATGTAATTTCAAAATGTACATGGATTTGATGAGATAACCGAAGAATTGAGATGATCAAGGGTGCTTAGTGGACATTGGATACATGAGCAAATATCCCTGTATAGCTGAATGAGATGATTGCTTCTTCGGGATATCTTTGCATATTTCTCCAACCACTTTTGATGGCTTTGGGCGATAGATAACTAATAAATCGTGGGCAGGACAACGTGTCTAGTTGTACAAGCACGTCGACGATCTATTGATATTGATGCTTTAGCTTTTTTGGCATTGTGCTCTACAAACTAGGTAGTTTAGAGAGGATGAATGTCGATATGTCGATAAGTATCTATCTTAGCTCTTGCAATACAGCACTGATGTAAGTTCGCTCAATTGATACTTACTCCCCTTCGAAACAGTCTCAAGCTATACACATTGAAGTAAGTTTAACGTTGTTATCTTGTACTCCAGCAATTCTCGGATATGACTTTGTGCAACTCGATCCATCCAACTGTCAAATGGGTTAATCAGGTGCTAATCGGTACCTACTTTACCTACTCGGGTTTTAAATGCGGTAGTGCAATGCTACATGTCAATACAATCTAAAGTCACTAACAACTCATTAGTCGAAAAACTACTCTGTACAGAAAACTTTTGCTCCGATTAAAATGAATTGGATCACCAGTGGACCCTCAATTAATTGCTTGATCTATACATCCCTGAAAAGCTTCGAAGACGCATTGCTAAGGTCCCTTAAAATCTCAGCTGTTTAGCCGCCGGTACTTACCTATGTTTCGGTACTGTCCACAGCTTTCTTACATGATCTCGATCATTTCGTTATCTCATTCAGCCCCAATCAACGGAATTCGTCCCTCTTTGCTCTTAGCTTCTACATAACACAAATTACACCTGCAGAACTCCACAGCTTGACATGGTTCTCATCACCTGCCAGCTGATTCATGTTTTCCTTTGCATTATTAGTTTACCCCGCTGAAATCAAAATAATTACCGGCGAAGCTCATCTAATACACTGTACTGCGTGCATTTTTTAACGTGGGATTTTCCCGTCCATGATTGATGTTTTGAAGTAGAAACAGAAATGAAATTGCTCAAGTGAGCTATCGTTACACCTGTCATACATAAGCTCTTACAGAGCATCTCCTCGGCTATCACCATGCTAAGCATGTTGTACCTCTTCATCAGATCCTTTTGATAAGATAAGGAGGAGAAATATGTTTGGGAAAACTACAAGATTTGCAAGTGCAAACCAATATTCTCTTAATGAACAATCTTCTACTGCTTCAAAGTCAGGCATCGAGATACATGGCTTCACATTTACCAAGTCCTACCTCCAATTGCAATTTTCACTATAAGGAAATTCTGATTCTCGACTCAATACTCTAGACGAAAGACTTTGGAAAATTGAAAGCAAATCATCCATTGTTCATTTTATCAAAGAAATACTTCTATGCTTCTAGTATTGAATGAAATGCATTCCTTACATTTCATTGTCTCAATTCAAGCTTCACAATATGCGGTATCCAAATTTCCTAAAGCGTCACTGCCGTCTCTTAAGTTTTTCTTCCACTCTAATATTTTCTATTTCGCAGTTTTTCATCTGCTATGGTAATGCTCAAGCTACAATTAGAGACTAATAAGTCTATGATAAACGACCCCCAAGGCCACCAAACACAGGATACGACCAACACGAAAAATCATGACGAGTGTAATAATGAGAGATGTACCAGCAGCTTCTGCAGGCTCTGCAGCTATGCAACGACGAACTGGTGGAAATGCTCCTGCAAATGGTACCGATCCTCCAACTATAGGACCTGCGCCTAAAGGAACAAGTGGTTTAGCTCGTGGAGCAGTACCACGCACCAAATTCTCAGAAGCATATCGTTCCATCTTCACTCTCAGTCAACCGGACCTCATTCCACTTCTCAAACATGTAAACTGCAATTATTTGTCTACCAAAGGTCATTCACCTACAGTATTGGAATTGAAACAACATGCTCAAGCATTGGTCATTCTTCTCAAACAAATTACCCTCTCAACTCGAGCAGGAGTTGTCGATAACACGAATCTAAATGCCTTTACAGAAATTGGTCCTAGAGCTCCTAGTTTTAACGAGAATGAAACTTTCGACTTCCTCAACGATCTTAATAATGTATATGATAACAATACAGTTCATCACAATCTTCCGCTCCCCACTCTCCTCAATACGCTAGAGCCTCAATATGTCGAACCTGGAACCATGGTAAATCCAGGACAACCAGATCATTACGTCGATATTGATATCTGTCCCTTACATCCAGTGGATCCCGCACCTCTCGATGGTCCATCTCTTCCATATGCTACTCACGAAGCACTTCTTAAGCATGCAAATGAAGTCCTCGAACTGATTGATCATGAATATAGTGCCAAAGGAGGTCTTCTAGGTGTACTTCCTCATGAAACTGGTGATGAAGATCGACCTCTAGCAGAAACTACTCTCCTAGGTCAAATGATCCTCTACATCCAACGACTGGTCGCGCGTCTCCACAATCTTGAACGTCTTCACGCAAACGCGATGGATGTAATGAAAGGAGAAGCCGTTGTTCCACATCAAGCTCTCTCCCGTGTGGGTCCAGATGGCCGCAGTGGACGCGAGCTCGTCTATCCTCAAGATCGATTCGTTCTCGTCAATGCCGGAGACGACATCTGGCAATTCCTGAACGATGAATTCGAGAAAAAAGAACGCGTGGATGAACAAATTCGCGCAAATCATCTCCGTCTCGGTATCGAAGGTGAACGTCTCTGGGAAACGAAAGGCGGAAAAGAATATTCACGCGGCATCACAGCCATCGACGTCGTAACCCGCTACTATCGTCTCCGCAACGACAGTCTCAAAACCATCTTCGTAATCCCCGCCCACGCCGAACATCCCGGCGTAAAAGTAACCCGAGAAATGGAACGCAACCCCACCGTCGTCTCCGTCGTAAAACCCATCTGGCCCGAACGCGTTTCCGTCTGGGAAAAGCAAACGCGGGATGATCTGGAAGAACTCCGCCAACTCCGCAGAGACAACAGTTCTCTCCGCGAAGCCGCCGAAATCTCAAACACCGAACGCGCCTTCCTCCTCAACGAAGTAAAAACCCAACGCGGTAACGTCTACCGCATCAAAGAAAAACTCAAAACCTTCACCGAAGGTCCCATCCGCGATCAACTCTCCATCGATCTCGACCTGCGACGCGAAACCCTCGAACAAGACCTCAACGACTTCGCCACGCAACGAGCCGAACTCGACATCCGCGCACAAGAACTCGAAATCCACGCTCAAACCCTTGCCGCAGCCGAACAAACCTCCACTCATCGTCGCGCAACAGAAACCCAACAATTCGCTGCGCGACGCGAGGCTCTTGAAAATATATATAAGCAGCGACTTGTTGATCTTGAGAATGATCGGTTGGCGGCTGTGGAATCGGGGACGCGTCTTGCGGATGAGTTCCAGAATGCTTGGACTGAACAGTTGCAGAATACGCAGACGCTGGTTAGTTTTTTGAATAGTGATCGGGCGAAGAGTTTGTTGGCGGATAATTTGATTCCGGATGATATTGGGAAGAGGGGGATTAGGGGGGCGCAGGATGTGGTGGAGAGGGTTTTGAAGAGGCTGGGGAATCCGCAGGGGGAGGGGGAGTGAGTTTGTGAGTTCGGGGTGGGGTGGGGGATGAATGGAAATGGAGCTGTCATGTTGTTGCTTTCTACTTGCTTTTGTTTGTATTTGTATTTGATTTTCTGGGTATGTAGTTATCATATGTGTCTACCTATGTATATGTACTCTATCTACTCTATGCTCATCATCACCTTAAAATATGATTTCATAACGTACTCAACTTATTCCACCCATCCCACTGATAGATAATCGTGCACCCCCTCACCCTTTCACTCCCTCGACAATAAACTAACTTACCTACTAATTAGCAAGGCCTTAACAATCAATAATATATGTATGCTCTGATACCTCTTTACTTTAAATTAGGATTAAATATTAAGTTTCTAGTTTAATCTTATTCTAGGATTACAATATACTTACTTATTTATTAATAACAACAAAAAAGATATATATTCAAAATCTCCTTCATAGATTAAATAAATTCCGCAAATATCAAGAATAAATAAAAAATACTTGAAAGAGGTCAAGATGTTTAAAAGTGCAGATATAAATCCTATATTAATCGAATCCGAATACAAGAACCCCCAAATACACAACATAATTCCTCACCAAGCGGTTTCTTACGCAAGTGTCCCGCCATAAATCCTTGCGGCTGTGTCATAAACTACATCGTTTGTACAACATGACACTATCAAATCAGCTTAGGGATTTGGGGAAGTAACTATACATCATCTCCGTGGCCGCTTCAGCCTCAAGTTTTACTATCCACTCAAGATTGACATTAAAGTTCTTCTAGCAGAGCCTTTGTTGCTTCCCACTTAGGATATTATTCTGCAATCAAATATGAAGCATTTAAGTTTTGATAGTTTATATTGTGTAAATGTAAAGTATAGATTGTCCATCTATACATCGATGATTTTTTAAGGGAAAAAAGCTGCTCTCAGTTTGAAAGCTAAGGGTGCTTGGTTTTTGAGGATTTACAACTACACACCACTAATACTAAACAGCTCTCAAGGAAGAATATGATATCATGACTTCCAGTCAGTAATTGTACCAAGAATCAGCTATGCTGTTCTTTTCTTATATATTGAAAATGTAGAGATATTATAAAAGCAGATTATATTTCTATCATTCTAACTTGATGGAACAGAATGTAAAATTAACAAAATATCCAATGGAAGAACTGGCCCCCCTTCCCCAGTATGACCAGAAGCTCCGGAGACTTCTGATGCATTCCGGAGGCGTGAGACAAAGCACCACAATGTATTCTAGAAAAAATACGACCTGCCACAAAAAATCCAGCAAATAGAGAGACGGAGCTCGTAAAAGTAGACCCAGGAAGGGTAAAAATAGAGACAAAAATGACGACAATAAAAGAAACATGGGCGCCATTTGAGGCACATTGGTGGAAAGGGGGAGGTAAATCGAAGATTAAGATGTGATTCAATGTGACGATCTGGTAGGGAATGCATGATCTCATACTTTGCATCAATTTTGTGAGGAATATTGTCCTACAATAAATATAGAGAATCGTGGAAGATGAACCGTGACGGTTGGGGTGCTGACTGATTGTTAGACAACTTAGCCAAGAAATCCAATAGGACAAGTGTGGAATGAACGATGATAGGAAGGTAAACGATTATGAGGATGATTTTCCTCGGCTTTGCCGAATGTACTCGGCGAGAGAGATTCATAGTGGGGGTGGGGTCAACCAAACAGCACAACCACATTAAATTTGATCAGAAAATTCCTCTAAAGAACGAAAAGCAATAAACACAAACGTTGTACAAATGTGGTGAAAATTATGGATAGTTATCAGACTCAGTGCTATTGATTTACTGATATGGGGAAATATAGCAATGGAATAAATTAGCTAATATATGTACAAGAATGATGCATGTGTGAAGAATTGAAGAGAAACTCAACTCCTCATCAGCTGGGGATGGTGTAATTGCGAATTGACCAGAGACACACTGCCGTAAAACCCTATACGTAGATGATGTGGGCGTCACCACCATTGAGAGTTCAAACCCAGCCTTTTCTGGCACAGCGAAACCAAAGAAGAAGAAAGAAACAACAATGCAATGACAACGTTACATTTCATGAAATCGTCAAACTGAAAATTGCAAGTAAAGCAGTCGAAAGTAACGTGAACTTCATCTAGGCTCTGGCATTCAAAAGCTTGAAAAGATTTTGGAGCTGACGTGCTTGGCATAAGCCTTAATATAAAGGGTACCTCAATCAGTGGCACAAAAATTAATTGGGATTATCTGCCTCGAGCACATTTTCCTGATCGCATTCAAAGAAGGCTGAAGGGGCTTGTTGGCGCCCTGGTAGGCCAAGACGTATCCTTTCATCTCGAGATTCCTGCAAAGTCCACATTTCTGTAGCCGGAGAATAAGCTTGCGCTGAATGGTATTCGATGTTAGGTGCTTGTACGCTATTCTCTGTGGCTAATCCCCTGGTTACATTATGAGCAACTGGTTGATAGGAATAGTACTCTTCGTTGGGGTCTTCCTCGATGGCGAGCTGGCTGTCGTAGTGTGATATCATCATGTAGTCATGGGAGAAGTAACCCAAATGAGAATAGGAGTATTGAGAAGAGTTTTCGTGGCTCTGAGTCTCCAATTCATCCGACTCATTTTCTGATGTAAAGCTAGAATCATGAATGGAGCCACCGAAGCTAGCTCTATTGCTCACAAAAGATCCTTCTTCCTGTGACTGATGATCTGAGACTGGGGATTGTGGGTGAGGGCTTGAGCCAAGTTCTGTTGAGGCATATCGAGGTTCTTCTCTTCTTACGACAGAGCTTCGAGCTCGGGTGCGGCTGGCGTTACGGCCGTGAGATTGATGACTGGAATTGCCGTCAGTGCTTCTAAAAGTCAGCAAGATAGACATATAATGCTGCCATTGTGACACCACATACCTAGATGCAGATCCTTTCCTAGCACGGCTATGAGATGATATAGGTGACATGATGTAAGAACAGATATATGGGTGAGAGACAGTTGGTGATAAAGTTCTTCACAAACTCGGGGAGAATGTGAAGCAGGCGATTGGTAGTTTCAATCGAAGTTAGAAGATAGAGGCTCAAGGGATTGTCACCACAGATCGTACTGTGTACGAATGCGAAGAGAAAAGAGAAAAAAGGGAAGCGTAGGAACTTTATACACGATTTTCTGGTATTTTTTCAAAGACCTATGAAAAGAAACAAAACAAATGCATCATTTCGAGGCAACTAGTATATCTAGCATGTAATATTCAGGGGGAAAGGCCCGACAACATGGCTATGTAAGGATCTTATTCCTCAATTGTGTGTAAAAATGAGGGAAAAGCGCCCTTGTGCATATAGCTCCACTAAAATTGAAGAAGAGATGTGAGGCTATTAACTTAGTTAACTAGACACTACAGGAACAAGAAATAAGAGTGACCGTAGGAAGATCGATCCGTTTGACTCTTCCAGCAGGGGTCGTAGAACCGTTTTTAGAAGCATCGTTGACATTCATAGAAGTGGTATTTAGCTAGAAGCATGAGGAGTGGTCATATGTAAGTCTTGATTCCTTGAAGATTTTCAGGGGAAGTCGACTCTGCACCCGAAGAAGCAATTCGAGGGGCAACGAAAATTGGCATCGTCATGATGCCAAACTATGAGAGGCTAACTTTGCTGCACAGCTTTGATGCCACATCCCCGGGTGTTCCCCATGTAGGTCTATTTAGAGGCAATGGAGATATATGATGGATGTAGTGCGTTTCAGACCTGCTGTACTCATAAATAGCCACCATGTCAAATTGACAAGTGGCCTTTAGATTAAGCCTTCCCCTCTATCTTTCCTAATGTCAACATATATTTTTAGAGTTTCAAGAGTATAGGAAATGAGATAGAAATCGATGGGACGATCTCGATGAGTTGGAAGTAAGATATGTCGTTCGATCCTAATGAGACTGTCAGTGAAATAGCAGCATAATTTAAGATGTTGGACAAAGTAGCCCTCATTCTCCGGAAAATAAACAAATTTGGCAACTAATATCTTTTTCCTCATATAATCGATGCAGAGTCTCTGATTTTGGACGTTTCAGATATTTGGGGGACGTTGGGGGAAATCGGTACACGGGATTCTTAGCGCCGGTGGTGATTTGTCAGAGATGATAAATGCTTTGCTTATGTAATATCTAATGGAGAAAACAACTTTCTTTGTATTGACCTTGACTTGTTCCATTCAAATCTTTCACACCAGGAATTAATCTTATCATTGTACTGTCTACAATTAAGTTCATCCTATATCTTGTATAAGATTTTCCTTAGGTAGTACAAAGTATATACTGTACTTTCATTCAAAATCTACTGCATCATCTCACGGGTGATTGCAGAAGTACACATACTGAACGACTCCCTCTTGTCGTCAAATTCGGCATCATGCAGTTCGTCACTTCGATCTACAGTATCATTTTGAATTCCTTACCTAGTTATCAGTTATGACTAAACTAGTACATGCTACTATCAGAGGCATTCGGCTATATCTGAATGCACATAGTTATGCAATATATTTTAATACTGGGCTTGGAGCATAGTGTTCTTGAGCCTCGTACAGTTTGTCCAACCACTCTTTACTGTACGGTTCACCAATAATTGGTTCCAAGCAATTGATGCCAAGCAATGACAGTTATGTATGCAGTAACACGGCTAGGCACACTGCCACCACATGGAAAAGCAGGCTCAAAAGGCATCCAGGTAAGTTTCCTTACAAGGAGAAGAGCCCGGAAAAATTTAGATCCCTCAACTGATTGACATCAAGAAATTTGATATTCCCTTTTTTTTTTCCAATCAGTGGGTATCCTCTCGTGGATCACATTTTACCTTATTGTTTTGTGATTGTATAAGCTCACAATCGGGTTTAAATTCTTTTAACTATTCTTCAAAAGTAGTCTGCCATGGGGGGAGATTTGTTCTTACACGGCAAAAGCTGGCACCTATTCTATAATGGTGTTCGGCACTGACATCATACACCCGGGATATTTTAGAATTCGGCTTCATAGTCTGTTGTGCTACATCGGAGTAGACCGAGATCTTACAAACTCTTTCCGCTCGAGTGTTCTTCCCATGGAGTACTTGGGTTTTTAACGGCTGATTGCATTTGATAGATTTCCTCGTAAGATTTCTCAAACTCCCACTGCAACAGAATACGGATGCGTGCATTTTGAAGGCGTGAGCATTGGGTACATACATACACCACATATTTCCTGCAGTGAATACCTAGGAAAAGTGCAATATTCACATGATAATATGCAGCTTGCAGCTTTTCGGCATACAAGATAATGCACAAGGAAGTAAATCGTCTTTACATTGCCTAGCACCGCATGCAATCGCGATATCTAGAGAACCTCCGAAAAAGCCAAGAACGAGATCTGGGAGGGAGGCAAACGGCAAACCACACAGATTGTTCCTAATTTCCTTGGCATCGCGTGTAGGTCTTTTTGTCAAGATAACAATCCAGACAGGTGCTTTCCATTCATCACTCTGCTTGATCGCGCACTTTCATTTACATTCTTTCTCTCCGACCATCCCCGGTATAATTTGGAACAATGAACTCTTCGTAACTTATATTTTATCACATAGACAAGCCTATCAGTGGCACGCAGCCTTGAGTCCCCGGTATTGTAATTTCTTTACCCATCTCCTTCTTTATCACTTCTAACTAGTCAAAGAATCTAAAGAAACAGAAACACTCTTTTTCGAAAAGGAAACAAACAACAAAGTATCACCTCTGATTCCAACCGACTTTTTTGTCCTTATCTCGCGTAGCTGCACATTTTTTCCACCAAGAAGCCTTGAGAATCTGCAATCAATCTTCAAAAATTTACCACACCAAAGAGGATTCAACTAGGTAACCTGCTGAAAGTCAAGGAAAGCAGAGGTCGTGATGGCGCAGACTAAGGATCTTAGACTACTACATAAATAAATCGGTGATAGATAAATAAAGAGATAAATAGATAGATACCTTCCCCTCTACCTAACACCAAAAAGATCTTCAAATATCTTTCCCTTTCACCTATCCATCCATCCATCCATCCATCCATGAAACCACCTATCCCCAAACCTCATTCCTTCTCCCTCCCCAAAGCAATCCTGCACGTACTGAATCACAGCCTTAAAATCGACGTTGATAGAAAAAGAGCGCCAACCAGCCAGCATTAGAATTTAGCTGTCTTGAGAGATATCTTCGGTATGATATTCTCGAGTATACATTATATAGATACATCACTAAACAGTATATAACTTAATGAGTAATTAGAGAAAATAATACAATCCCCCGAGAGCCAGGAGGTTCGCGTGATGTAAATAATATGAATGATCGATCTGGATGGATACTGTGATATTCTATTCATCTCTATGCTATTGTTATCTCCTAGATCTTACTAGATCCCCTCTAATATTCCTTCGATACTGCATCTACAGTAGCGCGCCGGCTCAGATAAAATCTAATGAAAATCAGACCCAGATAGTTTATCAGTCATCTCACGGAGTGTAGAAACCTTTGTATCATAAAGTAGATACATAAAGGTATGTTATGTAATTCTTGTTTAATCTTAAGATCTTACAATTAAAATCTTGAACCATCAGCACCCGTTTATTACGCTTAGAATTTAAGTAGGTATCTATCTACTCTACTTATACTCCTTCTTAATCAGGTCTTAAAATTATTCATTGTACATTTTAAATTCATATACCTACTTCATCCAGTTTATCAAATTGTATTTATTTTTTCTCACTTATTCTTCACTCATAACATTATAATTAATCAATCAATCAATGATAATAAATTTATCCAATTAAATTCAAAAGTTTTGTATTACAACAAATAGGTTTGTTTTTTCAATAATGAGTTTTTTTTCCAATAAAGAAATTTTTTTTCCCCAATGATGATAATCCAACCCGTGGATCTATCTCAATTTTAACATCCGACTAGCGGATCTGTGTTTAAAAAAGTAAGTTGGATTCTTTGTCTGTTCATCGATAGCATAAGTTAATCATAGCGTATAAATCATGAAAAGTCATAAAGCATGTTTTGTTACCTTTTTTCCTACCTTCTTAACTCCTCCCTCATCCTTTCGTCATCCTACCTCAAGCATTTCCGGAGGAATTGCCAGCCGAAAGTCTGAAGCTCATCAACTCGCTGCCATGAAAAACTCTCCCCGAGCATCTCTTCTTCTTTTCTTCGGCCACAGGATCCATCAACTTTACTTCTGGCACACTGCACCATTCCCACATGTCCAAAGTCGGACACCAGCTAACGCTTGCAGTGAATGCTGGTGTGTCTGGAGTTGAAGAGATGGGGATGCGGAAGACGGCTGGATGAGGAGGCCCAACGCGACAAGTGATCTTGTGATTGGCGCTGACGTGGTTGAGAGTAGTGAGAGGAGTTGTGCCAGCGGTAAAGGCGGGAGGAGAAAGGGTAGTTGTAGGAATGAGTGGGGGTGTTTCCTCACTTTGGGAGTTGGGAAGTGTGGGAAGATCGGTTAGAGAATTGAGGATGGTTGGGATTTCGGTATGTTCAACGGGACGAAGATCAGATTCATCATCCGATGCAGGACCATCCAAAATCTGCGACGCCGTCATCCAACATTTACGGTCGTCATCATCAGACTCAGACTCAGATGTGGAAGTCGATGAGCTGAGTGAAGGGATCATTGACACAGTTGGAGATGGTGGACGAGATGGGGCGGGTAGTTTCACCGAGAAAAACTTTTCTTCGTCCGAATGGCCCCAGCTTTCCGCAGATTCAGTGGATTTTTGGGTCGAGGATCGCTTCGGATTGCTGAGCTTCAAGGATTCAGCATAGGCTGCAGATGCATCTGCGAGTTCTAATACGAGGTCGACCTGTTTCTGAAGCTTCTTCACCTTCTCCGACTTTTCAGTTGCGTCCGCAAGTGCGGTTTCGAGTTCTTTCTCAAGCGAGTTCACCTTTTTCAACTCTCTGTCATACAACATCTTAAAGTGATCTGCAAAGACCTTATACTGGCTTGGGGCCACACGGGCTATGCGCATCTCTTGAAAATCCTCCTCAAGTTGTCGATTTTTACCTTCGAGTTGTCTATTCTTGCTTACGAGTTGTTCATTCTCGTCTTCAAGTTTACGATTCTTGACTTCTACTTGCTCTATCACTTGACCGAGCCTGGTGCAAGCCTTGCGTGCATTGTCAGAATGAATTTTCCAAGCGCGAGCTTCTGTTAAAGTGGGTGATGCTCTTCTGACTGAACAGTGCGGTTGCGTGGAAGGGTCAACTGTCTCGCAGTCCACAGTGGTGGCAGACAATTCAGGAATCATGATAGTGAGACTTGGAGATGAGCTCTTCTGAAAAGATAAATTGGATCGTGGTCCAGGCATTGGAGACATCATGGCGGAACGTTCATTCACGGCCTCAAGCTCACTGATGCGGAATGGGTGTGAGCTGAGTGGAATCCAGGGCTCTCTGGGAGTCATCTCATTAAACCTATTAAACTCATGCCGATACATGGGCTGCGGTTGTCCGTCGACGATTTTCGAAATGTTGAAAGGCTCAGAGACTATATGTCTGATCTTGGTTGATGATTTTCCTCGAAGAGCCATTAAGGCAGTTCTAATTGGAGTGGGAATCCTTCGAATGATATTTCTCTTCATCACAACCATTCGTCCTGTATGTGGAGAATTTTGAAACACGAGGGAGTTCCGGAACCGGTTCTCTGGATTTAGCCATGTATTTCTGACTTCTCGAAAATCGACTTCGATTGGAGTACGGGGGAGTTCTGACATGCTGCCGGTAGCCTGCGACGAATTTTGAGCCATTAAGGTGTCGATTCTAAGGCTTGGTAATCCCTCCAGACGACTAATAGATCTTGGGAAATGTGGTGATGCGTTCATGATGTTAGTCTGACCTACCTGATGTGTAAATGAGGAACTTGTCACGGATTTTCTTTCAAGAAGAGGTTGATCAAAATTGCCCGGGAACTGAAGTTGCTACTTACTACTGATGGATTTTTTGTGATCGTTGGTATAGTTGTGATTGCAATAGACCCTGTAGAATGATTTAGAAAGAAATCATTGGGGAGGGGCGAGATGTTATATCATGTAATATTTCGCCTGTCCTACCACTGTTTTGAGAAAATAGCTTACCAATACTTTTTACTGCCGAAAAATAAGGTTTAATGAGCAGATCAAACAAAGACAAGCCAACTCAAATCTTGACAAAGGGCAAAACAATTGTTGTAACACCGGGTGCAAAGAAAAGGGGCTCATGATTTTGAATTTATAACGTCATGGAATTTTCCTCCCAGCTAAATGTAAATTTGACAGCGCAGTTGTACAAACATCATTTGGGACTGATCTGATTAGTGGCTCAAAATTACTTCGAATACCAAATATTTATATCAAAACCAGGCAACCACATCAGTAGTAGTTACTCTCACCCCGAGAAATCGATGGCGTGCCGAGTCCTGAGTCACGACTAAAGGCAAGGTTAGAGCCAGGTCTCTGCGCTACTATGGGAAGTTTAGCAGATATATGAAGAGCAAGATAGATAATTTGGTTATACCTGATCGAACAATCGGTCTAGAACATTCAGATGCTACAGATGCTCCCTGGTTCCCGACCTTTAGGCCGGCCCGCATGCCGTAACCCGCAAAGCCAGAAGTTTGTCCAACATTGGCATTAAGACTAGAAAGTGGAGTTCGACGAGGAGTAACGGTAACTCGTCCTTGAGATAAAGGTAAAGGTGTTCCAGCCATATGATGTTGTAGATTGTTCATGCCAATGCTGACAGGAGGAAAATTGCCAGATGTCAAAGGCTGTCGATGGGAGGAAGGAGTCGCTTGAACTTGGTTCACTGTTAATCTTGTGAGCAATTTGTACTATAGTCTTAGAACATTATTTTTTTCTTACGTCGCTGAGATCCTTGGCCGAGTCCTTGACCGGCAATAGCATCCCAGCCGCTACTGTGTCTTCTTCTTTGAAGAGGGGGCGGCGGCATGCTTGGATTGTGAAAACCGCCGCTTTGATGCGTTCCACCAGCCAGTTGATTGGGGTAAAATGGTTGTTGGTGCGGTCGGTGGTTATCGGTGCCTGCATTGTCAGCGAAGCGATTACCAGTTACGGCCGCTTCTATGGTGTCATCAACTGCGTTCGAAGCAGCTGTCTGAACCTGATCCAGCAATCCTCTACGCTTCATCTTATCGTAAAGTTCTTGCGTTTGGAGTAACTTCTTATTCTTCTCTCTGAGATGGTGGTTGAGCTCTTCATTCTTTCGCCTCAAAGCATCCTGATCCGTACTCATACCTGAACACCTTGATTAGCGTTTTTTCAACCATCCGGAGTATCATACATAGACTTACTAATAATTTTGTTGCGAAGACTAGATATTTCGCTGTTTGCGTCATGTATAATTTTGTCCATCTGGGTATTCAATGTTGAGTACTTGTCTGTCAAACTTTTGGCCAGGTATTCTTGGTAAACACTTCAAGATAGTCAGTAAAGCTTTCGTTGGCAGAATGCCTACACGAACATCTCTTGGGTTGTTTGATATGCCCAGAAACTCAACGCTCGGCCTGCACACTCCACTATGACACCCGGAGTAAGCCCACTCAACACACTCGTCTTGTAGTCCTCGCTCGGGTTTAAATTCGCGACAACGACATCGTCAGGATTTGGCAGATGCATGTCGCATGCAGGACATGTTGATCGTCGATTATCTCGTGTGTTATTAGAGAGCTGGGACTGATTCGAACACTCAATACAAAAGACATGACTATCGAAAATAAGTAATGGAAAGGTCAAATGAAAGCGAACATGAAACAGGAATTCGAAGAAACACGAACCTGCAGGTCGTAACTACTGCATGATCGCTCAATTCTTTCCGACATTTCAATGCATTACATCGAAGTATGAACTCCATTTCTTTCGTTCAAAAAGTCAAAGGACAGAGAGGCTTGGTTCTACTGAGGCTCCTTCTCTGTCTTATTCATCAAATGTCAATGGTCATTATTGCCATTGTGGTGATTGTAGTTCTGAGGATTCCATAGAAGTAACCTTAGCAATATGACGAATTGGTTTGTTTAATACAAACTGGAAACTAAAGTTGATAGACAGAATTGATCAAAAAATTGAACAATTGAAGCTTGATGAAAAAATATTTGAGTTCAGAGGAGGCAGTTTGAGAGGTAGATGTTGAACACAATCAGGTCACATGATCCGACACTAGCTTTTTATAAGCTATTCCTCTTCTCCCGCAACTTTTACCTTTCCAGCCCAATCAACACTACGTTTCCTAGTCCTAGCTTCCTGAACAGTGATAATACCTTGTGATCCTATCACTAAGGGTTATATTCTTAATAGTAAAGGTTTTTCTCATGGGCAGTCAAAAGTAGCAAACGGAAGACATTACCCCGCAATTTCGCGTTTCTCAATGATTCGTGCATCCAAATATCGGTTTCATGCCAGGTCTTACCTCACTGACGCCTTCATGCGGCATAATATTATCTCGGTATATCTCCATCTGGAGTATCTAGTGCGTCCGAGATTCGTGGGGATAGTTTCCCCATTGAACTGTTGTTATGTGTCGTTGTACTGTTGAAAAAAGAACGGTGGGATGGTCGCGTGTATATGTGCGCCCAAATCCTACGATAAGGTTGTAATTTTTGCAAAAAGGGAGTTCAAGATGATTCCCAGTTCCCGCAACGTACGATTTAGAAATTGTAACTTCCAGTTTCAAATAAAACCGTATTTCAGCTTGATGTGTTTAAGTTTGTTGTAAGTTTTGCGTGCTTGTAATGGAATTCATAGATCAACTTCGAACAATACCATTGGGATAAGCATCGCGTGTGTGGTAACAATTCCCAACACCGGTTCTCCCCCAAAACCTCTCTCAATACCCTTTTCCGAGGCTCTGCTCTCAATCAAAAACTAGACTGGGATCGAACCGAGATGCAAACATGCAAAGCTCCACAATCAAGCGGGGAAGCTACCATTAATTCATTCATTTGAATGAAGACGGCGTACCTTGCAATCTGTCGTAAAAGGGACATACACCAACGTTGCAAGCATCACTGCTAATGCACTCAATGACAAAAGATGCAGCCTCATTAATGACAATGCTACAAATCCTCATAACAAGAGCACTATGGTCGGGACCCCTTGGGCCTATGCGTTGCCCTAAGTATCCTTTCCGTTTGGAATTAGGGAAGTACAAAGCTCAGCGTCAGTCACATAATTGATCAATTTGACTAGACTGATTGGCTGTCCGTGCTAGTGAGCTGTTAATTTAGGATGTGCTGTAGCATGGGGGTAGAGGGAAGCGGATGAGATTGTGATGTTAGCCTCCCGAATATTTTTCGTGACACAAAAGTGGCAACTTGCATCTCTGGGATTTTAATCGGATCTAGAGTTATTCCTGCTTACGAATAATGACGGAATACTACTATTGGAACTACTTTGGGAGTATGAAATAATTACCCTAGGTTCCTTTCTAGATCTAGAATGCTCGCCCGAAGCAGCACGCATTTTGGGGCTAGTGGCTGACCAGTCCATAATACGTACACTGTAGGTAACGTGCATGACCACGAATAATTTCAAGCGAATAAGAATGTTCGGTATTGCGGTAAAGCTCGTGTTGCGCCGTCGGGAAGCATGAAGTAGTGCCTTCCGAAGTCTGTGAACAGTGTAAACCCACCTAATTTGGGTAACACACAACAAATTTTGGGTTCAATCAGAGTTTTCGCTCACCTCTTTCAGAAAGTGAAATCTTTCCTGCCTGGCATTGCAAGCCCGGAGATACGCAGCACGGCTACAACGGTCCTTTTTACACCCAGCCAGTCTCATCTTCGAGCCGAAACTACCCATTACGCGGGAACATTCGAGGCATGGAAATCTATTAGCATAAAGTACAACGACGATTTGAATTCTGGTTCACCACAGAGACTGGGTGATGTAGAGAATCGCTGCAATCGCAAAAATGACCTGAGCAAGTTGCCAGCACCGCCTATCCAGTTATAGGTTTTGAATTGATGACTCAACCATTATGGCACGTCTGCTCGTCACATACTCAGTCTCTCATAAAAGACCCAAAGCCGCTTTGATCAAAGATGAGGCAACAATATATGATTCGCATCCGCTTTTAAGCCAGCACGCTCTCATATAAACTGTTTCACGGTCTATATTGGAGCCAGCAAATCCAATCCTGTCATATCTATGGATGGAAGCCATGAAACAACAGTTGTACTTGGTGCTCTTCCAACCTCGAGCGGAAATGTCATATTGGCATCGACTGATCCTACCGCAGCACTAGTCATTGACCCAATTACTTTTTAACTAAAGCCGACCTATATGTGTTGCGCATAGGAGTGGGAAAATAACAATGGAAGCCATTTTGAGCACCATAGAGGGGCAAGCTTTGATAGACACAGAAACTATAGTAGCTGGGGAGAAACCTATTGGATTAGACGGTCGGCAATGCGGCAATGGATGAACGAATCAGAGCACGTGGGGAGTACGTACCGGTCCTTGCTGTACAGAAGAGATATTCACTAACTCTCTCCGCGAGACTGTGTAGCATCCTGCTGGACTGCTGCTATGGGAAGGTTGTGGATAGCAGTTTGTGCGTATATGGTGTTCAAGAACTACCTGTCGTTGATGCTAGTGTAATACCTTTGCCTATCGCGGCTCATTATCAGGCTTGTACTTGTGCTCTTTCCGAACAGGCAGCTGATATAACTGGAGCCAGCGTGTGACTCCCTAGGAAGTAGGTTGACTTTTCAGGTTCTGGAAAGTAAAAGGGGACATGTGTAATTTCTTTTGGTGAATAACCTAGACTTTTTAACTGTTCGGAAATGCAGAATCTTCCTAATTTGGACCTAACTCAGACCACTACGGAGATCAGGTTGGTGATAATGATCCACAAGATCCCTTTTTACAAGAGTAAGCCATTATAACTCATCAGCTTACTTGATCCACCACAATGATAATCTCCAAACTACTAGCCCACTGCCAAAAGTAGGATACAGTACAGTCTCATTTTCACATAAGAACCACCTTCAAAACTACGGAGACGCTGCAGCCTCCAAAAATTATTTCCAAGTTTTCAGACTCCAGCTCCTCAAGCCCGATGGAACTGTACCTATCCAAGGTAGTATAATAGCGTCCCACACCTCCAAGAACTACTTGGAAGAAGAATGGTAATCGAACTATCAGCGTTACCGGTGGTCTAATCGGTCTTGCTCTGTCCTTCTTAGCCTAAAACCATTCGATGTTGTCCTTCATAAGCTCATCTCGTTTAGCAAGTCATAGCCTAAGAACTTGGCTATCATACGCTAATCTACACACCTACTGATGGTCTACCTAGATTCCACGGAATTATCTTTTGGTGAGTTAAACCAGTGTATGTTAAAAACGCGGACGAAGTGGAGGGACAACTCACCACACGTTCTAGACTTGAGCTTACTACTGTCATCTTCCAATCCTTCGAAGGAAGCCGATATTGATAAGCAACAAAAAACAGCACTCGGAATGTGAAAATAGAGCACAAAGGTGGGGTTTGGGTCTAATTCAATAAATTGTGTCAAGAGCTCTTGTCAGTGGGATTCCAGACATGGATGTGAAAAATGATAAATCCCATTAATTATGGCATGAGCTTATTGATCACCGATTAGCATCCTAAAGCTCCTCCTTCCACTCGTCAAGCCTTGACAATCTGCCTAAGGCCTCGACTTCACTCCGTGCTCCGTCGCAGTGCGTACCTCGACATTACCATCCTCCATCCCGAAATATGCAGCCACTGGTTTTTGTCCGCCGCCTTCTTCCCCAGCATTGGCGACCTGTGCACCATTTCTACCATGAAAGAGGCCCGTTTCTAGTACTCCGACTATTCTCTTCAATCTTCTCCCTAGGTTGTGTACCTCCCAAGTACCATGTTCTCCATCGCCCTTGTCATTACCTTTCAGATCCGAAGGAATCAGAAGTTTAGGGAAAGGCGCATCAATAATCCACATGCCGTTATCTGTTACGACTGGTCCGGCTTTCGCACTTCCACCTTGCCTAATTTTCGGATCCGGAGATCCGAGTGTAATCAGAATCCTCTTTATAGTTGGGGCGGCTAGTGGCGCAATCTCGATTGGAATAGCTTTCCAAGATGTAAGGAGACGAGGTTGAAGTTTTCGGTAATCTATGTATCATTAGCCTGAGTTAGAGTCACCAACACATTTCCCATATCTTTACTGACCCGCTACACATACGAACTTCTTGGAGGAAGTTGCGACTAGCTTCTCTTGGAAAAGACAGGCTCCACCTCCTTTTATGCAGTTGAGATCTTCGTCAATTTCGTCTGCCCCGTCAAACGCAACATCAAGACTTTCACGTTTTCCCTTTAATCCTAGATCCTGCAACCCCGTAGAAACATCAAAAGCAGCATCCCCACTAAGATGAAGAGGCTCGACAACTACCGGAGGTAGAGAATCTATGCTTCCTAGGGGTAGACCCGCCTCAATAATCAATTGCTTGCTCTGATCACCAGTGGGAACGAAAATCATCTGTGAGGTGATTTCTCGACCCTTAGCGGCAATGGCTTCCACTACATAAACGACAGTACTACCTGACCCGATCCCGATATATTTGTAGGTGGGATCAAAGTGATCCTCAACTGCTTTATATGCTGCTCGACGTTTGGATGCTTCTACTGGTGAAAGGTTTGAGTAGTCATAGGTATGATGAGGAGTAGCATTTTCAGCAGCTGGAGCTGCGGAGGATGCGGATTGGCCAGGAACGGCTGGTTTTGTAGAAGCCATTGATCTCGTGTAGCGTTGCGCAGATATGTTTGATAGATTCGATTTCGAATTATTTAAGAATTGTGGGAAGTTTGGTTGTGTGCTGCGGGAATGACACTTAGTGGAACCAAAACGTGTAAATGAACGATGGGTTGAGTTTATGAATCTTATGTGAAGTATATTGTTAGTGACATGCGAAAATGTATTTGAATGAAGGAAACGAAAAGCAAAATTGCGAGGGTATATTTCCATCAAAACTCGGGTTACGAAATTTGCTTGGGTATTTAAAGATAATTATGATGAATCAATAGTTGTTATATGGTGGGGTCAACCAAGTGGGATGGGCCCCGACTAGATTTTAGAAACATTTTCTGCGATGTTGCTGAATAAGATGACATGACAGCTGAGCTAAACGTCCGATCCGGGAGGAGAGTTTCTCCGGAGCAAAGCTCGGTGAATACAGCCGTGAGGACTTTCTCCGGATTGGAACTAACGCTAAGATAAGAGCTATGGTCAGCACGTGTCGATAAGAGCAATTATTCTTAGATAAGCAAGGCTTCCGAGATGGTCAAGTGTTGGTCCCTTGATGTATGGATGTTATTTTGAATATTCCTATCTTATCATAAATATACATTCGTACATTTTCTGAGTAATAGAAGGATCTACGCATTCTCTATACACTCAAACTTTAAATACCTTAACATCAGTCCCTGTCTTCTTCCACAATGACAGAAGTTGTCACAGAGCCCACCCCTCCCATCCTTCAAGGCCCTTCCGACAAGGAGAAGAAATATGATCGACAACTGCGATTATGGGCAGCCTCGGGGCAAGCAGCATTGGAAAATGCTAATTTGCTACTATTGAATTCTGGTTCTGGCACAGTTGGTGTTGAGACCTTAAAGAATTTAGTTCTTCCAGGTATGTAATGTAACATGCCCAGTTATGCAGAGTCAACTAACAACAATAGGCATTGGAAAATTCACAATTGCGGATGAGGCACTTGTGAACGAGGCTGATCTAGGTGTCAATTTCTTTCTTGACAAGGACAGCTTGGGAAAATCAAGGGCAGAACAATGTGTGAAACTTTTACAAGAACTCAATCCGGACGTGAATGGGGACTGGTATCCGAAGCTCAAGGTACATCAGCAGACTTGCTTGCCCACCAACATATATGCTAAACAGAATATGTATGTAGGATGGCAAAATAGATCAAGTCTTCGAATCAGACCAACAAGAAAAATATACATTAATAATATACTCGTTTCCTATCGGTCCCAAAATCCTCGCCCTTGCAGAGAAATACAGCGCAACCTACAAAGTGCCTCTCGTCAGCATACACTCGGCAGGGTTTTACTCATATTTTAGGACGCATTTACCAGGAAACTTTCCTATTGTCGACACTCACCCTGACTCGACTGCCACGACAGACTTACGGCTCTTGAAACCATGGCCAGAACTTTCGAATTTTGAAGCAGATCTGACAAAAAACATCGACGCACTCAGTGATCATGAGCATGGGCACATACCTTACCTTGTCTTGCTCCTACACTTTTTAAGGAAGTGGAAAGAAAAGCATGGATCCTACCCGTTGTCGTACAAAGAGAAAACGGAATTTAGGACCACGGTTTCAAATGGCACAAGAAGAAATAATGCCGAGGGTGGAGAGGAGAACTTCGATGAAGCTGTTGCAGCTGTGCTAAAGAATATCTCTATCCGAGATTTAAACAGTTCTGTGAAGGAAGTCTTCGAGTATACACCAACTGAGGTATGATAAAAGTGTTCCAATTGAGGAATCTAGTTCTAATCGCCATGATTTTAGGAAGAATCAGAATCAGATTTCTGGATCATAGCTGATGCTGTCAAGCGATTCTATGAGAAGCATAATGAACTCCCACTTCCAGGATCCGTCCCAGACATGAAGGCCCAATCAAATATATATGTACAACTCCAGAATATCTACAAGGCAAAAGCCCGCCAAGATGTCCAGGAAGTATTAGAAACTATTCGTGCACATCCGCGTGGTAAGGAGATTAAAGTGGAGGACGTGGAGGTGTTCTGTAAGAATGCAGCTTTCATCAAGCTGATCCGAGGCTCGGATCCGATATCAAATTTGCAAAAGATAGCAAGTATGTTTACCACGTATATCCAATATTTGAAGAATTGAGACTAATATGCTAGAGTAGAATCGGAATCTGAAAATGATGAAAACGCCCCTTTTACTATGATGCCATTATCAAACCTCCCTATCTACTTAGCTCTTCGCTCAACTTCCCACGTACCGTTAGCTAGTTCGTGTGAAATTCTAGCCCAGATTGATAGAGAAATTCCGAATTCCTCTTCCAATCCGCGTATCCGAAAAGTCGCTGAAGAAGTAGCACGAGCCAAAGGAGGGGAATTACACAACATCTCTTCACTGACAGGGGGAATGGTAGCACAAGAAATCATCAAAATTATCACGAAACAATATGTACCGATCGACAACACATGCATATTTGATGGTATCACAAGTAGGGCACAAGTATTGAGGATCTTTGAGGGAACAAAAACAATTGTGCCTTGAAAAAGGAATAGGGGGGTTTGGCGAAATTGGGAGCCATATGATCGACAAGGAGGGCAAGATCATGCATATCGAGATGCAAAGGGTGCGGGAGAAAGATAAAGATTAACGAAGATTTGCCAATGTCATCAGGGTCAAGGCTAAGCAATAATGATATCATGAAGAATAAAAGACCGAATCAATCTATTCCATAGTAAAATGCGAGAATTTTCAAAAGTCAAAAAAGAGGGGTTTCGAAAGCATGATGACCATACATACAAATCACGCGGTGCAAAAAGAAACCAAAAATCACAACATGGTACAAGTTACACCACATCATGTACGCGGGAGATCTTGACAGGATGATTTTCTAGTGATACATCTGTCGTGCAGTTCTAAGAGAGTTAGTAGTGTATATACTGTAGCATGCATTCCGCATTCGCTTCTGAGTCTGGGTAAAAGGGGGAAATGAATGTTTGTTGCACGGCAGGAGTCTTTATAATATCATTTTGTTGGTTCATGAGGTTGGGGGAGTTTTGATGTTAGATGGATGTACTGGGTTTGCTGGTTCTAGATGTAGATGTAATACTTTATTCTCCGGACGTGGGTGGGGTAACCTTAGATAGATTAGCGGGGTAAATTGGGGTAGATTAGGTGGAAAAGAATGCAGAGGGGAAATTTTGGTAGCGAGCGAGGTGTGGGGTAGGGTAGGAAGATGAGTGCGATGCAAGTATGGGTTAGTGAGTGAATCGGAGCTGAGGAGCTGAAGATAGGTTTGGCTTTGGTATTGAACTAGATCTCGTCGGAATACGGGATAAAAAAGTCCCAAGAAGCGAATGAGCGAAGATAGAATAAATGGTGGAAACTTAAAAGTAAGAATACGGAGTACTGTATGTAGAGAGGGGAAACCCAGAAATAAAAAAAGGGAATTTCGGCCCGATATCCCTTGTGAGTGAGATGAGATGAAGTCTAAGATTACCCACCTATGCTTGGTTTCGAGAATACGATGTTGATTTGGATTTGGATTTGGATTTGGATTGGTCAGTATAGAACAAGAACAGAATTTATATGTAAGATTATGTACTAGCTAGCTATAACCTTATATCTTTCTTAGAGAACGATAGCCTAAGTAACCTTAGCCATGTAAGTTGTAACTCTAAGATCTTAATTTTACATTTCATTTCCCCGGATTTGCTGTGCATATGTATATATATACTAGGTATACATATATAGAAATTCTGCGAATATCGCTATTTGTAAGGGAATATATAATAAGACCCTTACATATAGTATGAAACTTGAGAGAATACTTACTTCCATTAGAATGATCTAGCAAATGTGCTTGAGTATGTAAGTCTTACCAGGTATTTCGTACATCTCCCGCTGGGCGTATCTATTTGAGTTTATGGTAATCTTACGAGATTGCTAGCATTGGCACTTATGCTCGTGATGGGGTATTGGAGCTGAATGCATGCAGCTCTGTTCATTAGTGTGTATACCAAGGACTTTCTAGTGGCTATTGGCATTGAATCGATGCCCATCTAGATTTCCTAGATGTTGATGTATTCATTTCTTGATTTAGATCATGGTTATGTCCGGGGGGCCATTATCGTTTAAGTAGATATGCAAGCAGATGGATACCGATGACACATGCTATGTAGCCCAAGAATGCGAGTATAGATTCATTTAAATTTACTCTAGTTGATCTCACATTTCATATGTGTTGAAATAGTGTTGTGAAATTAACATATTGCTGTAATGGTATCATATCATATACACCGGCGTAACTTCGTAGCTCATATACGCAAACAAGAAAGTGGCCTCCCGAGTCCATCCGTAGCCTATTATATTTCCTCGCCGCCCTCGATAAAATGCCCAGATACCATCCCTTGATGAGAAAAACAAGCTCCTTATTAGACGGAAATATCATAATATACCCATCACTCATTGATGAATAATATATGGCGTTCCGAATTGACCCATCGCAGAATCATCATATTGCATGGGTAAGCCATCATATGGCATATCCAAGCCATCTGGCAAGTTTCCCCATAACATGCCATCTAAATCCCATATTCCCCCATTATCAAGCATCATTAATTGTTCCTCACCCATAATCTCAACCTGCTGTAACATCTCACTATCCATGTAATGTCTCCCATCTATACCACCCATTCGATTCATATCTTCCGAAATCTGGCTGAGCCCCGGACTTGGATGTCTCGTTAGGGGTCGTTTGCTAGCTTCATACATCTTGCTCACGACTTCCCTACTTCGTCTTGCAGCCAACGACCAATCAGCCATGCCATCAAAAGCTTCAAGCACAACCTCGATCTGTGATTGCCAATCTCGAACGAGATTCGTATTCCATGATTCCCAGAATATACTGACAAGTGGTATCATGGATGCTTGATACATGAACCACACGCCATTCCATCCCAGCATTTGGTTTGGACTCCATTCACGTGATATTTGTTCGATGGTCTCTCGGGCAATGGTACGACATGTTCGGATGGCGGCAATTTCTTCCTTACTCGATGCAATTCCTTGGTTACCTCGATTAGCGAGGTTCAGAAGAACAGGCCTGTAAAGCACGATGCGAAGATTCTGATATCTCCATTTCATGACACATCGAGCGGTGTACATGGACTCGGGACAAGGTTCTGTAGAGCGTAAGATCCAAGGAAGATTTTCATACCATTCTACGAGCTGTGCATCGAGATTCGCAAGGTCATCGCTTCGGAGAAGTGGCGTTTGAGCGAGGGCATCCTGAATTTGCGTGGCGACTTTTACAGAATTTAATGTTCTCCGTTAGGGTGATAAGACTCATATTTTGATTCTTGGGGCACATTAGCGATGAACAGCTGAAGGAGGAAGCGGTACAAACAGTATTGTGTAATGATTCAGGTGGCTGGATGGTAATTGTAGGGCCCCAACGACCCATAGAAGGTCTACCTAATGTTGTAGATGCCCAAGTATCGAGACAGAATAAACTCCACCATGTCCTCCGCCTTTGTTCTGCCATTAAATTGCTCTCAGCACTGTTTTCATGTATACTTTCTCGATGTAAACCCATTGCGCAAGCCATTCTTAAGGCAGCTCCACAGATAGCATTTGCCATATTTGGACGATTGATATAGTGAAGATAATACCCTCCCATCAATGATAAGGCTTGTAAAGTTTCCAAATGGCCACTGCCAAAAGAATCAATTCCTAAATGGTCTTTCGCCTGGTTATAATAATCGATATGATTATGGTCGTCTGATTTGTTCGCGACAATACTTCCCATTGCAAATACCATATTCAGCAATGCAAGCCACGGTGCATCTTGACGTCGCCCTTTCAAAAAGTCGGCTCTGAAGGCGGGTTCATCAAGCATCGGTACAAATATTTGTACTCTATTAAAATATGCATCAATGAGTGTCTGGCCATCGGATGACCATGAGACTGCGTGTAATTCTTTGACAGAATTTCCTGGTCCCGGCGTAGGATAGTTGCTGCTTGCTGGAATATGCTTGTTGTTTGAAGGCGCTAGCAGAGATCGGAGTCTTGGTGCTACCTTAAGCATAACCAAAAGCGCAGCTTTAATTGAAGTCGCACCTAAGTACGACGACTGTCTATCAACTGAGAGTGACAAAGCATTTACATCGTCGGCTTCTGCAGGTATTGGATCCCTGTTTCTTCTTTCCTCGTCCCATTCTATATCTTGGCTTGGTATTTGTTCGAGATTTGCTAGGCTTCTATCTTCATCCGAACCAGAATTCAAAGGCGATCTATATTCTTGTGATGTTGGTGATGTATTGGAGCCTGAGGGAGAAGTATTCGAGAACACGCTTCGTGGGGACCGGTCGATGAGAGCAACGAGTTCATTCCGCGATAATGGCAATAATTGTTGCACTTCTCGGTCCGGATAAAGTCTTCGCAAGACGGTACGACATTCGTCTAGGGATTGAGTGAGAGCATCGAGGGTTCTGCTTCAATCAGTATGTCAAGGCAGCATTTGGAATGCAGAAGCATCGTACTTTCGAGAGGGAATTACCCTCTGCCTATGTTTATCATAGTAACATGGTTTGGGTGATCGACATCCAACACATTGCCCACAAGGCTGTCGTCCGTCGCATCGAATTTTACGACGTTTACATTCTGCACATGCATGTGGTGTTGTAATTCTCTTCGTCACTCCATTCGTTGTCGCTTTTGGGGTGTCTTGGATTGTTTGCTCGGAGCTTAAAGTTTGGCGGGGTGGCGCCAGTCCTTGAACTAATACAACGTTGGAACAATGATCAGCATGGAATCTCACTTGCTCCACTCGGTAACTCGGATGTCCTCCTTCTGAGAGTCTACTTACATGTATGGAACATCTTTGCTGAACCAATTGATGAAGGCATGAAGATGAGTACCGAATGCCCGGAGGACAATATCCAACCCACCTCGATAGAATTGGATTGGATTGGGAGTGGGATTGGGATCTGGAATAATTTGCGAATCGATTGCAGCAAGTTGCAGCGATTTCAGCTCAATATGAAATATGACAAAAATACGTCGATGATAGTATCTTCTTGGCCTCTGAGCTGATAATTGCTCATGCGTGAGTCGACGGTAAGATGTTCAACGACTCGGGGAGAACGGGGAAAGACTGCAGCGATTCCGGTAGACTTCAATTCGTAAAGTTCCGGCAAACCAACGGTCACGGTTGAGGCGCCGACGTCGTCTTCGGAAGAATACTGACATTAGCTGACGGCAGCAAGACCCTTCTTTTGGCCAAAATCCTTGATATATTGGGTATATCGCAATATTATATCTACGACGCTGTAGTGGTAGAAGACTCCCTGGCGTCGTTAATGCGTCGTTATGCGTCGTTGATGCAGCTGTGGGGCTTGTATGTATTTTGGCCACAGCATATATGTATATGCAGATCCCTCACGAGGAACATGAGCTGATTTCCTTTTTACTGGATCTTGTGCTTGGAAATTTCTCCAAGTTACAAAACTCTTCCTGCATTGGCAGGGAAATGAAAATGGGAAAAGTCTTGTCAGATACTCAATTAGGTCTTTTGCAAAATCATATGCTTGCGTTAGATGTCAGATTGACAAATTCGGATTTCTTAATAGATTATTTGGAATGAAGTTCTTGCAGGTCTGTTGGGCACGAGTATTGATGATCCCTTACTTTTGTTTGAGGATCGAAGATTATTTCAGAGCTGTCGTACCATGGGGAAAGTATCATACTTGTCAGTTTTCATCTGATCTTTTCCCGCCTCCACGATCCCAGTTTCCCCCGACTTTCCCCACAAGATGCTTGTGCTAAGCTTGGCCAATTATGACACGTCGAGCTCGAGAGCACGTACAGTTCTGCTCAGATAGGGGAAGTTGATTGGCGACAAGAATGGGGGTGAGTAGGGATGGCTAAGACTTCCGGAAAATTGATTTGGCGATGGTAATTACCTTGAAATTTGGAACCATATATTACAATGCATCTTCTCATATAAAAGGATACTTCTCTTTCATCACAAAGATATTACCTTGTGCGTTTTTTAAAGAAGATCACTGCAGCAAAAGGGCAACACAACGATGAATCAACACATCACGAACTACTACGGACCACTAAACTCAAACTCGAGCTCAAAAGCTGGAAAAATTCTCTTAACACGTGTCAGAAATCCTCGTTGTGGATTTCTCGTCTCCAAACTTTGACTGCGCCAGAAGTTTCGGACTCCAAGAGGGCTTGCCCGCTTACTTACCACAGCTCAAGTACTTCCAAGAAACGACCCAGATCCAATGACAATACGTTCAAAGTGCATCTCATATCTAGTCATCTACGAAAACTCTGCATTTTATGCAATACATGATGTCCATCCAACATCTTTTTTGGATAATCCGGGACCCTGGTATAGGTAAGCCAAGCCCAATCACCTCAAGGACGTTGCAGCCTTCCTGCAGTAATTCGGCGAATTTCCAACCTGCAGTCGCAGCAGCGGGAGCAGCCAAAACACATACAATAATCGAATTTCAGCTGATTATCGCGGCCCACGGCTGCTCCCTGCCTGCACATCATACCGAGGCGTGTGAAGCATGACATACTCGTTCTTGAAGCTTACATCTCGTCCTCGCCGATGATCCAGCTTCCAAGCTTTTTATTTTCTTCAGCGCCCAACGGCCGGAAAACCCAATAGAACATCCCCAGGTTTCCGAATATCACGTTCTCCTTCTTGATGCCCGGGGAATTTTCCTAATCAAGACTTACGAGCAGCAGAGACCCGGTTAGTGTATGTTTCCTCCCGTGACAGGGGTGGAAGTAAATTTTGACGAAACGCGGGGTGATCAACAGTGAGTATTGAAATTTTCGCCTCTTAAAATCTGGCAAAGCTTCCCCGCCCATAGATTGTGGGGAACTGTGATGATCGAATAAATTTGCAATGTATGTAACTAAAATTTGGAGGACACATCCGGTACATAGTTGTGAGCCGCGTTCATTATGCCGAACCGATACTTAGCGTGTAACGGCGGCTGAGTATAGGCATTTCAGCCGAGTGCCCCTTTAAATAGTTATTGGTTTGGAATGTATATGGTGGCGTTAGTGCGAAGAAGATCTCCTTCGTATTATGGTATCGCCAGCTCATGTTTGAATCCATGGGAGCTCTATGGCTTCATTGTTGGCGCCTGACCATGTACTAGGGGGCTTCTTTTCTGAGTTGGCCATACATTGCGATGGGTATGTCCAATGGACGTGAAGTAATATTTTTACCATACATTTGGAGTAGTTAACCCCAGAACCTCAAGATATTGAATGTATAGTATACGAAGGAATAGAATACGATCATCATGTAATTTTAAACCAGACGCAATAACATAAGTTCTCTGGCCTCATTCTCTGTGAACATTCACGTGCTACTCATCCACCGAAAAAAAAAGTATTCATCCACGAGAAAGTTCTTTGCTGTGCAACCCACCACACTGGGCCAAGGGTGCCTCTTTCAATAATCTGACTACGCTTAGTCTAAGTCGAGTTCTATGCCAACCCCAGCCTGGTGGTAATGGATAGGTTGATCTTTAATGTCCTAGAAGTAGTCAGACATTTATGGAAGAGATATTCCTAGAGAATGGGTAGAACAAGACCCTTTTTCTTTATCAAATGATTAAGTGGCTGCGAAGCTGCAAAAGGCGTTCCGTGAGGAGGGCCATCTGCGTGCTTCATTCAGCACCACCTGTTTCAATTCTTGATTGATGCATATAAAACCACTTCAAATGCGTTGAAGATTGAAGTCCAAAAATAGACTTCTCTCAAGACTGATCGCTACAATGGCAGTCTGAGTGGTTCGAATGCTAGCAAATCTTGTTCAAAGCCTCAATTTTCCTTACCGCTAAACTAGAAGATCGGTTTGCGCCCCTTAAAAACTGATACAAAATCCTGTATTAGCTCACTCTTATTGATTTGGTTGATAATATCAATCTAGGAGATCGTGTTCAAGATCATAAACACACAGTGGGTGGACGCTGTGTCTCGGGTTTTGGCATGGCATTCATCATTCACGGAAATTTTTCCTCTCATCGGAGAAATAATTGCGATTCTTGGTAACCTGTGAGTATACATGAAAGTCTCTAAACGCCCTGTGGCAGCATCCGTAGATGTACTTGAGCAGGCTTGACTATTTTTAAAAGTCTAACACTATTAGAAATTACTTCGCCAAATATTGCATCTGAAGGCATAACCAACTCGATACCGTGTTTCCGTTTTAGCTTCTCGATTTTTATAACACGTACATCTCGTAGACCAAATACCATATGTTTGAAGCGTCCGACAAACAAGTAGTATAGAGTACAAGGTGTCAACATCTTTGGTGGTGGCAAAGTAATGAGGATGTCATCAATTTTTCAATCCTCCGTGACGATTTTGCAGCAGCTAATAGCCAGTTTGGTGATGTTAAATAATGTTTTAGTCTTTCAGTTTGACCAGAATGTGTATTCTTATACGCACAGTGCATATCAAGCATATTGTCAACGTGAATCCAAGTCGCCAAATGGAACTTGTGGGGTTGCAATTCTCTCATCATTAAAATAACAGCACTAATAGCAAATGAAGCATGACCAGACGGATTCCTCTTTTGTGTGAAGTAGTCAGCCAGCATATGTATTCTCGTTAGCCTAGTATTATCCACCAACTGCGCTGTTATTTACCAGGCACTCCACAAGCAAATCCCTCGCAAGTTGGCAACATTCCTAGCTAGTGGCCCATGCTAGAGAAACCCTCAAAAAGAACCTTTATGTCAGACGAGAAGGCTGTGGCTTTTGAAGTGAATTTGCGAATCAAAGTGTGGGTTGTAAGAAGCCACTGGTAAATACAAAAGTTTGCTTGACTATGTTTGATCTGTGTGGCTTGATAGTTTGCTAGCTAACACAAGCGTCATAATTATTGGAAGATGGAGATCGGTGTCGACAAAGCATCACAAGAGAGATAAGTACTAGTACGATCCAAACTTTGTGTTAGATCTGAGCAGCCTTTCTGTCAGGTCTTTTTAACGAGCTCCTTACAGATTTCCAAAGTTAGGGGTGATTTGTCCATAGAAATTATGGATGTTTTGAGCCGGTCAATGACCTCAACGGTATGTGGGGGCACATATTTGTTCTCCAACTTCCCACATAATGTATTGGCTTCAAGGAGTTGTATTCTTGCCATAAAAGATCGTAGCGACAATGAAGTGTATTGTGGCTTTTCGAGAGGATACAAATTATTTGCAATCGCACTCTTCATAAGAGACCCAAGCACCATCGAGTCGCAATCCTTTCTGTAACGATCGACATCAATGTACTCCATCGGCATTCCATAAAATCCACCAAGCCCGGGAATCTTCTGACTTGTACAAACAAGGTCGGGCTGTTGATATTTAAATATGGTGCCATTAAGAACTTGGACGGCTTTTCCGATTCCTTCTATCCGATATGACTCCAGTTTATCTTTGTATGTTAGTGATGCGCCCAGATGTACTATTGCATGCTGAGGAAACTTACCAACTACAAGTTTCGGAATAGGTAGAATTGTCTCCTCAAGACTACAAGTACCTTCCGCTTGTATTAACTGCGTAGCTTCAAGGAACTCACTATCCAACTCGAAATGCCATGCTATGCATAACCAACAGGCAATACTGGTAGACGAGGTCGTCCATTCAGTTGTCAATCCGTTTTTCCAAAGGGAAGGGAATGGCCGTACGACTTCTTTACATTGGTATTTATCAGCCAAAATTGCTATCTGCGTGAATAACTCCAGCTCGATCTTCAACGGAACTGAATTCATACGACCATGAATAATATTGATCAATATTCTCATGGCAGCGGGATCATCATCTGGAAGAGGAACTGCGAGTTTTCCCGTTGTCTTTAATTCAATACCCTCTCGGAAGCGACCCTCGAGCATTGCTTTAAACACCGGAGATGCAAGAGACATATGCTTTGAAGATACCAGTATACGATCATTGTAGACTAGGGTCGACTTGTCCGATATTTCAGGTCCAAGTGATCTTTTCGTTTCTGGATCGGTGGAGTCAGAAACACCATTAGTTTTAGCAGCGTTGGCACCAGCACCTGGTAACGGACGGCTGGTGGACTTTGATGAATCTAGCTTGGTTGGACTCAGAAGAAAAATCAAATCTCCATCAGGATCCACAGTAATGTTTGGGGCTGAGGACATTATCATTGTAGCCTAGCTAATTCAGATCCAAGGAAGAATTTTCTCCTAAGATAACAGAGGTATGTGAACTCTGAAGGTATTCTGGTAACCGTGTTCTAACAAGCGTTGTTAAAGTGAGGTGAATCAGCTGAAAAGCCAGCGTGACGACTGAACAGTCTAACTTAATTAGGTCACCGCCTTGACACATTCGGTATTCAATAGCCTGTATTCAATTCGAAAGTGTCCGGGAATAAATTTCTGCTGACCCGTAGCTTTAACTGCGCTTCTGCGGGTTGGCTGGTGGATTAGTTAGCAGAGCCTGATGCTTTGTTTTGGGATTTTAAGTGAATACTTTGTGATGGAAGCTGGACAAAAATCCTGCAAATGGTCCTCTTGCGCGAGACATACACCTTAATCCTAGAAACAGCACAAAGAATATCCTTTACAATAATTCGAAATTAGTGTTAAAATGAGGGTATAATCCATATCTTAGTTTAGATAAAATGTCTACGTCGAAATTCTCGGATGAATTTGTGTTTGTGATATCAACGGAACGTTTATTTACGGGAAGTGATGCCGCGCATAGTGGAATGGAGGAGGGTCGGGGGCTTAGCGAAACACAATTCTACACCAAAAGTCATCTATTTCAAAAACTTTTACAAATTCGATAAATAAATATATATACTTCAAATTTAGAAAAAATAATAGATATTTAATAAAATTTCAATATCTCGAGTTTTCAGATTTATATATCATAGTTTCAGTCTTTATCACTTCAAGGCATGATAGGTGAATAAGGTCTTCTATTTTCTAACCAGTCTAAATCTAGAAAGACACAGCTCAACAGAGCTATAGATCTATATAAAATGATAGCTTGCAGGGCTAGCATTATGTCATATAAGATCATAGCTATGATACCCCAACTTTAGAAGCTAAAGGAATCATCCTACTTGCAATATCTTTGAAAATAAAATAAAGCGTAATTTGTAAGGCTATAATACTTCCATCTGCAAAATGAAGCAAAAAAGGGGTGCCCTTAATGGAAAAGATGGAGGGTGGGAGAAAAGCGATGTTGGAGAATAATGACGCATGAGATTACAGGAAGGAGGAAGGAGAGAAGACTATAGCTTTTATACCTAGTTAAATAGGTAATATAAAGCTAGCTAGCTCTTCGTCGTCCTTTGACGTTCTTTCCCTGAAACCCCTGTATATTGTAAAAGAGGTAGGTCGAGATACATGCATTTTAATAGTATATTGTGAAAAGGAAATGGAGGAAAGAATTGATTAGATTATATTGTAATATATCATTTAGAAAATAAAACAGATTTCGTAATAAATTTGGAGTGGAAATAATATACATTCAAAAGTATATGTATATAAAATTAATTATTTTAAAAAGAGAACAATAAATTATTTCTTTTATAGTTAATTATTAAAGATTACATGACCAAATAACTGTTACGAGGTTTGCCGTCTAGATCACGTGGAAGTGCTCTAGGCTCTCGAAGTGGTTTATAACTAGGCGTCAAGCAGGGACTTAAGTAATGACAATAATGATATACAATTCGTAACTAATAGTAGAGTATACTAAATGATTGATCTTGAGCACGAAGCTCTATACAAAGGAAATCCATCTTGATTGTATAGACCTTCATGCTTCGTGGCTCGAAGGGAGCGAGAGGATCGAGCTTCGATCCTTTCGCTCTCCTCGATCGAAGGGCTCGAGAGGCCAAGCCTTCGAGCTCTTCGAGTCCTCGCATCACGTGTTATTGCTAATCCCGTGACCTAATTGTTACCTGTCGTAACATATTAGTGTTTATCTTGAAAATCAAATCAAAACATTGAAAGATTGAATTAATAAATATTTTTGAAACGGTTAAATTTTGATAATAAGAATTATAAAGGCTTGGGCCTGGCCCTCTTCAAAGACTAGCCCGAGTATACCCGCGTAAATTAGCTACGGCTAGTGCATGAAATTTGCGAGTTAGATTTTTGATTCATTGAAATAGGTACCTCTAGAACTAACTTGAATGATAAAATCGGCTAAACAGATACGTAACGTGAAGAATAGGCCATAGGCTGTGATTCCCGGCACTAAATCTCCATCTCTCTTCGCTATTTCCATGTCATTAGCCAGGTATCGGGGGCCTGGAATATCACTTGCATTGATCATATCGCGGATGACAACATCTAGACGATCATTTGCGGAGGCAGCTCCAAAACACCTTTGTATAATATCAATAAACACTAAGGAACTTTGATCTATAGTAAATTTAAAATCAAGACGCACATCGTATATCCCGAATCAAGATAGCTCTTCATATTCTGCGCCGTGAGTAGCGCATGTTCCGCTATTCCCAATTCTCCAAGCGCATTCAACTCCCCTCCATTCCACGTGAGATATTCATGAGCATCTCTCAACCCACTCATTAAAGTCCGACCTCTTCCTTGGAACACTCATGTCTTCGAGTCCTCGCGTGATGAGTCCTTGAGGAGTTCCTCTCGGCATGGAAAAAACTATGGAGCGGATTCGTCCGCCTTCAATTAGTACATCACCAGGATATGGGTTTTGGCCGGTGGAGTCAAGAATGGTGACATTGAGGAAGATAATTTTGGAGGTGGAGAGGGTCCCAAGAATGAGTAAGGCGCGGGCAGAAGAGATGGGTGGAAGTTGAGGGAAACTATAGGGGTTGGATTTCGAGGGGTCGTTGAGCGGGTTGTCATGACTAATGAATAATCAAGTAGAGAATAAGCAATTTTAACTCAGAATGCTGATTATTTGAAAAGGATATTGGACAATTCTCGACACTCCTGGTTGGATGCGACCTAGCACATTTCAGAAATGCCACCATAAACACCATTTAACAGTGTACACTGCCGTCATATAACCACTCCGATTCTCAGATTATTCTCCAAAGTACATCACCGACTCAGTTCATCGATTTTTTTTATCATCGTTGCCATAAATATTTCTTGTCTTATTCATCGAACTGCACACCTTACGTGGCTGTAACACTGGATGAACAGGGTTCTCCGCATCTCCACCTCGTGTGGTGCAGGGCGGGGAAAGGCCACCTTAATACATCCAAAAAGACTTCCAAAACAGAATGAAATCTTTGAAAGCACATTAATAACAACAAGGAAAGAGGAACGAAATGAGAGGCTTGCGCGGTTGAAAAGGGAGAGCTTGATTGAGGTTTGTGGAGAAGTTTGGTGATGATTAAAAACGGTGATGTGAAATAACGTGACGTGAAATGAGTGAAGTATCCTCCTCTTCACCTCAACAACTTTTGTTTTGTGATTGGGATTGGAATAAAATAAAATTTCAACACAAAATGGAAGGCTGTTATTACAGCTAAAAATTTAATCGGCTCTTACGTCAACTGATGCCTGTCTATTTAACCATAAGCTCACCCCACATTAGAAACTTACCCATTAAATATGTACATATCCGCACTCATCGACGGGTCTTCACCAAGGTAGAACGAGTTTCAAAAGAATCAAATGACTTCATCGGAATCCTCAAAATTCTTCACAGAAGACTGGACAATAACCATTCCCACGCATCCCAACCTCCGCTTCATCCGTCTAATCCCTACTCGCTACAACCATCTAGTCCGCATCTTCAGCAACCCCCTAAACGATCCACATAACCCCGCTCCCACCTCTGCCAACTGGAAAGAATCCGACACTCACGATCTAATAAAAACGTACACGCAGCGCTACACCTCAGCCAAAACGGCACATAATGCCCTTGCACTCCTAGTAGAAGAAAAAGGCAAAATCGTCGGTATAGGCCTAATGCATGAATTGGAGTATCAACCCGGCGTAGCGAATATCGGTACGATACTTGAGGAGGAGGCGAGAGGTCATGGTGTTGGGAGGGTTTTGATGGAGTTGTTGTTGAGGTTAAGTAATGAGTTGGATGTGGGTGCTGTGGAAGTGGCTACGATGAAGGGGAATAGTCCGATGAGGGGGTTGATGAGGAGTTTAGGGATTGGAGAGACGGAGGCGGAGAGGATTTTGCCGGGAAATAAGAAGGTAGCGGATGTTATGTTTAAGGATATTGATAGGAAAAGATGGAAGGATTTTGAGTTTGAACTTGAGTTTGTTGGGGACGGTGGATGATTGAGAAATTGTTTATCAGGGGGATAAATCGCTAAGATATCATATGTCATTTCGCAGGTAGGATTTGGAGGGGATTTCGTATATAACACGCGGAGACCGTATACATCTCATCTGTCTAATCACACCTTTTGAATCAAGATCTATCTCGATTACTTGTACCACGGGTAATCCTGGCAGGCACAATGCAATTCCTTGCAAATAGTTTATCTACCCCGATAAATTTGATATGGTAGTAGAGAAGGATTTGATTGTCACGGTTCACCGAGTGGTTAGACCCATCTGTGTTTCACAGCTGCATTCCCAGGTAGAGATTCTTCTCCACTAGCTCAGATGCTGGGGTCTGGTGGCTTGGGTGCTATGATTTTTCATGGCTAACCATGGTGACGGGTGGGGTGGTTCGTTTTTCTAAAGGGGAAGCTAGCACTACCCCAGTGAGTAGAGAAACAGCAACGCCGTTTAATAGTGCCTAATTCTCTCCACCACTTACTTTTCAAGCAAGAATAAAATATTATGATAAGCTCTACTAATAGCTCCGGATCGAAGAGCAAAGCCATCATTGTGGTCGCAGCGGGTTCTTTTCACACTCCCGTGCCATATGACCCTTGAAAAGTACCTCAGGTCACCGAACATCACACGATTCGCCCAGCTTTACGAGCTGTACCAATATAGAGGGTCCTATCTTTCCCTCAATCACTATCATTGATGATGCCCTTGCTTTATGTCTCCAAATCACCGCCCAAGTTGAATGCGAAAACAATTCAGTCTTGTTAGCCATGCATTTCTATAAAGAATCGGTTGGTGGTAATGCAGTTATCCAGGAGCTTAGATACATATGTATCGAAGGACTCGAGTATTGTTTCGAGGTGGAATTGCACCTATACTATTTCAGTGCATTCATCTTCCCAGTGAAACATTCCGTTCTTGGTGCATTTGGGCAATCTTCGAATAACGATGTTTGAATAAGCACTCTACTCTATGATATCCACTACATCATCCGTCAATTAAGAGAGTACCGTATATAATTCTAGCCAGATGAACGTCTTGCTATCCGCAACAGGACCTCTATCCTCTAAAACGACCCATTAGATTTCGATGCGAATAACCGGGAATCAAAAGTCATTCTCCTATCCTGCAATGTCCAAAAGACAAAACCTACACATGCTACATACACATACCTTCTTTCAATTTATCTCTGCGAGAATGACAAGGCTGCCCCTTCCAACTATCAGGACATGTTTGCGACTACGTCAGGTGCTCAAATTGATAGGTGTAGTGCAGGACATTCGGTAATTTTTAACAGGTAGTCGAGCTGCACTACTTACAAAGAAGATTCGCTTAGGCAGGCTTTATTATAGACACTGTTATCTTCTTCATATTGACATTTCTAGATCTTCAACATCAAGTGTGTCCCATTCACCTTGAAAAGAGACTCACATATTTTCATTGCCTTAAAACCCAAGTTCCAATCATTCTTGATATAGGTCATGGAACAGATGTATCGGCTTTATCTATGGCAGAATCCTATACAAATTTAAAGATACTTGCGACATACGTATAATTAGCAATTACCTAGGTGTCAGTTGCCCAGGAAACTTCACACATGTCGAAGAGGATGCAGAGAGTAATCTTACGTAGTCGGTGGGAAAGTTCAACATCATTAATAATCGCATGCTTACTTCCGGTATCCATAACTGGGATGAATCCCTCGAGAAATGCTGGGGCACCTTGACCCAGATTGAGTACTTGGGTTCCTCGACATTTGCTACCATTTTCGCACCGTAGATAGGGGAGTAAATCAGCATTCGTCTGATTTCATTGGATTTGGTCTTGCAGCAACTGAGAAGCATCGGGTAGGCAAAGGACCTGAACTTTCCCGCAAGCACAAGACATTTTGAGAGACTGGAAAGAGCTAGGTTATGGATGTGAAAGAGCATGAGGTCAAATGACCACTTAATGCTTGAGCAAGATAAGAGGGGTGGAAGGAAAGCGGTGCAATGAAGCTTGGAAGTTTCCAGAGATCTAGGAAACCGCTGGTGTGTACATCCTAACTTGGACTGCGAACATGACCTAAAAATAATGCCCGAACATAGGATGCAACAGCCGGGAAGCGTTTAGGTAAGAGTCATGAGTTAAGAGTCATGTGCCTAAAAGGTTCTGCTCGGCTGGGCATATACTATCTTGCATCTCACAAGGAGAAACAAGCAGACACTAAGTATCCCTATTATATACACCTTACTTAAACTCCTCCCGTGAATTAGCTTTGGGAATCATCACCCTCCTTTTCATGTTTGGACTAGTAAAACCCAACATGACTCAATTCACATCAGGCAGATCTTACTATCAAGTAATAATACACTTTAGTTCTCAGAAACCCTTTATATCTTCGTATCTTTGACTACCTAGGTACCGGAATCCTCGGGAATTATCCACTGATCTGAATACTTGAACTTTCAAGGAAGCCATACATTCTACTATTGAGTTCATCCTCCACAAACCTAATTAAGCAAGTTTTTGATGTAATTTCGGTAAAGCATTGCTCTCAATTAGACTGGTCATTTCATGTCCTGGGTGATTCCTTGAACCATTTGAGCTTCTGATGTTTACTTTCGTTTGAATGGGGAAACTGGGGAAATGATAAAAAGTCTCAACTAATTATGATCTTCTATATTTATATTGATTATATTTACTAGACGATAGAGATAAGATTAGATTGTAATAATTTCTTTGTTGGGTTTGATTTATATCTAGATTATAGCTTGAGTAGTAGATTTCTACTATTAGTGAAGTAATTTATAATAAAATATTATATATAAGATTACTAATATATAAAGTCGAAAGTTAGAAAAAGATATATCCACTCTATACTCCATAGACCCGAAATATCTACCTACTACAGCTAATAATTTTCAAGACAGAACACATACAAAACCTATTCCACGCACACTTAAAAAGAAATCAAACAATATCTATCTAACATTTATCACCTACAGACAGAAAAGATAAAACAACAATCCAACCACAACCAAAATACCCATCCCAGAAATCCTTCCGCATAGAATCTAATGACCCAGCTTGCGTGGCAAGCCAGGAACAACACCAGGAACAAAATTACCTAATCCTGGATCATCCTAGAGACCGAGTAGAAAGGAAAGCTAGTCTCACAAAACCCATATAATAATCATACAACATATACAATAACGCCATTTGGTTGGATACGGATAAGCAAACTTTACCAACCGGTGTGCATCCACTGCATTATTGAAACAAAAACGCAAGAGTCACCTATCTGCATCTGCATCTTTAATCTACATCGTACATTGCAATTTGTACTCTACATGCAGAAACGAAAAGAAAAAACTTGCGCACATACGGATGGATATTCGAGAGTCAAGTGAAGACAGCAAGTCTACCGAGTATCTGTACGAGTAGTCAGTCCACCAAGTCCTTACAAAGCGGTGTAACAAGAGCACATAGAGATCCAAGCTGAGCATTGTTTTCTATCTAGTCCTAGCTCGTTCCAAAAAAAAAACAACGCCTTATCCTTCCTTATCTAGTCTATCTATGGAATTGTGTACGCGAAAGAAAGAAAAGACCAGACCATCTTTCTTATCACGCTATGACAAAACCCCACAATCCGTTGTTGCGAATGTCCATTTGTCACAATATTGGAAAATTCGGTCTTATTTATTGTTTTATTGTCTTATTCCTGTTGGGATGGAAAGATGTTTAGAACTTTAGAGGTCTGGTAGGGTTGAGTTAATGTAAGCTTTTCTAGTTGATAGATTGGATGGGACCTGGAGCTAGGATGTTGCTGGATATTTGCTTTGATTGTTTTTTACTCTTTATTCGGGTGTGGGGATTCGATCACTGGGTCGAAATTAGATAGGATGGATTGGGTTTTTACCTTGATGGGTAACCTTATTGCGAAGAATTTAGATTTGGATTTAGATTTGGGTTTGATCTGAGGTTAGTGAGATACCAAGGATATGGAATTTGAAAGATTGGTGCCAGGTGACATATCAATGCTTAACCAGACAAACCAAATAAGAACACCAAAGACGTCATGATAAAACATATACATCTAAATTTTTATTATATCCCGAGCTTCCCAAGCTATTTTATTCCATATAAACTCATATCTGACATTTCATCGACATCGTAACTACCTATCCTAGTCCCATAAACATTCAAACATAACATAACATAACATAATTCATATCATTAGCATAATCATAACAAACCACAAACCAAGCACCCTCACAGAGGAACATTGTAACCCTTAAACTTTCGCGCCGGTATCCTCTGCTCAAACAACCAATCCAATTCATCAAAAGTCCTCCCATTCGTTTCTGGTACTCTCAACCAGACCCATAAAGTCCCGAAAGTTGATGTTCCAGCAAAAATAAATCCAATCTTTCCTCTTAGGTTTGCTGAATCGGGATTTATCAATAGTGGAATGACAATATTCATTAGAATTCCAAAGAGACTCTGTACCACTATACCAAGTCCTACGGTCCTCGAACGTAGCGATGAAGAAGGGACTTCAGCAAAAAGTGCCCAGCCCATTGGTCCGATAGTCGAGAGATAAATGAACGAGAAAATGATGACACAAGCTACTTGGCCAAAAGCAGGTCCCTTGCTGGAGTAATTTGGTAGAACATCCAATATACCAATGACCAAGAGCAAAAGTGTCAAGATTGCCGTTCCAACGAGAGATGTAGAACGACGTCCACATCTGTTGATAAGAAACCATGAACAAATAACTCCCAAGAGTCCTAAAATTGTAACACCAACCGATAAAGTGAATGCGTTTGAATTAGACATGCCAGCAAGTTCAAAGAAATAACTCGAGTATCCGATTGAGAAGACGACACCGGCAAGTTGAGCAACAGCGAAGATACCCATGGAAATTTCTGTACGACGAAGGTTGGAGCCACGGAAACAATCGAGATAACTGGTTTCGGAGGAATTCTTTCTTTCCGTGGAAATGCTTGTTGTCATTTCTTCTATGGTTGTAAGTGGAGATGGGTAACCTAGACGAGCGAGGGTCGAGATCGTGGAATCCATATGGGAATGACGAAGGAGATACCAAGGCGATTCGGGTGCGAAAGAGAGACCCAGAATGATGATTGCGGGAAAGATGAATTGGAGAGCAAAAGGAATTTTGTAAGCTGCTGACGAGGATAATGTTCCTGTGCCTTTAAGCACAAGGTTACCTGTAAGTTGACCGACGGAAATAAGTAGTTGAACCCCAGAAGTGGTTAAGCCTCGTATCTTGGCAGGGCATATTTCAGCAGCATAACTCGATGGAGTGGTAAGGAATGCACCCAAGGCAAGACCATTGATGAGCTATAAAGTGTTAGTTCCAATCCAGGCTGATGAAAGAGAAATCTTACCTTGCCTACAAGTAACATCGCAGGCGATGAAGCAAATACTTGCAAGAATGCTCCACAAATGCTAAATAAACATCCAACCGCCATTGTCAACCTTTTCCCAAACTTATCCGCAAGGTATCCTGTCGCAATAGCACCAAACAATTGTCCAATATATGAAGCCGAGTTGAACCCTGTTTGCCATTTGAAGCTTATTATGTATTCGCCTTTGTATTGGTATCCAAAATCACGCTGGAAGGAATTTATAGATATCGAGCCATTGGATATCTACAGATGCTGATTAGCCACATCAGTTTTCTTGGGTATTCAACCTTCTACTAACCTGTATGTCCACACCCCAATTGATGGCAGCCAGTGCGAAAAATCCAGACCACAAAACCGCCACTCTATGCCTCTTCACCATCTGCCATGTAGAAATATCTTCTTGTTCCTCCAGAGTTTGTGAAGTCGTAACTGGCGTGACCGTTTCCTCAGAAACATCTACTTCTTCTTTATGCTTCATCGTCATGATTTCTTTATTATTGTCGATTAGAAAAAAGAAAGGTCGTTACCAATTCATTATCTGGGGATCTCGTATTTAATTATATCAATGCTGATCTTTAAGCGGGAGCCGTGCTTAACGATATAAAATCTGGGGAAATCCCGGAACAACGATATGCTCGCTACGTTCCATGCTCGCTACCTTTTTATAGTCAAGAGCTGAAGGGTCCAAACTCAGAAGAGACATTGATTAACGAATGAAATGTTAAGAGGTTGGGATTTCTACAAGAACCGGTGAAGACTACCCCTGCTTCCATGTTCCCAAAAAAAAAAGGCGGCGAACATCTTTTGTTGAATTTGATTTGTTCTAGACGTTGCGCTTGCTACATGAGGGTAGACGAGAAAACTAAATTACCCACTAAGTTGTCATAGTCTGTGGCTACAAGCGGGCAAATTCTTAGACCGCATAGCTAGCTCAAGGTCAAGCTTGTTCCAGAAAAACCGTGAAAAGTGGAACAATCGGTAAAATGCCAACCGAATATATCAAAATACCTCACAAAACATTTCAACTTCCTTGCAATGATTGTTCACGACGAGTCAGTACTAAAAATGCAAGAAACGTGGCCATGAAGTCTGGATTATGATAGGAAGATTAGTGGAAATGCAGAACGCCTTAAATCTTTCCAGTAAGTATCAGAATAACGAGCCTCCCCAATTCCTTATTCTCTACTTGCCAGTAATTTTGAGCATGCAGCAGTAGACTTTGCTGATCACGGTACGAAATTGTCTGAATCAGTTCTCTGATAATATCGATATCATGACCACACATTAATACGACTGCTCGTAGTAAAATCAATACTCCGGCGCCTCCTAGAACGTATGCGATCATTGGCGCCAGGCGAAGTGCTGTGTGGATAAACTCATAAAATAGAAATCCATCATAGACACCAAGTCTCCGATCTTCTAGCAATATGTCACTTATTGCTTGAAGCAGATGCAATATCTGTTGCGCGGCATGATTTTCCAATTGCCGGTCCCCAATCGACCCATAAAATAGCACATCATCTATGCGTGAACACAGAGGGTTTTCCATATCAGTAATTCGATTACCGAACGGATCTGGGCAATATTGCATTTGTTCTGAACTGTTTATGACCGCACAAATCCATCGCCCCGCCTCTGAAAGCTTATCAGGATCATCATAATGTTCGAATGTGTCCCCAAATATCTCCATAAAATCGATCCTTGAATTGCCTCTTTCACGAGCTTGATGGTGGATTCCAGGTAGATTGCGTGCAAGTTCGCTTGACCGCATTGGGACATCATAGCCCTTTGGAAAGCTAAGAACCACAGGCGGTGAAACTCTTTCGAGATGCTTGACAGGACTCTTATAATGTAAGGGCGGAATTGGTAGCGAATTCGGGGCGTAGCGCCGATTGTTTCGTAACCCCGCCGTAATTATACCATGGTACGGAGCCATTTTATAAACTCGGCGTTGGCTTAATTCTAGAAATGATATTCTCGAAAGATGAGAGTAAAAATGAAATGAATGACGTGGAATAATGGGGGTAATAAATGGTGTTTGGTTTCGGGGATCAAAAGGAACAATGCAGTTAAAATAACGAGCTGCGTAAATGACCTGGAAGCAGGTATTCAAAAGTTTTATATAACCAAACTTTGATCTCAAACGTCACACAAACTACCACAATTGCCTTCGGCACCAAATCACACACGTACAACCTCAAGACGTCCGAAACACAAAAATGTTAAAGCGGTTCGAAACTATTGGCTTATTTTATGATTTCCAGGTGTAGCACCGGAAAGATCTGCCTTATCGTGCTACGCAAACATTAGGAAGCGCACAGAAAATACATCGCCTGATTGCGCGGATAAGAAATGAGGCGGATTGATGATGGCCCCTACGTTAACGTCCTCGTGGATGAGTACTGGTGCACTCGACCAGCAATCAAAACACGATAGAATGTTTCGTATATGCAGAAGTAGGCTGATAATGATGCCAGCTTCAAGAAAATATGTAGATAGCTGCGCTTTGGATTGTAAAAAATTACTAGAGTGCATCGCCCACCGAGTCAGTTGGAGCAAACAAATATGGAGGTAGCATACCATTGTAGCTAAGGCCTCGCCAAGATTATTTGGAGTTGTCGGCAGATTGATGGGATGATATAGTTTGCTTGTAACTCAACTATCTCGGTATGCGCCATATGTATCATCAACTTTGATGTTTGCTCAACTTGAGGAATTTTAATTGAGAAGCCAAAAGAAATTCTGAGCTAGAATAGAATGAAATTATTGACTGACTAATAAGCTGCTGACATATACAGCTGACATATACATTTGACTTCATGTTTGTAGCTCAATATTACAAAAGTGGGCGCTCGGACCTGATAAATTTCTGTAATGCTGGTGTCCTTCCTTCCTTACCTGTAATCTTACTGCTGTTATATATATACTCATGCCTTTCTTTAATTGTTGGAAAACATATGAATACTCATCTACATCAGCTCATGTCAGCGTTGGATTTGAATCTAATCTGTTCTAAATTCTTACTCTAGTTTTTGTTGCCTGAGCAACTCGTTGTTTCCACCCATAGACCTTATCTTCGCGGGAACCATAGAGTGAAAGTTCACATAGTCCCCATCAATATGAAATGGAGTAAGTTCTAAGAAGATGTAGATTATTATCACTATGGCTTCCAATGTTTTGTTGAATTGATGTATCTCATCCTCGTTCGTTTCTTATGGATATACCTGATTTCAGCTGTTCTGGTGGCAGCTTGCCCTCAAATACTGCTTCTATCCCCTTCTTAATCTGATCTAAATCTATCTAGAGGTTTGGATATAATATATTTTTTATTATCAGCCAGAAGTCCTCCGATGAACCGCAAAGTCCTCCGCCCACAATCGGAGGACTGGGAATCATAGTGATTGTTCCCTATGTTTCGAGTATTTTCAAAAACACCAATTTGGTATCAAAAGCTGCATGTATGAATGCTGTTCCTAATCCCATGTTATGACGTCCTTCTGCGATGATCTGGGGTAGAAATTGCTTAATTCTAGTGTATGCTGTATATTGTATTTCGATTGTTATTGGGTATGGTTAACTTCTAGTGTAAGATTGCGAATGTTTATCATTTATCCTTAATTTTGCCTTATTATGGGATTAATCTGATCCTCCCTCTTTAAAAAAGAGAGGAAACGAAAGAAAAAAAGCAGAAAGAACATGAAAAGCTCTGAAAGAATTCTGAAAAATTCCTAAAGAGTTCTGTAGGGCCCTGAAGGGTTCTAGAAGACCTTGGAGAAGTTAAAGGTTTTGAAGGAGTGAAGATTCTTCAATAATCCTCTAAATTAATGATGTTGTGCTTTCGATAGGAAACCATGATACACGATAGAAAACTATGATCTACAATAGAAAACCACAATTTGCATTGGAGTTCTATAATTTTGTCCTAGACTGGCCCAGAAAGATACCTCGCATGTAACAGAACATGTGGTCGGAAAGAAACTGAATTCAAGATATGTGTGCTAGGAGAGGCCTTAATTACCGGTGTTTCTTTATTCGGTATGATTCTGATCCAATCTGCAGATCTGTGCATATTGAGGTCACCAGGATAAGCCAATTCTCAGCATAAAAATCAATAATTGAAGAAACAATTGTAGGAAGTATTCCATCATTCCATTCATGTTCTATCGAATTTCAGCATTTTCAAAATCTTCTCCGGCTGGCAACACACTTGCGTAGCCCACCTTGCTCGCATCTGAGCCCTTGCTTTCCTGAATAGCATCAATCACTAGTAGAGTCTTGAGCGTTGATAGCACATTAAGAAGTGAGACAGGCAGCAAAAGGAGATACTCGAGATTCATGATCAATTATTTGGTCTTAACACTTCTTTCTCACTCCAATAAATGATTCCATTTACTTCGAGTAGTTCTCCACAACACTTGATTATTCTTCCAGCATCAAGAGCTGGGGAACTGTCTGGGCATCTCCTTTCTTTATTGAGTTTCGAATTCGAATCGTTATTTCTGCACCATAGGGTTTCTGAATCTCTATTTAATCACAATCTATCAAAACCTTTGCTGCACTCTGAACTACTGAAGTACACAACTTTTGAACAAAAGTTGAGAACTTAGTCTTAATTTACGCAACCTTCTCCCTAAGAACGTCAAAGCTCACTTCCCTCAACATGTCTTCTAGTTCGGGCACTACCTCTCCAAGTTTGCCCAATTCCAGAGCTGAGAGTAGTTCATCGCGTGTCACTTCACAAGAGGATACGGCAAATCTATCAGATGTAAGTACCCTATCTTTTACCGTCAATTCCCACAACAGGCATTCCCTCTCGCCCGTCTTATGGCCAGCGTGTTTAGTTATCAGGACTAATCAGCACTACTTCATGGTGTAATTTCGATTCTGAGGATGAATATTGTCTCCTCGATGAAGCTGCACAGTCATCGGATCCATGCCTTTCCTTCTTCCATTCTCCATTATTCAAATCTTGACAGAATCGTAGATCCCGACTAACTTATTTTACCCTAGGTTTCGTCATCCGGAAGTTCATCGCCAGTCAAGCCTTTAGCGACTAAAAGCGCCATAGGCAAGAAACAGAAGGTGTCAGAAAAGACAGCGAAGGTCACGGTTACTGATCAAGATGACAATACTCTTGATGAAGATACGGGCCATGAACACAAGCTCAACTCTCGAAAGGTTACCGATATTCACAAGAAACCTGTTTCCAAGACAGGGAGAATTTCCGAAGTCGATAGCGACAGCGACAACAATGAACCTGAGAAAAAGCCTACCAAGAAACCCGTTGCCGCCTCCAAGTCGAAATCCAAGTCGCCTAAAACCAAAAAGCCAATTGCCAAAGCTAAGAAGAATGCTGAGATACGCGATAATGTAGCTCTAACTGTCTCTAATACCAAGGATTCAGAGTCAATCGGGAAGCCTGCCCCAGCTCCCAAGCCTAGAAAGAGACCTGCTGCTATTCCCGCAAACGATGGAGCCCGCAAGAAAGCCAGATTACCTCCAAACGCCTACACCCCTGATTCCTATGAAAGTTTGAACAAGGAGGATAAACTTTTGTTCGACCTCAAAACCCGAAGTCCAGACGCGACATGGAGGGACCTTGTTGAAGAATTCAATTTGAAATTACAAGGCAACCCTAGAGTCAACCTCGATGCCCTTAGAATGCGATGGCCGAGAGTCAAAGCTGCAGCGACTGAAATCGCACATGGGGATGTAAGTTTGGCATTCCACTCTTGAAATTTCAACTTTAGCCTGATGGTTAATAATTACTAATTATCGAAACCAGATCCAAAAGATGTGTGTCTATAAGCAAGACATGGAAGTTCAACTAGAGACAACACGAGAGGAGCTTTTGGCCAAATTCGAGAGAGACAAAGAGGCCATACTGCGAAAATTCAAGGCAGACATGTGGACAGAAATTGCCAAATACGTGGCTCAAGACGGTGGTAATCAATATGAGCCAGCTACTCTCCAGAGAAAGTATGGTGTCTATCAGCGTCAGGGCCGCATTGATAAAAATGATAATTATATAGATTGGACGGAAAAAGATGAAAATGAGAGAACGGCCAAGGAGCGTAGCAAGACCTTGATGGAGAAAAATGATGCAGAGGCTTCGGAGGGCGACGATGAAGAATCGGATGTTGAGAAACAGAATGTTGAGGAAAAGGTAGAAGATGATGACGATGATGAAGAAGACAATGTTGATGCTAAGGGAGAAAATGAGTACATTTCTCACGGAGAGGACTAGGCAAGAGAGGATGTTTCGTCCAGCAGCATGGAAAATGATGGTAAGATAGGGATGCAGGAGAATGATGTGCTCGACTACGGATAGCATCAGCGGTATTTCAGACTTCATGAACGAGCCGTAATAACTAACCGAAATTACTTTAGTTCCTAGAAATATGATATCCTGAGCATCGCCATATTTACAAAACCACGTGATCTTATCAAATGTTTAAGTAATCGCGATTGGGAAGTCATCTAAGCATAGCATATCCTCTCGTCCTAATAAAGTAGCGTATTCTTAACCACACATCCTTTGGTAATAGGATGCTCCGCGCCAACCACCCCCAACCACCCCCAATAACAAATACCCACACCTAATCTGATCCGTCCATCCCCCAACAATCCACCTCCCACTGCAACCCCCGAACCAGCGCCATCAAATCCCCAAAACGCTCCACCCCAAACCTCTCACACAAAACCGCCACATACGCCTCCTTCCAAAAACCCCCTTCCACACAAACAAGCACCTTAATTCCCTTCTTCTCCCCCCTCTTCATCGCCACCCCAAGCTCCACCAACGCCGTGCCTCCCGCTCCTATCTTCCCAGCTTGAACATCCTCCCCTATGAGCCCCACCACCACAATATCCGCCAACTCCAACGCCTGAAGTTCGAAATCCACCTGTGTGACGAATTTTTCATCTGAGGTCGCTTCGCGCCACGTGGAGTCCCAGGCGGGGTTGAAGGGATCGATTATTGTGATGGGGTTTGAATGGTTAGTATTGTTGCTAGTAGATGTAGAAGTGGTGGACAATGGGGTGAACAGAGCATCGGCTAGAGTTTGTTGCCAGCGCGTTTCATCTTTGTTGTAATTTGTGGTGCCGGAGAGGAAGATTATGGGGCGGGGCAATTTGTCGGGGTTGAGGATTTGGCCACTTTTTATTAGGTTTGAAGAGGGTGTTAGTAGGATATTTTGATTTGCGGAACTGGTGGACGAAGACATTGTGTATGAGATGAGTTTGCCTGCTGAATGCACGAAGAAGTCGCTCGGTATTAGTGGGATGATAACGTGATAACTTTTGATTCTAACATTCGATGCTGGAATTGAGTTTTCGCCTAAATGTAGGGAGAAGGTATCCAATGAACTACCAAGCGGCGACTTCTCTGTAATGAGGAATAGGGTGAACAAATAAATCTTTTCGAGATGAAGGCTGTAAATTGATCAGCCGCAGTGCATCACGATTGCACTAGTCAGTGGCCAATCATTGATTCCCAAATTCCATGGGTCTGAGATTGCCACATCACCAAATTCGTGGAACATCCATTTCCCTATGATAACTAGGGGTATATATTCATTTACAAATCTTTCTGTCCCCCGTTTATCTATCGATCCTCTAGCTCAACTCCGTCATTAAATCTATCTTCCGTTCCATCCACTATATGTCCAATTCCATGATCTTGAGGAAATCTTGGGCTTTCTCTCCTTCCTATCGTCTCTCCACTAGCAAGTCTAATTCTTCCACCACTGGCGCTATGTACTTTATTCCCAACCCAAGATCCCACACTTCTCATCAGGTACCAAAGCCTTTCTTCATTGTTCGACAAAGCTCGATCTCTTTCTTCTCTGAATCCTTCATTGGCTTCCACTTTGAATTGGTATTTTAAGACATCTTTGACTGTTACCAGGCCTTCGAGTTTCCCATGGTATTCGATTAAAATTACCCTAGGCCCAATCTTCTGGAATAATTCCATAACAGTTTCTAATGGTAATCGAGGATGGACAGTAACAGGGGTGGAATCTATAAATCGACTAAAGTCCACAGATGATGATGCCATACCTTCAAATTTTGTGGGACCTGCCGGCGTAGTAGGCGTGATGGGATCATGAGTTGAAATATTATTCGAGGGCGAGAAATAGCATTTTGCTGAAGGGGAGATGGTTCTATCTCTTTTAACGCGATCAATTGCATAGCGTAATTCAGTGCGGCCAATATATCCAACTAGAACCTTAGACACCCTATCCTCTACAATCGGAAATCCTTGATATCGGTCTTCGAGAAGCAATTTTTCTAAATGCCTCATTGTATAACCTGTTGTTGGTAAAACAACCACATCAGCCGTCATGACTTTAGATACCGGTACGCCAAAAGTATGCTCCTCCTTATTGTCCAGAAAAGGAAATCCGTTGAACCAAATCATTCGATCCGCTATACCACCCTTTCCAAAGAATTCCGAAACAGCTTTCGTTACGCCGACAACTATCATAGTTGGGAGAATGTAGGTCGTGGCACCCGTGAGCTCGAACATAATAACGACGACGGATACAGTGATATGCATGATACCACTCAAGGCTGCTGCTGCACCAAGAAATGCATATGTTCCTGGCGTGATACAAGGTATGTCTGGTTGACAGGAGGCAAAAAATACAGATGTAGGATAAGCTTCGTGAGTAGCTTGGACGAGAATACCAATAGTACGACCAAAGGATGCACCGATAGCCATAGATGGGACGAATATTCCAGCTGGAACTTTACACCCATATGAGACGATTACGAGAAACATTCGAATGATTGTTGCCAAAGTCAAAGAAAAGACCATCTTCCATCGATTCTCCTTATCACAAAGACCATTGTAATCTTCCGCTCCTTCACATTCCAAGAACAAAATCTCCATACTTTCGGTCATATCGATTCGTAGAAACATATTTGGATAGCAAATTAGAGCGGTTCCGGCCGCCAGTAAGGTCGCCTCGAGTATTGCATATTCGGCGAGATATTTCTTTCGAAATGCCTGCGCTCTCAAATTCCACTTAATCATAAATGCACCATAGAGCCCACCAAATATCCCTAGTACGATATAGAAAACTACCTCGAAGAAATGCCATTCGCGATCATAGTGAACTTGAAACATGACAAGTTGACCGGTTCTGAATGGATTCATTGCTGCAAGAACAGCCGTTGCAACCAATGCGCAAAAATAACTTCGCCACATGGTCTTCAAGGGAAAGTATGAGGACATTTCCTCGAGGGAAAACAAAACACCTCCAATAGGACTACCGAATGCTACCGCAACACCAGCTGCCGCACAAGCGCTTAGGATTTCGCGAGTTTTAGAGGCATTCCGTTTATACTTTTCGAAAAGCCTAGAAATGACATTGCCGGTACATACTGCATAGTGAACACTTGGTCCTTCTTTTCCTACTGATAAACCAGATCCAATAGCTAAGGGAAGGGCAACTGATTTGATGATTAAAGTCCAGAATCCAAGAAATCCTTTCATAACAAATCCGGCAATGATACATTTTATTTCAGAAATTCCGGATCCAGCTGCATAAGGGGCAAAAGATCTTACTAGACTCGCTGAAGTCAATGCGAACATCGTCTAAAAATGTCAGTGTAAACATGCCACACGCGGGGTAACACATACAGCGAATAAACTGTATATTACATAGTTAACTGGTGCGAAAGAGCTCCATCTATGCCAGTCATCGCATCCTATTTTCAATTAGCATCATACCTCTCATTAGTGCTCTGATACATACCAGTATCTTCTCCCCAGCAACAAAAGCTCTCATTGAGGTAAAATCCAGTCTTGCAATATCCGAGCTTAATATCCGAAAGCCATTCCGTAATTATATTCAAAAACGCCGCATTAACACCAATTGCAGCCCCTAACCATCTCACATCAGCATGTCTCCCATCATTGCATATATGTCATCCCGTACCTATGAGAGTAACCACAATCCAAGCTTGCGCCGCATCATAAGATTCCCATAACTTATACCTCCATCCAGCACGTCCACCACTCTCGAAAAACCCAGCTGTTTGCTCCTTCCGAATCTTTCTTCGTATTTGTTCTTTCGCTGCATCCTGAACCCAATCTTTGAGAGGTGTCAACTTGGTTGTCGCAAATCAGATAAAGGAGGGTTAATACCTATAGTTGTAAAATCCTGCCAAATATCATTAGCGCAAATATTCCAGCTGCCAAATAACAAAGCCAAGGGTAGTAATATACCTCATAACGTTTGATCTCTTCAATTTCCTCATCTATCTGACGTTCTGCGACATTAGGCACATTGGTAGCCTCGCCTTGTTCAGCACTTGATACGGCAAAGGATAGACGATGAGAAAAAGAGGGACGTTGATGAAGGCGCGCTGATGGCACAGAAAAGGAAGATGATCGTGAGTTCATGGCCCCATTTGTACTGAAAGCATTATGCGATTGTCGTTATAACATAATCGCTCAGTGTTCAAGATAGCTTGGATGGGAGGCGGACTATGCGGCCGCTAGTGTCGGATGGTACAATTCTAGATTTCTCGTTGCTTTGTAATTGCGTAAGCAGCCCCATATACTTTCATGAATACAGCTCCTGTTGCTCTGTTTTCCCAACACACTGGGAATCCTTGCAGTCTAGAGTTCGTTCAAATGTCCAAATGTTCACATTCACAATCTATCGAAACGTGAAATTTAAAATCTTGTTTTTAATTCTAAAACTATCGGGCAGTTTTTGATTCATCTCGTTCAAGTAAACGCCTCTCCTAGCAGACACCTAAATGTTGCCCTATTTGACGATTTTGCGTACCGATTCTGGTTTCTTTTTCAACTCTTGACCGAATGCCAACTTGATTACAGGCCGCTCCTTTCAATATCGCCAATTGTGATCTCTACAGGCATCGAAAGTTGCTTCGTCTGAAAGTGTCAAGTGTGTCAAACATGCTGGGAAATGCTTGTGATCGATGCCACGATACTTCGTGATGCATTTGTCTTCCGGGATACCACCTTTCTCGAGAATACTTAGCCGTCTGGCATGGCATCTAAATCGAGGTCTTGCGTTGCTTCGACTTTCTCCAATGACGTGTGATGGACGTCTACATGCCTTATTCCCACAAAGCTTACTCTTCCTGAATTTGCCATTTCCCGTCACCTTCCTCGTTTCCAAAGATAACAAGCTTGCTCTTGATGGTGGATGATTTGAAATTAGCAAGACAATAACCTCATCCAGGTTTATCATCCAGGTTTAGCATCCATGTATGAGTCACTAAGCAATGAGAACAAGCATCTTTCAAGTCGATAGTTGCAGATGCTACGGCCCCCTCCAGAATGCAATTTGTCGAGTATGGATATGCCTGACTTTCGAGTGCCAGGAGGCCTTTGCGGATTGTGGCAAGACTTTCAGCCCGTTGAAAAACCCTTAAAAAACAATCAAGTTTATGGGTATTAGAGGAACTTCCGGCACCCTCGCCAAGTATGATGCGGGACTCGGATCTTTGAAAGAACTTTTCTGCCCAAGCGATCCTCTTGTCTGCCCATTTCCCTTCATTCACGAGTTGGAGTGGAACCTCTGGGGTTTGAAAAGCTCCGGAACTATCATCTGTAGGATCTTTTCTAGCACTATCATTCGTAGCACTATCATCCGCAGTGCTAATATTCCCAGCACTAACACCCGCAGCAATATCATCTGCAGTACTAACAATCGCAACACTATCATCTGCAGTACTAACATTCGCAGCAGTATCATCCACAGCACTATCCTCCACGACACTATCCTTTCCAGAACTATTCCCTGTCTTAACGCGGGATGGACTGCGTACATCGACATCGTCAGCTTCATCATCAGAGATTTCAATTACCTCTAGCTTGCGCTTGGTACTGCTGCCACAGATATTCATTCCTGCGGAAGTTTTTGTTTGTGTGGAAGTAACTTGTTGACCTGTCGGTTCTTTCTTGATAGTTGTTGCGACTGTTTTGCTCTGAATTTGATTTGAAACTGTTACCTTCGCAATGATGGGTTCCGCTTGTATTGTTGTTACAACTGTTCCACTTTGGGGTTGGCCCGAATTTGAGGCATCCTGAGTATGGTCATCGGAATTATCAATGGCCTCGCTCACCTGATGCATCTGAGGCATTGTCGTTTCCTTTGCCAGTAAACATGCGGCACTGTTAGTGACATGCCCGCGCGACCATGGAAGTGGTACTTTCTCAGATCGTTGATGATGCTGAGGATCCGATGGCCGACTTCAAGCTGGGGCATTTCTGAATACCCAATTATTATGCCACCTGCTTGAAAAAACAGCTCTGACTTGTTTGGCCGCATCTTCATTGATGGCTTGTTTCTGTAATGCTGTTCCAACGACATTGCTTTGGCTTTCGCCCCAACTCGTTACTTTCTTCAAGGAAGATTTCTGCTCTGCCGTTTCAGCATTGCTTGCCTCAGCACTCTTCTTCGTTGTTTTAGATCCCGGCATTACAGGATGAGCTGGGGCACCAGAACGGAACTTCACAGGAACAGATGTTAGCTACAGATTCAAACTGCAACAAAAGATCTTAAGCTTACTCTGGCGAGAGCTCTCAAAGCTTTGATCCGGTCCTTTTCTAAAATCCAGAGAGCGAACTCAAGAAGCTCCCCTGCACTTCCCTTATCTGGTCGACTTTCGAACTGAGTTGACTGTTAGTATTGTCCACGTCACATCTGCTTCGTAACACCTAATGTGCCTCAAATCACCTAGAGAACGCCCCAAACAATCAACATATCTTGATCGATCTCAAACTCCCACCTTATCTAGAAATGAAAATCATATGACCATTCCACATTCTGCAAGTTAGCTCACCTTCAGCAATACATCAGCAGCTTCCCAAATGCATCCATTCGTATGAAAAACCGCAAATCGAATCAATTCATGATCAAATCCTAAGTGCGCAACGTCCTCAATGGTCAATACTTGAGCTTGTTGGACTGGGTTTTCTGGCATAGTGCCCTTTTCTGCAGGCTCAATTGCATTTTCAGTGGGTTGGGTCATAGTTTTTTGCAGTATTTGAAAAGGAAAAGATGGATTGAAAGAGTAAAAAAGTATCTTTATGAGGAAGCTGGGTGGATTCTGGGGGAAGTTTTATTGGGGCCTTATTCTATCTTTTCGGTAGAGTCTGATGTGTGCCCAAGTTTCTTTAGTTGAATGAGTCCAAGATGGAGGGAAGAAGGTTGAGGAGAGAAAGTTGAGGGGAGAAAGTTGAGAGAAGGTTGAGGGAAGAAGGTTGAGGAAAGAAGATGATAGGATGATGGGAGAAAGGTACGGAAGAAGGCGAACTTAATATATTGGGATAGACGAAAAAGAAGCGAATATCCCAGGCACAATCGTGCTCATAATGTCTCACCACCAACCCTTCAATAGATGTACCAATATGAAGTAGAATAATTTGGAAGGTCATGTATAGAATTGATTGCTCTGCAGCTAGCTAAAATAAATAAACGAACTTTGTGTAGCGCACTTGATAGTCAATCCTCAATGCCATCTGACATACAGGCGTGCTGCAATATATCGAGCAGATGATTTTCGTGTTGAAATATCGAATGCTATTGTAGAATCACATCACCGAACGTGGCAGCCCCATGTAGAATTAGATGTATAGTCCGGCTCACCACGGGAACAGTATTTGTTAATAATAGGTCGATTCCTCAGTAGGGGTAAAATAGAGGTTAGATGGCATGGTAGATTATGAAGAAATCGCAAATACCCACGTTAGCAACAAGAACATCTAGACCCCAAACAAGTCACTTTTAAGCCGCAGTATGATAGTTGCGGCATTGTCCTCTACCTGCTTCAGATATGGATGCAAAAATTCTACCTACGGGCCACCGCCGGGTTGGATATGGCGTCAAATAGATGACTAGTTGAATAGCACTGCGACATCAACAGCGTTCGTTAATTGCTTGATTGAGACGCAAGTTGTTCAGAGCTTCAATGGTTAAGCCATTTGGTTCAGGCATGACAACGTTTCAGAGGATATATCAACAATCTTGCCTTTAAACATAGCCTGAGGGACTATTGAACGAGAGTTTCGACAGGCACCCTTCATTCCTGTAAGAATGGAAAATGCACGATATAGATGACATGGTATCTATCCATGATTGATTTATTCCAGCTAGTTACTTGGAAGCCCTCGGAGGAAGTTATTGTGTATGAAAAGGATATTTCCGGCGCGCAAGAAGTTTATTTCGACGAGATCTGGTGTAGTACCGAGAAATCAAACGCAGGTGAAGTTTTCTATTGGATATTAAATAATAACTCATCACGCACATCTCGTCTTCCTCAGTGTAACATGAAATCCTTGTGGGTCCACTTTTCCGTGGCCTTTCTCTTTGCTTTCTTGGCGAAACTGATGGGACGTCTACTCTCGACTTTCCCACGGACCATCATATTTCTGTACCTATCCTTCAGCAAGTTCCCCTCCGGTTTCAATAACCTTAACGATTCTTGCAATTCGTCTGGTAGAACAAGCTCAAGATCTCTCTCCGGTAGGGAAATCTTTCCTAGCTTCCTCCTTCGGAGTTCCATATCATCCCCTTCACTGCTATCGTCCTCCACAACCATCAAAGAGCGAGCCTTTTCTTTTTCCTCGAGTGCTTTGGCCAATTTCTTCACTTGTGCAGCCTGTTCTTCTTTCTTTTTGTTATGAGCAGCCATTTTTGCTTTCCTTTCTTCTTCTTTTCTCCTCTTTATCTTATTTCGTTGGACTTGAGTTTTTCTCTCCGGCCTCTTAGCATTTAAGCGAACATCCTCTGCACCACTCTCAAAACCTTCCCATGCAGAATCTTCCTCCCATTCTGACATATCTGCTCGAGCTTCAGCAGCTTCCGCCTCCGCCGCAGACTTGTTTGCTGCTTCTCGCTTTATCTGTTCTAACTCGATAGCAGCCAACCGTTTCTTCTCCGCTGCAACAGCCTTCTCCCCCTCAGCCGTTAATCTTTCTTCATAATCTGTGAATACTGGATTATAACTGTAACCTCCCTCCGGTTTCTTAACTGCAGGAATATCTTTTCCAGTAGCTGCCAACGAAACTGGCTTTTGCCTCCACGAACTGGGGATTGTTGTCTTTTTGGCCTTCTCAAGAAACGAGAATCTTGGATCTTGTGTTGCTTCCTCTATGTCCTTTTGCTCATCCCAAGGATCAAATGAGGCTTCTGTGGCTTCAACCGTCTTCTCGTGGTGCCCATCAGCAATCTTGCGTAGTCTTGTAAGTTCTTTGTGCGAAATGTAACCGGTTCTTTGGCGCTTCGATTCGATAATTCCATCCGTGGTACCCTGCCCTGGGCGCTTTTTCATTGACACAGCTGGGACAGCAGAGCGTTGAGCAATGATTTCATCTGCTTTGAGTGGTTTGGAGGCTTTCAAGTATTTCTTTGGAATTGCGGCATCTCCAGCAGTATCCAATGTAAAGAGATCAGCAGAATCTTTCTCGGCGATAACTCCACTACGATTGAGTTAGTGATGTTCAAATAGTAGATGTATAAATACTCTCTTACCCTGCGATCAATTCATCTCTAACTTCTCCCAAACCTTCTTGAACTTCTGTGACATCGACATTCTTTCTCCAAGCCTTCTTCCCTTTCCTTGAGGTTTGTTTGTGTTGTTGAGGAGCATCTTTAGAGCCTGCGAGTGGCTTAAGGACCGGCATTTTTTTTATGTGTATTGGTAAACTTTGGGAGTTCTGATGACTGCGAGAAAAATAATTTTGAGATTACGATAATTTTTCAGATAGCTACGGTAACCTGTTCATGTCAAAAGGCCTCGGCCGCCTCCAACAATCAATATACGGTCAAGGCTAATAAATTCAAGCAAGCTTCAAGAAATCCTCCTTTGTCCTATCGAAATAATTTTACGACTTTCACAAATTCCTTACAGATATCTTGGTCAAATAATAAACTTTTTATTGTCTTCGCATTCAGAAATTTCGAAATGGCGCAAGCAGCTGGAACTTACAACAATCCCTTGAAGAAGTTCAAGTATGTTGTCTTTTTGTATCGTTTGTCACCGCATCACTAATTATGCTCGCAGGCTGGTCTTCCTTGGGGAGCAAAGTGGTATGGACCTTGTGCAGCATGCTATCTGGTTGTGAAGTTAACAATGGATTCAGTTGGCAAGACTTCTTTGATTACACGTTTTATGTACGACTCTTTCGACAACATGTACCAAGCAACTATCGGTATAGATTTCCTGTCCAAAGTGAGCAATCCCCGAGCACCAAATGGATGCCAACAAGTCTAATTCTACTTTAGACTATGTACCTTGAGGATCGAACTGTCCGGTTACAACTGTGGGACACAGCGGGACAAGAGAGATTCCGAAGTTTGATCCCTTCATACATTCGGGATTCGAGTGTAGCAGTGGTGGTTTATGACATTTCGAGTACGATATCACGCTTAGCTCTTATGCCTCACCATCTAACATTTTTCAGATCGAAAGTCATTCCAAAACACAAGAAAATGGGTGGACGACGTCAGGGGAGAACGAGGAAACGACGTTATCATTGTATTGGTCGGTAATAAGACAGATTTGAACGACAAAAGAGAAGTCACAACTAGTGAGGGAGAAGAGGAGGCAAAAAAGAACAACTTAATGTTCATTGAGACGAGTGCAAAACTCGGCCACAATGTAAAGACCTTGTTTAGGAGGATAGCTCAGGCTTTACCTGGGATGGAAGGCGCGGATAATGCTGCAACGCCTAACCAAAGTGAGTTTGAATGTGGTCGACAGCACTGAAGCAATGGCTAACTCTTTATAGTGATTGATGTTAACGTCAACCCAACTCCAGTCAATCAAGAAGGATGTGCATGTTGAACAAGGACAGGAAATGATGGAAGTAATCAGATTCTTTTCGATGCTTGTCTTAATTGGGGGTTTGAAGGGATTAGGAGCATAGTGTTTTACTGCGCACTTATATGATAATGATAGGGTACCATCTTCGGCGTACTTAATGAGCTCTTGAAGTAATTGTAGACTAGGGTTAAAAGCTAGGTGATCAGATTTTGGAATAAATAATACAATTTACCTTATTGATTTTCTCATTCTGAGTGCTCGGGGATGTGTTAGATCTCTCCTTGAAAGATTTCAATGCCGTCCCAAACAATCCCGCATAATTTCGATGAGCGCAAACCCCTTTAAAGGCTGATCCAAATATAGGTGATTGCTTACATAAACAATCCCAATCCGAAGATCCGAGAAAACATCTCTTCCAGGTTATCAACCAAGAACGAACCTGTATCTCTTTCTTATTCTGGCGTCCTCTTAAATTTTTTACTTCTCGTCGCCATACATCAACAAATCCGTTCTCCATCCATTTTCATAATGCTTTCCATCCCGCGATGGGTGCGGCTTCCCCGTCCCAGGGTATGTATTCTCAATTTATCGCAATCCCTTTTCCGCTCATAGAAAATCAAGCAATATTAATTAATGAACAGACTTTCCTGTATGTCATGACGTTACGTACTGGCACAGAGATGATTTCGTTGTCTATGATATTCAATAAAGTTACTGGTTTCTACGGCCTTCTTGCAGTCCTTGCCGGCTTGAAGTTATCACCCTTACAACTTTCTATGTACATCTATTCCGTTGCTGCTCTCGCCCTTATTGCGTTCCTCATGCCTCATATCCGCAAACAAACACCCTTTCAATGTTTAGCCCTCGCATGGTTTTACTTATTCGATACGATTATCAACACAGCCTTTACCACCGCGTTCGCAGTGACATGGCTCTTAGCCATAAGCGCAGATCAATCTAACAAAGGAATACCAAGCGCCGCTCCAGGAAGTAGCACAATCGACGAGACTGCAGGCTTTACCAGCCCAAAATTTAACGTCAGTGCGGTGAACGTTATTGCCTCGCCAGCATCGGGTGCTGGACAAGATGCGGTTGCATACGGAACTGCCGCTGGGGCAACCCTTGAGCAAAGTGTTGGAATCGAGGAAAGCGTTCCTAGTATCATCGTCGTCGGAATTTTGACATTGATCCGAATCTACTTTATTTTGGTAATTATGGCATACGCACGACAAGTCTTAAGACAGAACATGTACTCTGCCTCTTCAACGAAATTACATCTTAACACCGATGGTAGCACAGACGCACGTGCCGAAAACCCTTTTGCGATAGGCTCACCCCAAGGACAAGGTTGGAAAGGCAAACTTGGTAGACTTATGGTGAAAGTCGGAGAAGGATATTGGCTTGGTGGTCAAGTTGACGAAGCTTGGGTTAAAGGTTTGGATGGACGATTCAAGACCCAAAGAACATTCAATGGACCTCCAGGTACTATTGAAAGAGAACGAAGGGCGAGAAGTGGAACAGGACCACCGGTTCCTGCTAAGGGGCTCGGCATTGGAAAATTGTAAGATCATAGAATATAATGATGGCAGCTTGGGAAGCGAGGAATAGACATTGTACATGGAATTTCTATAGTGCTAATGGGATGATGTGAGATGGGCAGGAAAGTAATGGTATAACGTGGAGGGGGCCAAGTGCGGAAAAGCTGGATGATTGATACTCAACAGGCTAAGGCTGGAACCGGTTTTCATAGCACGTATGGCGTTCTTTGGGTATTTATGATAGGGGGATCGTTGCAAGTAGTCGAACTTCTTTTGGTGGATTCTCGAATTGCTCATGGCCATGGAATAGGAAATCATTGGCGATGGCAAGTATTATATAATGATTTAGGAATTAATGCCAACTGGTAGATTACATACTTTCGCAAATGTATTGAATGTCTTGTGTTTGATATCTCGTGTTCGGGTTTCGAGTCCAGATTCTCCGCCAGCAAACTTGGCACCATGGTCCATTAGGTTAAATGCTTTCAAAGCCCGATCAACTTCTTCTTCACTAGACCAGGCACAAGGCGGGCTTTACTCGGAAACTACTCCAGCACACCATACCAAATAAGCATATCGGGATGCTTTCTTCCCTTGTTAATATTGATATTTTCACTTCAAATATTCTGATCAGCATCGATGGCGTGCTCGGTTGTGGCTGGTGCTTTTCCTTCAAAGGCGTTTTAGATTACAAACGATACTTTTGTTGATATATCATTGGCTGATCACATGTCCCTTTCTCCATGAACTTCAATCCCATAGCCTGTCACACTCTCGCTATCCCCTCTGTTTACTATTTACACTTACTAACTATACCATAATTGACAATAAATCCACTGATTGTCGTTGGTCAAATGCACTCGAGAGCCTCGATAGCGTTTGATATCTAACAATATACCACTGTACCCTTGTTCATTCGCCGATTCTCGCATCATCTGAGTGACCCTAGGAGGAGTACTTGATTAGGAGAAGAAAAAATATTTGATCATGGCGTTCCTCTTTCGTCGTCTTGAAAACGATTCCAATACTTCCTCTCATTCTCATCGAAAGGGTACCTTTCATACTCACAACATGGCTTCTGGAAAGATTCGTACACCGGAAGAAGCTGGTATGTCTATGCTCTTGTGTTATCAGTACTATCAGTTCTACAACCCTTGTTATGCGACAACTCTCCCCTCTATCTTCGCCCCCCACTTCACCAGATTCTGTGATACTGACTATATTTTCTACTGAATAGTGGCAAGAATCGCATATTTGTCCAGCGATGTAATTGTCTCAGTACAGCCTGCACATTCAATTGAATCCGAGTTCTCTTCACATTTACAAAGATATGCCGGAAGAAAAGATCTAAGTCTTGTTGCTGCCAGTGGAAATGGGGTTCCCGAGGTCAGTAATCCAAGGTTACATCTATCCAATGTCAGATAAAGGTATTGACTTATGTGCAATCAGATACAAACAATCCGACACAACAATGACCCTCTATTATCAGTATTTACACCAATCCGCAATGGAAAACTAGTCACAGTCACCACAAGTTCCTCAATACTTGTTTCTTCAGTGCCCCACCTATACCGTCTTGCAAACTTCCCAGTGGTCATCCACGTTTCATTACAACCTTCACAATACCCTGACTACTCCTCGGTAACTTCGATACGAAATTCTGGCTTCACATTTTTACAGTCCGAGACACTTCAGGAGGCACAAGATATTGCCGTGACTGCCCATGCTCTTGCTATCAAGTCAGGAAAGGGTGTCATTCATTTCTTTGATTCCAGATCGGCAGAGAGTGACAACGATGTTGATTTCGAAAACCCTGATGTTGTTTCAAAGATTTTGAATATTGATTCCGTCAGAGTCTATCAAAGCAGCAAGATTGGAGGTTCTAGCATACATGCTGATGATGGAAGAATTGCAACTATTTCCGAGAACGCTGCGACGGGTGTCACATCCGGTGGGGAAAACAACGCTGAGTCTGCTGTACCAGGTCAAACAACTACTGAAGTACCATCCAAGGCTTCTTCTGTAGGATCTTCGAAATCTTCTTCAGTAAGAGCAAGTAGCGTGGATAGCAGTACTTCTTCCGCCACAACAGTCGATTCGCCAAATGTACGGGCCGTAAGCTCAGACGACATCTATAACTTTGTCTCTGGTATCTGGGATCAGTTGAAATTGATGGTTGGCCGAGAATATAGCCCTTTCGAATATACTGGTCCATCAAACGCTGAAAATGCTTTGTTCATTTTTGGATCAGATGTTGGATCGTTTGCTCGAGCCATCGATGAAGGTCCCGATGAAATTTTCGCAAAAGCCGGTATTATTACTGCGCGTTTATATAGGCCATGGCTGGGCTCTAAACTGATTGAGGCCATTCCTAAATCTATCAAGAGAATTGCTGTGCTCGAACAAATCAGAAGAAAGACAACCAAATGGGGACCATTACTTTTGGACTTGCTTACAACACTCAAAGCAGGACCAGGAGGCGGTGTAGAAGTTATTGTTGGACACCAATTGGGATTTATTGAACCAGACACAGTACGACAGGCTCTCCGTGGCGTTGTACAGAATTTAGTTTCTGAGAAGCCAATTCAAAATCTTGAGGTTGGAAACCCTGATGGACCAAATGAATCTTCAAATGGATACGCTCTAAGCCAACCAAAAGTCGAGTCCGCCTACATGAAGATATTAGATCAAATTTTTGGTAAGAGACTTCATTTGGCGAACCAGATTGATTCGAAGAATGCCGGCATCTCTTCGACCATTGCCTCAAACCCAGAATTTGGCTTCGGTTCTCTGCTTGCCAGAAAGGAGCATCGCCAAAGATTTACCGAGGAAATTAAGGAGGCGGCAAAATCCAATGAATTCATAACCGAGGCGCCCAAATCATGGCTGTCAAAATGGTCTGTGGGTGCCGATGATGAATTAGCAGATGAAATTATTGCTCGCCTTGAGACAGATGGGTCTGCATTATCACAAAAGTTACTCGCAAAGAAGGGATTATTCCGTAAGGAATCTCCTTGGCTGGTTGGTTCTGATGCATGGGCGTACGACCTTGGAAATTCAGGGGTACACCATGTCATTGCATCTGGTGAGAATGTCAACATGCTCATCATCGACTCCACTCCATACTCGGAGCGCTCAGCCGCCGATGCTGAGAGAAGGAAGAAGGACATTGGTCTTTATGCCATGAACTTTGGTAATGCTTATGTTGCGTCTGTCGCTGTATACAGTTCTTACACCCAAGTTCTCCAAGCAATGATTGAGGCAGATCAATTTAATGGTCCATCCGTTGTTGTTGCTTATCTCCCTTACTTCAAAGAGAATGATTCTCCTTTGACTGTTCTCCAAGAAACTAAGAAGGCGGTGGATCTTGGTTACTGGCCATTGTACAGGTGGAACCCTGACAATGAAGAGAAGGGAGAGGTTAACTTCTCCCTGGATTCTGAGCGAATTAAGAAGGAACTTAAGGACTTTTTGGCTCGTGATAATCATCTTACTCAATTGATGAAGAAGCATCCCGAGTTCTCATCCAATCTTTCCGAAGATTATGGTACCGAGGTCCGTGCCTTGCAAAAGAGAAAGGCAAAGGATGCATACAATGAGCTTCTTGAAGGTATGCTCGGTGCACCTTTAACTATTCTCTTTGCTTCAGACAATGGCAACGCTGAATCTCTAGCAAAGAGATTGGGCAATAGGGGTAAAGCACGAGGTTTGAAGACAATTGTTATGGCCATGGAAGACTATCCTATCGAGGATCTCGCCACCGAAGAAAACATCGTTTTCCTAACGAGTACCGCTGGTCAAGGAGAGTTCCCACAAAATGGTCATGCATTTTGGGAAGCGATCAAGGACAACACCGATCTGGACCTCACATCGGTTAATTACTCTGTATTTGCTCTTGGTGATAGTCACTACTGGCCCCGCAAAGAAGACAAACACTACTACAACAAGCCAGGAAAGGACCTCGATCGTGTTTTAGCAAATCTCGGCGGAAAGCGTCTTGCCGATGTTGGATTGGGAGACGATCAAGATCCAGATGGATACCAAACTGGTTACCAAAACTGGGAACCTATCATTTGGCAATCCCTTGGAGTTGACAAAGTTGAAGGTTTGGAACCTGAAGCCCCACCCATCACTAACGAGGACATCAAGATTGAATCGAACTACCTTCGTGGTACTATTGAAGAAGGATTAAAGGATATGTCAACTATGGCCATTTCTGCTGCTGATCAACAATTAACCAAGTTTCACGGTACATACATGCAAGATGATCGTGACCTTCGGGATGAACGTAAGGCACAAGGCCTTGAGCCTGCCTATTCTTTCATGATTCGTTGCAGATTGCCCGGTGGTGTTTCCACTCCAAAACAATGGATTCAAATGGACGATGTCAGCAACGAATTCGGAAATGAAACCATGAAACTCACCACCCGTCAAACGTTCCAGTTCCATGGAGTCATCAAAACTAAGCTCAAGGGTGCCATGCGTGGTATCAATAAAGCTTTGATGACCACAATCGCTGCCTGTGGTGATGTCAATCGTAACGTCATGTGCAGTAGTTTGCCAACTGCTTCGAAGTACCACAAGCAAGTTTATGCCATCTCCCGGAAGATTTCTGATCACCTTTTGCCATCTACAACTGCTTATCACGAGATTTGGCTCAAGGATGAAAACGACAAGAAGGTTCAAGTAGCTGGTGACGCTGTTCAGGATTATGAGCCTTTATATGGTCCTACTTATTTGCCAAGAAAGTTCAAGATCACTATTGCCATCCCTCCACACAATGACACTGATGTTTATGCTCACGATGTCGGTCTTATTGCTATCAAGGGTGATGATGGTAATTTGGCTGGCTTCAATCTTCTCGTCGGTGGTGGTATGGGTGTTACCCATAACAACAAGAAGACATATCCTCGAACCGGAAGCTGCCTTGGATATGTTTCCAAAGAGCAAGCTCACATCGCTTGTGAGAAGGTTATGCTTGTTCAACGTGATCACGGTGATCGTAAGAACCGAAAGCATGCTCGTCTCAAGTACACCGTAGATGATATGGGTGTCGATGTTTTCAAGGGCAAGGTCGAAGAATTATGGGGTCAAGAATTCGAGAAGGCCAAGCCATTCAAATTCCAAAGCAATATCGACACATTCGGCTGGGTTAAAGATGAGACTGGATTGAATCACTTCACTCTATTCATTGAGAATGGCCGTATTGAGGACACTGCGGATTTCCCAATGAAGACTGGTTTACGGGAGGTGGCCAAGGTTCACAAGGGCGAATTCAGATTAACTGGTAACCAACATTTGATTCTCAGCAACGTTGCTGATGAAGACCTTCCAGCGATGAAAGAAATGTTAGCCAAGTATAAGCTTGACAATACTTCTTTCTCCGGAATGCGTCTTTCATCCTCCGCTTGTGTCGCTTTCCCGACTTGCGGTCTCGCCATGGCTGAATCCGAACGTTATCTCCCAGAACTCATCACCAAGCTCGAGGGTGTGATTGAAGAAAATGGCCTGCGTCAAGATTCCATTGTTATGCGTATGACAGGATGTCCTAACGGTTGCGCTAGACCTTGGTTAGCAGAAGTTGCTTTCGTGGGTAAAGCTTATGGTGCCTATAACATGTATCTTGGAGGTGGATATCATGGACAACGTCTTAACAAGCTTTACAGAAGCAGTATCAAAGAAGATGAAATTCTGGAAATTATGAAACCATTATTGAAGAGATATTCATTGGAGAGAGAGGAGGGTGAACATTTTGGAGATTTCTGTATTAGAATTGGGATGATTAAGGAGACGACCGAGGGAAAGACTTTCCATGATGATGTGAGTATTCCTTTTCCCCCTTAATTCTTAATTTTGATTAGTTGGTTCTAACACATAAATAATAGGTCGCCGAGGAAGAATCTGACGAAGAATGAATAATTGATTGATCACACAAAATTCCAACAGCATCGTCCTTTCTGCATTGCACGTACGCACGGCGTTTCCATGGGTATAAACCAAGTCTTTTCCATCTCTCTTCTTTTCTCGTCCATTTACTCGAGTACCTTGCTTGGAAAGAAGGTATTTTGACCACATTTTGGCATTCGTTCGACTGCGTACCCAATGAGGTGGGCAATGGTGGTTTGTTTGTCTTATCCGATATGTACATACCTGAGTACTTGGGAGTGTAGAAGTATATAGCCTATTTAGGTACGAAAAATACGAAAAATTATTATACGAGTCATGAATTTATTAAGACAATGGTGATGATAAATGTTATTATATTGATGCTTGGGTAAGGTTTTCGGGGGGCAGAAGAAATTTGCACAATCAAGCCACCTCAATATATGCAGCGCATTCAATAACCTTTGCTTCGGTGTATTCACGAAGTACTCCCAGCGCATTTTGCCAGCATGCATTTACTCGCCATAAATATTAACCTGGCTCTCAGCACTTCTGCAAGTAAAAGGGCATTTATAGTTCATGTACACAGCTATCTTTGTATAACAGTCTCCTTATAAGATATTACCTCCATAAGTTTCTGACATAAAGCAAGTAACGTGGGATGTAATTGCAAAATTTGAGCATCCCCCGCCTAAATTCTCTCCCCTCTCACGTCGTTAAAAGTACCTTTGTCAAATCTATCTCTAAGATCTAATCAGCAGTCTGTCATATAGCACAATCAAAGCGACCTAAAACTAGTTCCCGCTGAATCCATCATCAGAAACCTTGATAATGTGGTTCCTGTCGAACTATGTATAAAGCAATTGAAGCTCCCTTCTAGGGTAAAGAGGCCGAGTCGTGATAAATTTGGGCTTTGTCGAATGTCTCGTCTCATCACTCAGAATAATCCAGTATTTAAATATGCCTATCAGCTTGAAACAACCAACTGTCCCTCTGCTCACATTACTCCTATCCAGCATTCACTGGGCTCCTGCATGTAAAGGCCGTGATTTGGGGCTCCTGAAAGGCCTGGATTAATGCCTCAATCGCAGCGTACGCGCCCAAAGCAGCCGTAACCAACGCACCACCAAAGTAAATGATATTCCAGGTGTTCAAAATGAATCTCTTTCTGAAACCTCGCAAGATTCTTCTGAAACCCGTATCTGTAAGTGTGACTTGACCGGTGGTAGGATTGAAACCTTCTGTTTCGAGAATAGCATCAGCCTTGATGCAGTAGCCTACGTAAAGGATAGGCGGGAATGTGTAGGTGAATTGCAGAATACAAAGAGCTGCAACGAGGGATGAGAGACCGAAAAAATTCGGGATGGCAGCGGAAACAACGTAAGCAATAGACCAATAAACGGGGACAATGCTCATCCAAAGCAACTTTCCCCTATGTGAGCTAAGAGGTGGGGCACCCAAAAAGTCCACAAATAAGTTATTGTATAGGACTTTGATGCCGATATTACCGTAAAGGCCAGCTGCGATAAGGGCCGAGATGAACGCAATTACGTTATTAACCGTCTGCCACGCATAGGGGGATAACCCTTGATAAGACGGATTCACGGCATATTGACCTTGATAGCCATAGACAAAACATCCGTAGAACATGTAGAGAATATAGATAAATGCTTGGGCGCAAATCATACCCTTCCAAAAGTCTCGCGGCTTGCGCATCTCGGACATGAATTCTGTGAATAACATAGCTCCTCCATAAGCATAAACGGCTTGCATGAGGCCATTCACAGCACCAGTGAAACCTTTCGTTGAAGGAGGAAGATGACCAAATGTTGTAACGGGAGGGTAGTTGCCAGCAGCATCTGGGGTTACGAGTCCACCACCAAGCGCAAAGCCAGCTGAAGCATCTACAGCGAGGTAATTTGGTGCACTATGTGCAACGACTCCCATGCTACAGAATATGATGAACATATTCATCCAGATGGCTGCATTGGCTAGCCAACCGAACTTCTGTAACGTGCGAACTTGGCCGAGGAAAAAGCCAGCAAGGGCGAATACAAGACAGCATATCGCGTAGCAGAGTTTGAACTTTGCAACTTGAGAAAGCGCCTACGACTTCGTTAGTCTATCTTGCAATCTTGAGGCTTCTATGCGACCAAGATACTCAAGTCCGACAAAGCTTCCAAAGTCTAGAAAAGGAGGATGTTCATAAATGGAAAAAACCAACCTGCCCATTGCCAACAACAATCACCCCAACATTGAATAGAAGTTGAATAGATTGAAGGATATTGACTGCGTGCCGAACAGGGGCTCCATAAACCCGAAATGCTATATCTCCATATGTTCGCAATGGATATTGGTGGGAATCAAGCCCGAGGAACATGTAGTATAGAAGAAATCCACCACTAAATTTGTTAGTGTGTGGGTTCAAGCACAGTTATCGAGAGTTCCTTCGCTTACTATACAGCCAATCCTCCAAATACGGTATAAAGTGCAATACCAGGTCCCCAACCTAGTGCACCCAGTGCAAAACTAGCAGATATGATATTAGTTGATTATACATCATAGTGGGAGATTTTCAGAGACTCACGGAACGGCAAAAGGACCTAAGATATCCGTAGTAATCAGATAAAACACTGCCGACCAAGTAGCCGTCCTCAAAGCCCTACTAGCATTTGTCCACTCATCATTCGTGACCGTCGCACGATCGCCATGGGCCATTTCATGTACATCTCTTTCCGCGGCCGTCTTTTCCTCACCAGTCTCTCTATTCCCGTTCGACTTTTCCTCCGCAGCCGCAGAATTTACTGGAGCTTGGCCGCTGAGATTCTTCGGTGGAAGAATCAGAGAAAAGAAAGTGGTATCACCTATATCATTATTGGCACTAGCATCTTCTTCCGCGCGTGCAAGACCTGCATAGTAATGATATTCCTCAAAAGTGACAGAAGGATCGTGATATTTTTTATGCTGCGGTTGAACGTATGCAGATGTAATTGCATCAGCAGTCTCTCCGCTGAGTCGAGGGACACCAGCAGATCCTGCCAATGCAGCTGCCGTAGCCATTATTTATGTATGCGATTCGGTGATTCGTGATCGTAAAATGAAGATACGAAAGATGTTCCAAAGGAAGGAACTGTCACTCGCTCATAAGAAGCTTTTGATGCCCTAATTTTATTGAGATTTGAAGGATGTCGATGGGGCGAGGTGGTAGGGAAGAGCAGGAAACAAAATATGAAAACTCGTATCAGGAAGAAAGTAGAGTGTACAACATGTAACAAGAACCTGAATTACAACTCTAGCATTTTAAAAAATAGGCTGCTTGTCAATGGGGTCAAATCATCGACTTTGCAGACGAGAGAGTTGTTGGATATAGTTGTAAGTGTACAGAAAATTAATCGCGCAAAAAAGACACTTAATTACCTCAAAACCGTACACAACAGAACCCTAGCTTTGTCATATCGTGCCTACCTATTACAGAAGTTACAACAGATAGAATGCAAAGATCGAAAAGAGTGGTTCAGCTCGAATCTATATCAAAACGGCAGGTGTGATCAAGCTGTAACCTCGCATGTAATCTTATGTGACGTTGAAGTTTAGCGAACCCCATTTACCATTCACAAACCAGGTGAAGCACCTTTGTATCTTAGTACTTTCCTTCCTTGTGTGATGGTAATGACCCTCGTTTCGTTTACTCGATTGATATGTGTATAACCTGGATCTTGTAAGATTGTATGTACCTAGCAGGGAATAGCTTCCTATGAAACTCACTTATATGGTAAATGAGACGTAGTATATTTCTGTGAAAGGAAAAGCAAGAGGGGATAAGGAAAGAGATTCTGATACCTTTTCCCCCTCATCTACCGATCATATTCACAATGACGATGACGGTATTTCGTAATCGTCATACCTTGCAGCTACACTGCAATGCAACACTGACATGCATCTCAGACATGGGGAAGAACCTGGTATGCATGGCACAAGACCTTTGGGTTGCATCACACTACATGTGAAGACTGCGTTGTTCGGCTATTGTTTATGTTCTGCCTGCCAATCAAGGGAATCTTGTCTTGAGACTTTGGTAATTCAGGAAATATCCACGCAATTTTGTCATTTTCGTCCATCATGTCGTTCCAATGTAGTCGAACTTTTTTTTACTCATCTTTGACGAACATCTACATCGGCTTCAAAATAGATCTCGGTCGTACAAGACAGGCTGAAGGCTGAGAGTCTCTAGAGCATGCTTGGTGTTACGTTTTTATTGACTCATCCCATATTCAATGTCATTAGTGGAAGTAACTTAGCAGGAGGTTAAAGATCACCACTTAAAATCTAAGCTTTCGTATTCCGCGAAGCTATAGAAAAAAAAAACATTTCCCTACTACCACAATTATGCACTACCAGAAGCCTTAGCAGCATGTCCAGGTATCACACCCTCTTTCTTCGCTTCAGAATCAACAATAAAAGGAATCTCATCCTTCAAACTCCTTCCCGTAGGTTTCCAACCCAAAAATTTCCTAGCTCTCTTTGCAAATCCTTTAGAATTCAATCCCCAAGACACAGCTTCGAATCCAGCCAGTTTTTTAGCTTCTTCCACATTCATCGGTGCCACTTCCTTCGTTTTAATAAGTCCTTTCTCATATGCTACTTCACCAACTAGTTTGGATAGTTCTCCCCACACATGATGACCATTCTCGGCCAGGAAATATCCCTTTTCATTCCATAATTCGGCATCGTTAGGTCCGGGTCCTGCAACGGCTGCTTCTGCGAGTAATAACCACAACTGACTGAGATCATGAACATGCACATTATCCCATTCCGTCAGGCCCTTTCCAAGTTGAGGAGCCTGACTCTTCTGCAAGGTAATCTGAACCAAATTATATACCTGACGACTTCGCTGATTTCCGGGACCTCGACCAGGACCATAGATTGTGGGTGGGCATACGATAGCGGTCTTTACGCCGTCGGATCCAGCCCCCAAAACAATCTTGTCGATCTCTCTATGGAAAGCAGTATCGGGTAAATTGGTCAATTTCGAAACGCCTTCAAGATCATCATATGGTTCTTGTGAAGGAGGTTCACCATAGGTTTGAGTTTCCATGTCTTTCCAGCAGAGAATACCGGTTCCAGACAAGTGTAACCAGTAACCTGGATTTTCTTTCGTGTGACCCTTGGCAATCCCTTTGGCTATAGATTTCGCAGCGCCTTCATGGTCAGAAGAATCTGCGGTATCTGAACGAGTTTTAATTAGCGATTTTCAGGATACATGAAGATGCCAATCAAACTTACGCAGAACAATATCCGCCTTGGCAGCTTCTTGTTCAATAATCGAAGCATCATCCAATGTCCCATATGCGAAACGAATTTTAGGAAATGCAGCAGCTACTGGAGCTGCTTTATCGGAGTTTCGCACCAATGCTGTATACTCCCAATCTGGATGTGCGTTGTAAAGTGTATAGAGTGCATCACCGCCAGTGTAACCTGTGGTTCCTGTGCTTGAAGTTGTTAATTGGTGGTTTGCTGGTGGATGGTGTAACTTCGAAACTTACATGAAAATTTTTGGCGCCATCGTGTCAAGGTTTGTGGGAATCTTATTTTGAGTTGCAATGTAGATTGACTTCTAGGTACAAATAGATACACAAAATAACTATGACGCTTCCAGATATTTACATTTCTATACATTGGTGTTGGGTTCCTGATATTGTCATGACGTAAGGTACCTACCTACCTACCTTACTTAATAAGTATTTATAAGCAATGAGAATGAGGTAAATGAGACGTTCCCTGTCTTGTCTCCTTAAGACTTTATCCATCACTGCTTCATTTGTCGGGAGTTATTATTTTCCATCACCATTACGTTGTTACTTGCGTTTCTATAATCCCGAGGATGAAGTTGTTACTGATATAATTTTCATTTTGTTTGGCTCGTAGATCGGTACTGCAAAATAAGTATATGTTTACATGTGTAAGATCACTACTTCCCCCACGCCAGAAACAATTATAAGACAAGGCACTTTTACTGTATGCAGGTACCTCTCAGCAACTCAGCTTGGAAGATGCTATATGCTGCATCACATCTCGGCATCAAGCCTAGCTACTAGGTAACGGTGTTGCTTACAGGCACGGGAAAGCTCTCCTTGAAATGATACGCTGGGCCAGAATATTAACGTTGACCTTAATATTTATCCTCACCCCACCGGTTTCAAAATTCAGACCGATTGCGGACCCATTGGCATCGGACTTCTGGCATTTGCTCAGTCCCGCTGATTCTGCTTGATATTTTTGTTGTGGCTGTATGTATTTATGTGGCTGAATCAAACAAAAATCTCAAGCCACACTGATGCCGCCATAATGAAGCTAAGAGGGGCGGCCTAAGTAGTCCCGAAAGCCAAGGGTTATCAGCCGCCCTGTACCATAAAACAGCGGAGCGGGCATTGCCGTGACTACATCGTGACATGATTGCTTCTCGAAATTCTTGAATTCAATTTCAATACAACATCATAATCATGATTATGATGTGATCAAGCATTGGAACGTTTTACAAATATTAACTGCTTTTCAGAGATCTGATACTTTCAGATTCCAAGACATCAACAAGTCCTATTTAGTCTGCCACCGCGCTATATCCACTGGAAGTCTTGTGTCAGAGGATACTATGGAGCAAAGTCGAATCGTATTACTCCGTACATTCAAGATTATGAACTAGCGGGGAAGAAGGAAAGGTGCGGGGAGCTAGGAAACCACTACTTGCTCGTCAGATACACATGATTGAATCGTCAGCTGTAGGGAAAAATCAGGTCTGATATGGCTAAATTGATTCTCCGCAGCTTTCAAACTGAGAGGATAATACCGAGCCAAGGCTGTATGGTTTCCACATCTGAATCTTATGATGATCAATGGCACTTTATACTGATTCTGTTCAGCGGGAATTTTGCGAAAATGAAATTTGATTCCTGGTACAGTGGATTTTAACCCAATATCTGAAAAAGAAATAATTTCAAACACAGAGTGTAAAAGTTGCACTCCTCGAATTCTCAACTTGGAGCGACCAAAGCATATCCTAAACTATTTCCCTCCTCATCTCGTATCACTTCGGGAAGTGAACACAGGTACACTCCAAACACTGTAGGAAAACTTATCATCATACCGCCTACCAAGATTGCATCACTGTTAAAACTAGGTGTTTGAAGACCATAGTTGATCATGGAAAGTCCTAAAACCAATGATGCCTGAAAGAGTGGAAGACCAACTGCCACAGAATTAACTCCAGGTTCATACTCAAAATTCACAGCGAGAAATCGTACCTTTTTTGAAGCCGTAAGGGAAAGCAGCCTTTGAAGTACACTGCAAAAGAATACGAAGTATAAGGCAAATTGTAACAGTAAGTGCGCCAAACATAGTGACTATGAAATCAAAGCAACCATTAGCAATTGTAACCTCCGCAAAACTTCTCAATAACAGATAAAGACTTACAAGAGCTGATCAGTCCAACAATCGATTGTTTCCAATCTTGAACTTTTTCTTCATGAACGATACGAAAGAGAGACCAGCCAGTTTGTTCTCCAAAAAGTGCTCTGAAAGATCGTTCTGTGAAGTCATAAAGTTCTGCGCCCCGCCCATCTTTCCATAATTTGGCAGTTTCCTCTGCAATATCTGGTGATGTGCCTAGCTTCGTTACGAGGGTGCGAGAAATATAGGCACGCACATCCTTAGAAGTGGCTGAAAGCGCGGGCAATCTTGGTGTCATGATATCAAGCAGTGAGTCCAATATGAAACCTGGTTAATTCTCTGATGGAATGTTATATGAATTTTTGGTCAAATTCGTAAGATAGGAATAATACAAAGGTGTAAGTTGTCGCAACCTGTGTAGAGATCATTCTCGCTTACTAATTGCCGGTATCCGGTATTAGGCTCAATGTGGCAAGACGATTGTGGGTCTATGTAGTCAGGAGTTGTATCTCCAATAATAAGACAACCTTCTTCATATTTACAAGAACAAGCCTTTCTCCGGCTTGTGAATGTGGGACATCCGCTTACAGATAGGAAAAGCGGATTCTATGGTCCCTCATCTACCTAATGTTGTCTTCCTGCTACACATCTTTTTTTGATCTCGGTATACAGTCGATCTTCGAATCCTAGACTTAGGCTCCATATCGGCGTTATATGCTAGGAAGACTTGCAATAAGGAAGGTAATATACAAGTTTGTAAGATAAACTGGAGTAAGGTAAGCACCATTCTCCCGCCCCACGCAAAGCTCCAATTTTCGCAAATTTTACTGACTATCAGTTATATCTATTACTTGTTTTGCTTTTCGCTCTGGGATAGTGCTCCTGTTAGGGCTTATTTGCCTTAAGCTTTCTTGTCGCTTGTCTAGATTACTGTGTGTAAGACTCGGACTCGGTTTCCTTAATCTATCGTCTTTACAGGAGACGGGACCAGGTTGCGGCTCCCTCATGCACAGTGCAGTTAGTTGTTGAATATCAAGTAAGGATAAGATAACAAATAAAGTTGAAGGATGGAGAACAAACTGTTGGTTCAACAGTCGTGACAACAGATAGATTCGAGAGTGGATTTGGGGGTGGGCTTCTAGATGCTCTGTACTAACTGTACTACCTTCGAGCTAACATCTTGAACCGGATTTTCGAAAGCTAACACTGTAGGCCCTTGGAAAGAGACGTCATAACGGGAAAATTATATTGTAAGAAATATTATACACAGGGTAAAAAGATAGACTGGAGTCTAGGAGATGGAGGCAAAGGTGTTGTATCAGAAAGTGGATGCGGGAGTGGATTTGCAAGTGCAGTTTGGTTGGAGAATCAATACGATCAGAAAAACAAAGTTACATCGGTCGCCGTGTGATCCGAGAAGGGAGGGGAGAAAGTGACTCGAAAGAGGGCGAAGGCGAGATACCATGCGAGCCAGGAAGTCTATAAAAGGTGCTCCTGACATCTCAGAAAACATCATCAGACATCCGTTGCTATCTTCTTCGAGTCAACTTCCAGTACGCTGAACAAGTCCGTCAGTATATATCATCAAGCCAGCGAGCCAGTCTTTGTTTAAACGAGACGACCAGCAACAGTTTTCATAATGATTCTTCCAAAAGCTATAGCTGCCCGGGCATGGACGCCTTTCTTTCTTGGGTCCGGAATTGCCTTCTTTACTGCCTTAGCAGGTGTCGGTACCAAACTTGCCAGTGCATCTTGCTCATCTGCAATGTGGCTAGCATTATTTGGTGTACCAGCAGCCACGGGTCCTGTTAGCGCCTGTATTGCCGCTGGTGCCCTCGCAGGTATGCATATCACAGAATCAAATTTCTTCACAGAATGTTACTGACCAACGAATTCATAGTGCTGTCATCATCTGTTGCGGCTGGACTTGCTGCATATGGATACTCGGCTGGTTGGACATTTGAGGGTGACGGTGCCTCCATCGGCAAACGTGCCTCCTACGCGAGGATTATCAACCCCAAGTTCGGAACTGCCCATGTTTTCGATGCTGATAATACCTTGGCTCTGAACTTGACATATGGTGGAATGCTCGACAGTCACAACACGACCCTCGTCGCCGTAAGCTGGATCGAAACCTTGGAAGGTGGCAACTACACCAATTCGCCTTTGCTTGGTTTGAATATGACGCAGGGAAGACTGGTCACGCTCAATGACAACGGGGTCATCCGGACTGCGGTTGGAGCAGTAGAAACGCTGCCTACAATACTCAATGGATTCGCTGATTTCAAGAACAACGTTACTCGTGTCCAGAAGCGCCAATCGGAGGAAGTTGATTGGTTGTCGTTCAATACATATGGAGAAAACATGCAGGAGGGTGGGATGTATACGGAGGCACTCGATGAGGATGCCAATGCTTCGAAGACCAGTGCAGATTATGGAGTCGACGGATGGGCAGAAAGTTACGATTTTTACGCTTCAAGTATGTGCTTGGCTGCTAGTCCTCCGGGTGACGGCCAGGGCGTTGATTCAATCATCGTCGGTGAAGTTTATATGAATGCCTATGGAGGTATTGACACAATTTGCCAATCTGGCTAAATATGTGTTGTGGTATTGGAGTTTGAAGGAAAAGAGAGAGGGCTCCTTGGATAAAATCTTCAAGCTCGAGCTCACATCTTTAATTCTTTCGTTTTATACTCACAGCAAACCACGTCAATTCAGGGGAGGCGCTCGCTTCCTTCCTTGGCGTGCCGAGAGGTATCGATATCAGCCTCTTTGCAGCTGGAAGTTGGACCGGTCATAGATATCTGATGTGTATACGTAAACGAGCCTTTATAGCCAATGATCAAAGATTACTCGTTATCTTGAATTACTGACCGTGAACTTTTTATTATTGAATATACAAAGATTTCTTCATTGAAGAGTAGGTACCAATAAGAGTTTTGTCTGTTTACTTAGTTCGAGGTCCGGACTCTTCGGTTTGAATCCCTCTCATTGTCGGTGCGGGATATAATCACGTGTCATTCAGCATTTCGGGAATGCCGGGTACAGATCGGAGGAAAAGATACCGAGGATCTATATCCTATGCGACCTCCGGGATAGATACAATGAAAATGAAATTCTCCTTTATATTCAATTTCATTCATTCAAAATTATACAAAAGGATTTAATACCTAAGTAAATTATAATACATTCTTGATTATTAATCACTAATCTTCATATTACTCCCGGTACCTAGGCAGTTAACCGCATCCGCGGGTATCTTTATCTGAATCATCCGGATAAATATCACAAAATGAGGGATACCGCGTACTCCAACAAACTAAACCCTAGATTTTCCGGGGCCGAGCAAAAAATAGATTAAAAAGTATCCATTTGAATCAATTCTTCATCAGGAACAAGAAATAACCTTATTTGATATAGGATTAGCGTGTTTGGGTATAGATGAACTTGGGAAGTTTATACGGTACCATTGTACCAGTACCTACCTAGAAGAAAGTTAAGAAAGTTTTATAAATGGAGGGATGCACGGTGAATGGATGAATGTTGGGTTCGTGTCTCGTCCTCCCGTTTTTCCCATTTGTATTAACCTTAATAACCTTTATATTTTCCAGATGACCAAGTATCACAATAACCCATTCACCGTATACAATAGAATCCTCATTTGCCAAGTGACCGAAACCCCGCCTTCATATATTAAACATTCATACAGCCATAATAATTCCCTAAGATGGGGGATGGATGATTCAAGGGCCCTTGATTAAATACCTACGATGCCTCAAGTTCCTTTCTTTTCTTCGACTTTTGTTTTTCCTACACTTTGTTTCGTAGAATACATATACACATATTTCATCATGCATTTTAATCCGAGAAACGTCTTTGTTAGTGGTACCGTTACCGCTAATCTATTTGTTTCCTCGTATGTGGGAACGATCAGTACTTTACAACTTTCGAAATTTTCAAATGGGTCGTATTCTCTCGATACTTTATCCGTCAATAATGTCACGACCGATAATCCATCTTGGTTACACAAGGATCCTCATAATGGTATCTTGTATTGTTTGAATGAAGGTTTAAGCGTCGTCAACGGAAGTATCTCGAGCTTCGCAGTCGGTGATGATGGCAGTCTGAGTTTGTTGGGAAATGAATTAACCATCAATGGACCTGTCAGTTCCGTCCTTTTCAACGGAGGAAAATCCTTGGCTGCTGCCCATTAGTAAGTTTTGCATTCAGATATCTAAAGTTATATCTGAATACAACGTACTAACCAACCCAACAGTAGCGGAGCTTCACTTACAACACATAATATTCAAGCAGATGGAACGCTAGCACCACTCCAAACAATAACCTTTACCATGCCTGGTCCCGGCCCCGATCCATTAAAACGACAATTAACGCCTCACCCCCACGAAGCCCTCCTCGACCCAACAGAGAACTTCATTGTAGTCCCCGATCTAGGCGCCGATCTCGTGCGCGTCTTCTCCATTGATCCCAAGACAGCTCTCCTCACAGAAAAAACCCCCTACACAGCACCACCAGCTTCTGGTCCTCGTCACGGTGCCTTCCACGTGACTGACTGCAATCAAACATTCTTTTATCTCGTGTCCGAATTGGGAAATACGGTTACGAGTTTTGCTGTTTCTTATGAGAATGCCACTGCTGGTATGACTTTTACCAAGATTGACACTCACGGTATTTTTGGAAATCAAACCACTCCCGAGGGTGCCGCGGCTGCTGAATGTCTTATCACCGTAAGTCTCCTCAACTTCTAACCATGAGAAATAAATCTCACATCCCATGAATCAAACACAAACTAACAAGCGCCCAGCCCGACGGCCGCCACATCCTCACCAGCGCCCGCAACGCCACCATCCTCTCTATCCCTCAACCACCCGTACACCCACTAAACAACACCGCTCTTCCCTCGGACACCCTACAAACCTGGACCATCAACTCCAGCCCCGACTCCGAAAACTCCACTATCGGCTCCCTTTCATTCTCGCAACTCCTCCCCGCAGGCGGTTTCTTCCCCCGTCAAATGTCCATGAATAAAGCAGGAACCCTCGTCGCCGTAGCTCTTCAACGCAGTGCGCGAGTGGCTATCGTGACTCGAGATACAAAGACGGGATTATTTGGGGAGTTTGTGGCGGATATTCAGATAGGTACTTTTGAGGATGCGTCGAGTGTGGATGGACAGGTTACGAGCGTGATTTGGGATGAGGAAGATAGTTTGTTGTAGGTTTTGTTAGGGTGAGTGCAATGTAGCTAGTCGTTAGTGCGGAAGCTCTAGGGATGTGGGGTTAGTTGGCGGGGTATGAGTAGGTACCTACCTAGGTAGGAAGAGTTGGTTGATGTTCATGCGGGTTTTGAATGATCAATTACGGTGTTTTGGTGGGGGTGGGGTGTAAAGTACAGCGGGACTTTATTTCTTTTCATTTCATTCATGATATCATCATATCATCTCATACATAAACATTGTACATACCGAAGAGAACGATAAACACATGGATTCACGAGCAAAGGAACGAACGAACGAACGAAATGTATAGATAGTTAGATCAGATAGATAGATAGTCATGAAATTTTATAATCTTACAATAACATAGGTGCTTGATATAATATAATGTAAACCAAGCGAGCAGCTCAGAAATTATACTCAATCTCCTCAATCTCCTCAAATCTTTCAATCTTTTCAAAATTACTCGAACTTCCTAAATTTCCCAAACTTCCCAAATTTCCTAAACTTCCTCAATCAAGACCACCCATCCAGCTCATCCTACCCTATTATCACTTCTAAAACCATACCCACTCCTCACTGCGCGCATCATCCTCATACACCCTATCATAACAAACTGACTTTCCAAATATCCGAATATAAAAATATACAAATACTCCTCCCTCCATACTATTTATATAAAAAGAGAAGAGAAGAGAAGAAAAAAGGAAGTGTTATCTTTCCTATTAAAGACAATAGACATAATCTTACTACATGTGAAAAAGAAACCAAAAAAGACCATTATAGGAATACATCTATCTATCCCTTTCAAAGAACAAAAAATCATTTCAGCCTGCGTAATTCTTGGTAAAATCATTTCTTTTATTCTTTTATTTGATATAATGTTTTTGGAATACCTTTAGCTAGATACTTACCAGTACCACTACCAGTACCATGCCGTCCGTATGAGAACTTTTTATCCACCCTCCAAATTATTGCAGAATACATATCACCACCGCAGTCCTTTTCCATTTACCTTGCTCTGTCAAACCTTAGGCTATTTACCAATTCATCAAATCTGTTTCACAAGTTAGTTAGTTATTCAATGACACTCATTAATCTCAATGACTAGGGGGAAGTATACCTCTGCCAAAAAGTGTCCTCTTAGCCCAGTCCATAGCCAATAAACATCTCGTTCTAAAACTCACACTCTGAGCAAAATATACACTTCTCCATGCATAAACCGCCCAAAGACCTCCGGCGAAACTCCATCCACCACCGAGATCAAAAACTGCGGAATTGCCGATATATGCTAAACTTCCCAAGTGATGATATTCAAAAGCTTTATAGATAGCTTCATCCAAATCACCATCCCTCATATCATTGACCCTCATTCCCGGTTCTGCTTTTGCCATTTTGTTGAATTTGTGTCCAAGGTACTGACCTTGTTGATGAGCTCTTTGGGCGGTAGCAGGGAGGGATGTAAGTTTACTATCTATTTGCATGAGAAGTTCTCTCAATTCGCCAAAATCGAGAGTTCCGGATTGATCCTTATCAAATTCCTGGAAGAGTTTATCGACACGTTTGAGGTGATCAGCTGCTTGAGGAAATCTCTTTCGTACTCTTTGTGCAACATCTCGCCAGTCACGGAACGTGAGTTGAACTTTCTCTGGGTCCTGACCCTTTTCCCATGCAAGAGTGCGAAGGAAGGTTACCAAGTGATCTGCAACATTGTTTTGAACGGTTGCGCAATCACCAATTGCATAGACATCCCCGAGAGGTGTGCCATTTAGACGGAGATGGGTATCAGTCTCTAACGCATGACGATTGGTTTGTGAGGAGCCAAGTGCTGCAGATACTGTTTGGCAGAATTTAGTCTGCGAAACGCCCGTAGACCAAAGACAAAATCCCATGGGTAATTCCTTGATGATAGATTCGCCATTCTCTCCCTTTTGAGTGAATAAAATCTTATCGGGTCTGACCTCTTTGACTCGGGAATTGGTCAGAATCTCCACCTGATCACGGGCGAATCGATCCTCGGCATATTTGGAAACAGCTTCATCATATGTGTTAAGAATATGGCCTCTACTTTGAATAACGTGCACGGATATCTCATTTCTAAGAATCCGAGGGAAGTGTGCTGTGAGATCTTCATTAAGAAGATCGAATAATTCAGCAGCAAATTCTACTCCTGTAGGACCACCCCCGCTAACGACGAAAGAAAGTAATCTCTTCCGCTCATCATCGGATGTTGTTGGTAGGCACGCATATTCCAAATTGGTCAAAATGGAATTTCGAATCCTCTGAGCATCATCAATATCTTTCAAGAAGTGACAATTTTCCAGCCCTTTCACACCGTGGGGATTTGTTGTTGATCCAACTCCTATGACCAGTTTATCGTATGGTAGATAGAATCGTACTTCTTTGCCCGTTGGGCTCTTTCCTACTAATTCTACCAACTTTTCCGAGAACTCAATTTCTTCTGCTGTAGCTCTTATGAAATGACCTTTAACTCTTGTAATAATCCGTCGAATTGGTTCTACTAAAGAACGAAACTCCAATGTACCCACAGTTGCAGAAGGTAACATAGGTGTGAAGAGGAAGTAATTTGTTGGTGAAACCAGAGTGATATGATAATCATCGGGATTCAAAGTCTTCAACAACGCAACACTTCCCCATCCACCTCCGAGAATAACCAATTTTGGCTTATCTTTCTGCTTTTGCATTTCTTCAGTATCATCATCGTCGATTTGAACTTCAGCAATAGGTAAGTTCTTAGGACCTCCTGTCCGCGGGGATAATGCGAGCTCCGAAATGGAGATATCCGTGTATGTGAGATCTTCGCGATATGTCGTGGCATCATACACGAAGAATCCAATAACACCGACTCCCAAAAGTATTAATGAACCTCCAAGTAAAGCCGCAGATCGGTATAGAAAGTTTAGAGCTTTCGATCGTCGCTGGGGTAAAGGTTTACCGGATACAAATCGAACGTTTCGTGTTATAGGAAACTTGCTCCATCTCGTTTGATTTGTGATAGCTGCCAGAGATCTTTTTAGATTCGTAGAAAGGTTTCGACATAGCAGAGAGTTGAATGATAATGGAGTTTGGCTGAAAGGGGAATATAAAGATCTGCGAAGTAATAAAGACTTATTTATGCCAACTCTCCCAAGAGATGGGGTGGATTGCCGCAGGAGCATTCTTATGTATGCCATAACACTTTCTGGTGACAACTATTCTCTACTCGAGTATTAATAACTGAAGTTCATAATTCGAATTGAAACTGGGAAATATTAAAGAGATAGTAGGTAGTGAATAGACAATTGACGGGTAAAATTATTTCTAGGTAGGTAATGAGAGTATAAATTGGATGGCAATGAAGAATGGGAGATATTTATTCCTATCAATAATTTCTAGGTGTTGGTCGGTACTAGAGCAATTGAAGCATTTTCCAAGCTGTGAATTTTTGGGCTTCTTCTCTGACGTAAGTCATCATTGGAAGTCATACCCACCAGTACCTTTTCACTCCACCACCACCACCCCTCTCTTCCGCTCACGGATCGGACGGAACGGCTGCCACTAGATCCCAAAGAATTATGGGAATTAAGTTGTAAGATCTTACATGAATGAAAATCAAGAGGTCATGGTATAGTATCTAGTGATGGACCAAGAGATTACGATTACTTGAGGTCGAGAATAACCTTTTTTATCATTAATCTTACATACACACACACACATACACAGACACCCGCACACATATACATATATTATATATTTTCGTTCCAACGCCTTCATGATCAAGGACTTACGATGGTATTGTTTCAGTCAGTGAGATAAACTAAATGTTCAAGGTTCAGCCTGCAATGAGCACAGTATCTAATGATGCACTAATAAGTCTAGTGTGTCAAATCAAGTTTATATGATTGAAGCGTCCGATATCCGGATCTCCTATGAGCGCATAGAAACAACTGTTCCCGTCGCCAAAAACACCAGTTCCGTCCCGTGCCATTGTGAAGATGTCTATGTGAATCAACTTCGAAAAGGGTATAATAAAACTGGTGGGAACCCAAACGCCAAATATAACCAATCCTATATCCCATTCATGTCATCATCATTGCTTCGTGGGCGTGGGATCCATCCCCATGTATATTATCATCGTCACCATCAACACGGTCATCATTATCCCCATCTAGACCCAGTCCGATGGAATCTGGTATCGCTTTTTTCCCATCTCGTGCACTATTCTCAGCCCAGGCACGTAGATGAACGAGGTCTCTAATGGCTGCGTCTCGACGTTTATTTTGAGATTGCAGTATAGCTTTGTTCACTTTATCTGCAACAGACCTTCTAAGATCAGGATGTAGTAGAGCAGCTAATTGTGGCTCCAGGTTATCCGAGGGAAAAATTAGCAAAGCCATTGTCCTTTCAAGATCTTCCAAGAATTCTGGATTAGCTGGCGCTCGAGGCGCAAGTTGAGTAGTCGCAAAGTTCAGGGCGGGAGTGATGTCACTGCCTGGAGTTGTGTTACAACTCCGTATGAGCTCAACTAGTTGTAATCGTAAAAGCGAGAAATGGAGAGCTGGGTCGTTTTCGAGAACCTGTTCATAAACTTAGCGATCATTCTATGGACGTATAATGAACAAGGATGATGGTTGGTTGTAGAGTTGCTCATACTGAGGACTGAAGTATGGTATTGTGTCTCATCAACGACCCGAAGGCTATATGAGTGGTGCATGAAACTTGTATAATCATCGCAAGAAAGTAGATAGAAGTAAACAGATATAGGACTAACCTGAGGTTCTAGTTCATTCAGTGCCTCTATAGCATCTTGTATACTTCCCAAATGAATGGAATGTTGAATAGCTTGGCGAGCTTTGACAGACTCTTCTTCTTGTTGTGGATTAAGATTTGCTTCTTTAGAGAATCTTGCGGCGGCAGATGGGTAACCTTCGGTTGTGAGATAATCTAAAATCAGAGCATTGATGTCACTATTGATGAATAGAAGATTAGCTTGGATCTCTATCGAGTCGTGTCGGATTGGGCGATAGCCAAATTGATAAGAGTGGCAGTATATCAGTTAACAACTAATTTTGTTCTCCGCATGCGTAATTTTTAGGAGAGATTCCCAGTTGATGATAGTCATCATATAAAGATTGCCAAGGATGGAGCTTGAATGAAGCACCAGGGTAGGAAATGAGAAATGGATTCATACCTCTTCATTGGTTTTACATCATCAACACGCTTTTCAAAGTCGGTTCGTAAGGGTGGTCGCTCGAAGGTATTAAGTCGTGAAGGTGTTGCGGTAGCTGTTGAAGAAGCCTATAGCTGGAGTCAGTAACTGGAAGCTATCGATAGACTTCGGATATCCATTCTTCTGTACGTACCATTATTGAAAGTGTTGTCTCGTCTCTATTAATAAATGAAAATAAATTGTAGTTGATCTCGAAAGTGTCCAGCACCGTACAACTATTATAAAGTTCTGTGGATGTGAATGAAGAAAAGATAAATGGCTGAAAGAAAAAAGTTGTTATTGTAAAAAAGAAGAGAAAAGGCAATGTTGAACTGAGATTTCAAGTTAAAAAGTAACCAAGAAGCTTACTGCAGAGTCTAAACTTTGATGGGCTTAGCTTCGAAGAGCCTCAATAATTTTCACATCACGTGACACATGAAAAAGACGACAAGAAGACGGTACCCCTCCAAGCGAGGATACGTACCGCGGTGGAGAATAAATTGTTGCTGTATATCTTACTGCCGTACTCTAATGTTTTTATATATATTCTTTGGCCCCTCATTATGAATATTTGAAGTTTGCAGAAATCATAGCTTAAAACAACATAACCTTAACCATCCAGCATTTATTTTCCATCTTTCACAATGGCTGTTTCCGTGAAAGAACAGGCTCACTACTCCCCGCCGTGGGCTGGAGTTAGTATCATAGGCATAGCTGGAAGTTCTGGATCAGGAAAATCTACTTTGTCACATGCCATTATTTCTCAGATGAATCTGCCATGGGTTTGCATTCTCAGCATGGTAATTCATCTTTTCTACTTGCGCCTATACTATTTGACCTATTAATGAATATGAAATAGGATTCATTTTACAAGTCTTTAGACGAGGAGGGATCAAGGAAAGCATTTTTGAATGAGTACGATTTTGATTCTCCGGATGCGATAGATTTCGATGTTCTGGTGGACATATTGAGAGACCTAAAAGCAGGGTAAGTCTTTTCGGACAATTTCTAATAAATGAAAAGAAGACCCAAGGTCCGATGTATATCATCCAGCGGGTTCCTTTTCATCTTATTGACATTGTTTTTTAGCAAAAGAGCAGAAATACCTATTTATTCGTTCGCAAAGCATGCCCGAGAGAAGGAGACCACGTCAATTTATTCACCGCACGTACTTATATTGGAGGGCATATTCGCATTATACGACCCTCGAGTCCTGGAGTTATTGGATATGAAGGTACCCTTTTTCTCGACTTTAGGAAGGAATCCAATCTTGGACACTAACTTTTTCCAGATATTCTGTCAGGCAGATGGAGATACTTGTTTGTCTAGGAGAAGTATGGCTCTTTTTCCATTTTTCTGGATACCGGTGGCATTTTCGAATGGCACATAACATAAGCGCTGCATGATTAACGATAGGTCAACTAATTCAAATTTAATAGTTCTTAGAGATGTCGCCGAACGAGGTAGAGATATTGAGGGGGTCATCAAGCAATGGTTTGGTTTCGTGAAGCCAAATTTTCAACGATACGTAGAACCTCAAGGAGAAATCGCGGGTAAGACTTCTCAACTAATTTACCACAAGATGAGCTTTACCTCTGTATGGTTCCATGATGTTTCACCACAGGCCTAATCCTTTGAACAGATATCATTGTACCACGAGGTGTAGAAAATCGAGTTGCCATTAGTAAGTTCCAGTGCTATACACGCAATCTTGCGCTCTATTAATTTCTGATAGACATGGTGGTACAATACATCCAGAGGACATTAAAAGAAAAATCAATAGCACACATTATGGCCTTAAAGAAACTGGGTTTGGGTGCTGAGGATGAGCCTCTATCCGAATCAGTTCTTCTTTTGGAGCAAACACCCCAGTTCAAGGGGATGAATACCATTATTCAAGATGTAGCCACTCCGGCCGAAGAATTTGTTTTCTATTTCGATCGAATTGCTACTTTACTCGTTGAACAGTAGGTCATCGTGTGCTTGACTCTTCTAGGGTTGATTCTAGTGTATTATTTCTAACAAACTATAGTGCTATGAACAATATATTCTTTACAGAAAAAACCGTTGAGACTCCAATGGGTAACAAGTACCAAGGTTTAATTGCTACTGGCGAAGTTAGTGCTGTTGTTGTCCTTCGTGCGGGAGGAGCTTTGGAAACCGGCTTGAAGCGGGTCATTCCGGACTGCAAAACTGGAAGACTGTTGATTCAATCGAATATTCGAACCGGTGAACCAGAATTGCATTTTTTGAGTTTGCCAGACAATATTGACAAACACGACAGTGTTCTGTTACTTGATCCACAACTGTCAAGTGGGGGAGCCGCACTTATGTCAGTTCAAATTCTTGTGGATCATGGAGTACCACAGGAGAAGATTGTGTTTGTGACTTACACTTCAGGAAAAATGGGATTGAATCGACTTACGAAAGTTTTTCCAAAGGTTAGGATTGTGGTATGCACAATCATTCAGGACTTTGAGGAAAGGTGGATCGAAAAGAGGTACTTTGGATGTTGATCGTGACGATGTGGTTGTTAATAGCATGTATTGGTTGAAAGATCAACCACCCATCCGCTCCAAGTAGGTAGCAGACAATTCATACATTTTTAGGGGGGAGGGCATTTTCAAGATTTGAATTCTAAACGGTACAATAGTTTAAGTAATTGTACTATAATCTCAAATAATCTTTTCGATATCAACAAACTTCGGTGCTTGAATAAGTTTATTTTCATACGGATTCCTCGTTTCGGCGACTAGGATACGACCACTCACTCACCTTTTGAAGTCTGACCCACAAGGTAAACTCAGCATGTAAAATAAGAATCTACACAACCTAACTACTAGTGAGCAGTCCTAGCGCTGGAATTTTATCCATTGATTCTTCTTGTATTACGCAGTAAGTACTGCAAGATGTCATCACTCAGCGGTAGTTTAACCCAATACTCTCCGTGCGGTTAGGTTGCTCTACGCCAGTGAATATATGAAGTTCTTACTCTTGGTAGCCCCATTGAACTTGAAGCTGTGCTTTCAATACCCTCACTGCGGCAACTGGACTTGCATCAACTGCCACTGCTATCTATCATTTATCTCCGTCCCATGTTCTGGTATACCAACGACCACTACGGTTAAGAAAGATCCTTTTGTACCAGCGGACTTGGCTAACAGTTTTCCTACCGTACCTATGGTTGCGCCCGGTGTCGCTGCACCATCGATAGCTCGCGACATACCTGTGGTCACTGTACCGCCTTTCCATTTACCAGGTACTACTCCACCAACATTATTTTCCATTGTAGCAGTGGTCATTGTCCCAATTTCCATTCAACCGACCCACGCACCCAATATGTCTGTCCCGCCTCCATTCTACATTCTACCAACCAGCGAACCAAATGTTTCCATCCCGCATTCCATTATACCAAACAGTCTACCTTCCGTTCTACCATCTAGTGTAGTGCCAGCAATCATTCGGGGATACATTACCCTGTCCGATATGTCTTTCATTCTGCCGTCCAGTATAGCTTCTTGTTTGCCCATCCAGTGTACACTCCGTTCTCTTGTCAGTGTGCCTTCGACTCTCTCATCCAGTCTACTACCTTCTACTAACCCTCCCAGTCAACATTGCATTCTTTCATCCAGTATAGCTTCTATTTTACTAACCAGTGTGGTGTCACCGACTCGGCTTCCAGTCTGCTATCTAGCGTGGTTTGTATACCAACTTACACCTACATCTACATTCGCTTTGCCCATCGAATAGACCTATATATCCATTCAGTATCCTTTTCATTCTCCTATCCAGTATAGCTTCCATTCTTCAATCGCTATAGTACCATTATCACTACCCCAGCTTTCATTTTCATATCTAAAATAATTTCTATGCCAACTTACAATCGATTATTTAGTACATATTCGGTTATCAATTCAATATATAATCAACTATTATTTCAATTCTATTCTGCTAATCAATATAATCTCTATATAAGTTTATTCTACCGACCAATATAGTCTCTCTACCACCTTACAGCTCACCATCCACTTCTGTTTACCCAACCAGCATGGGCCCCGAATGTTATAATTCATGGTGTATGTCACTAATCTTCGTTGGCAGGTATTGTATAGTATATGCGTGAACATGCAGATATATGAGATGATTCAAGTGCCTTTCGATTAATAGCTCAATACTTAATCACTTCATCATTATCATAAAATAAAATAAAAATAAGTGAGGAATCGAAAGGAATAAGAATCTCCCCTGTTCGGATCCAACAAGAGCTAGCTCGCTAGAAAGACGAGGTAGGCAAGGGAAAATGTGGCGGCAGCCGCTAAAACTCCAGGGGTAGGTACATGCCAAAGCAACGTCATTTAGGTCCGGCCCGAGCACCATTACCATTCATTGATGAAATCTAACCTCAATTGTACACTCATACTCTACACAACCCCCCCCCCCAAAAACACAACAGCACAACCCCATTCCCTCCAATTAACCATGACGGCCCTCCGAATCCAACCACAAAAATACCGACCCATCATCCAGCAAATCAAGAAGATTTCCGCACCAGGGAAATGCAATTTTAACACCCGCGGCGCAAACACTATATTAGCTAGGAATATTGATACAGATGCGGGGAGAGCAGTTTGCGTAGGGATACCACTTATCCAGAGGATATCGACGCGAAACACAGCATGGAATATACGTGCCAGCAGACCAGAAAGGAGAAGATACGCGACAGCAACACCTGCTGATGCGATTATCGAAGATTTAACCGAGCAGTATTCTGTTGCGAGGGATGAATTTGAGGTTTGTTCTATTGTTCTATATATTTTTTCTCGATTTACCTTTCCTATCTGCTACTTTACAAAATAAACAAAACAGAGTTAAACTAACACGCACCCCTCTAGATAGCCAGCGAAGAAACAAGCAAAAATTCCGTCTACGCAGCCGATGATCGCGCAGCCGCAGCAGAAGAACTCCAAAAGTTGAAGGAAATGTATGGGACGGCTATTGCGGGGGAATATGGCGAGGAGATTCAACGGAGAGTGGGTCAACGGGTGAGGGAATTAGAACAGGGGGTTTTGGCTATGGAGGAGAGGGCGAGGGAGGATCATTAGAGGTGTCTAGGAGGGGGAGGGGGGAATTTGGAAGTTGGGGGGGGGGGGGGGGGAAGGGGGGGATTTTGGAGGGGAAAAAGGGGAATCAGGGGATCGGGTTGGGATTATGAGTCTTGATGTCAATGGATGGCGGAAGAATGACATATTGTGCCTGATGTATGGGGAGGTGAAAATATATTTCACGATGAATACTATCAAAAGGTTTCCGGGTTGCTGGGGTGGAAAGATGGCAGGGTATGCTCTCGCGAATTATGCTTTGAATAGCACGGCATGAAAAATTGAAGAATTGACAGAATATTTATGAAGCTTGCTTGAAAGACTCATGGGTGAAAAGGTGTATTTAATTAGCGAACCATCAGAAATTCCACTCGACATTATTTACAAAACTTATTTGTACAATTAATATTAGATGTTCTAATTTCATTATCGCACTAAAGTAAAAAGGGGGTATTTCTCGAAAAGAAAACAGTTAGAGAAGGGCATTAAAAAATACAAATTCATGATGGTGTCTCCATTTACCAAATGGCTTTGCCTGGTGAAATTCCTCGCATATTCCCAATGTGCCAATATTATAGGGCATTATCTGGAAGATGCCCCCAAGGTGATCTCTTCAAAGCCAGCTTACTCAAGTGTATTTCCAATACGCTTTGATTGAATCGATCGTATACTAACATGGGTTCGTGTGTGTTGATACTTGTAAATGATCCAAGGAGAAGTGAAATGAAATTTAGTACACAAAATTCTCATACAAAGTGGTATGTATGCATGTACTTTTCAAATAGGGCTTAGAGATGCGATAATTCGTCAGGGCTTGTTGACTTGGGGGGTTGTCTAGTTCCATGATGATGGCCGAATTCAACATCTCCGTCCTCACTTCCGCCCTCGTTATCATTGCTGAGGTTGCTTTCGTTCTCTTCCTCATCTTCATCTTCACCGTCTTCTTCTGCATCCTCGATTTCCTCGTTACTCTCTAATTCTCCATCAGCACTCCGGTCATCTTCGCCCTCTTCAACCTCAACCTCGACTTCTTCCTCCTCATCATATTCCGACATTGATGGTCGATCATCTTCAAATTCTTCTTGCTCTTCCTCTTCCCCTTCAATTACGTCGACTTTTTCATACTCCTCAATAGACTCCATAACATGGTCATCATCTTCTTCCATCTTAACACCCTCCATTTGCTGCTCAAGCCTTAATAACTCCTCTTGACGCTGTCGCTCTTTCTCCTTCTCCAACTTCCTTGCCTCCCTCTGCAATCTCTTTTCCCGTTCACGTTTGGATTCTAATTCATTCTCGCTGCACGAATCGGGTTCAGGAGGGTCATCGTCTTCCAAAGTGTCAATTATCGACATCATATACCTCTGGGCAATCTTAGCTACAATAGCAATAGATATAGCATGCCAAAAATGTTTGCTCGAGTCTAAGAAATCACAAATGTGAATGTCTCTAATTTTTGCTTGTGGGTCCGAAGAGTCCAGCGTAACGAATAATGCTTTCGCCTGTATGTAAAGAATTCCATAAATGAGAGGAGGGCGTCGAAAGTATATTTCCGTCTCGCCTAATTCATTAACAATTGGTGACGGGCGTAATAGTGATCGACGCCATGATTCAGCATGGAAGCTCATTTGATCTTGCAGGCGTTTAGTTGTTTCCGCCGCCGGTGCATGCCATCGACCTTCAACAAGACAGAGAACCGGAATAAACTTTTTCTTATGGTAACCTCCATCCCTTTCAGTCCACTCAACGTATTTACCAATCCATTGCCGCATTTGCGCTTCAGGTGGGCCATTTTTACCATAGTATCTATCATGCACACGACGACCAAGGTAATGATTGAGGAATTCTAACATTTGAATGGCTGTACAATGATTAGTTGAAGAAAATCAGGAATCTAGAGACACTCACATTTACTACTCTCGCCTAGGAGGGCATTATCATCAGGACAAAACATGGCCTCAGGAACCGTTCGAAAATTCCGTTCCTTCGCCCAGTGCGGCAAAAGTCCTTCGTGTCCCATGTATTGAATTCTTTCCAATAAGAAGATTTCTTCAGGAGACCATTCGCCATCTGCTCGAGCTCTTTCCACTGTCTCTTTCGCCCTAGCTAACTCCGCGGCCTGTCTTGCAAGATATTCATTTACTTTTTGTTCGGCAGAAATCTCTTCCTCTTCCTCTTCCTCTTCCTCTTCCTCTTCTTCATCTTCATCTTCGTCCATATAATCTGGATTTATCGATCCGTCATCGCTATCAGTGACATTCCGCGAAGAAGATTGCTTTGGTGAGACCTCATCTCCAGAAAATATGGGTCCATCGGCCCCATCGTCTTCGCGGGAACGTTTGAGGGGATTCCTGGAGGGGGTCGCTCTGTCTTCTTGAGGCATATAATGCTGGTTCATGCGATCATATGCAAAGCTCAGGGCCCTTTTATTGTCTTGTGGTTCGGAGAGAAATTGATGTTCGTCATCAACTGCGCTGTGACCTGGAGTTTGAGGTCCCATTGTCCTACGACGTTTCGCAACGGGGGAAAGGTAATTGACAACGGCATCTTTGATTTTGAAAATTTGATCCATGCCAAGCCGTGGTAAGTTATTATTCGATTCCTTAGTGGCGTAATATTCTGAAGACGGGTTTTGTTATTAGATCAAGTCGCGTGTCGTATTGAATCGAGTCTCCTATTTCAACCTCAAGGCTGAAGTTGTTAGATTGTATTAAAATATTCCTAATCGATCTTGAAATTATGGGAGAATGAATTTATTGGAATATATGCGAAAAATTCTACGAAGAATCTCTTTCGTATAAAGGATTTTTGTCATTGAACTGTTGAATAATTTAGAACATTTCAATGTTGTCGATGCATTAATAGACAAATTATTCTCTCAGCCTTGGGAAATTATTATTGTGAAAGTCTGGGGTAGGGGATGATGATCCCTACTAGACACCGAGTGACCGACCGTACTCCGACTCCACTTACCGTATGTGGCCAAATGTCTAGGATACCGTACACCGTATCTTATCCAAGATAGTAAGGGTCCATCACAACTGTAGGTCACGTGACTTACGACAAACGACGACTCAACATGATAATGACACTGACACTGACAATGACAATGAGGATCCATCAAATCTAGCCGCTGGGATGTTGATGAAGTCATCAATAGCTAAAAATATAGCAGGATCAATGGCTAGTGTCATTTCATCATTCCATTTATCAATATCACATCAAACAAAGCATGTAATGTAATGTCATGTCATGTAATGTAATGAATGCATCGCTCGGTTTTCAATTTGAATCGTTCTTACTCATTGTCCTCCCTCTTTCTCCATCCCCATCCCCATCCCCATCCCTCTTTCCTCTTTCCTCTTTCCTCTTTCCTTCTCCCTCTATCTCCAGAGTCCGTCCTCCTTCATCCCTGAATTTACTACTCATTTGCTGAAACAGGCTTATATGGTTGAACATGATCTGTAATTCCACCCAATGCCGATAACCATACATCACCTGGGCCCCGCACCTTGTTTGGTCCTCCTGACAACATATTGTGAGGGAATCCGATATCAAATTCGTTTGTCTCTTCAATCTGTTTAACGTCATCATCACTCAACTCCAGTGACAAAGCTTCGATATTTCCCTTTAAATGCTCTACCTTTCTTCCCCCGACGATTGGACAAACAAAATTGGCCTTTTTCATCACATATGCTAGAGCAACACTGGTAATGCCTGTCTTCTTCTCGTCGGCAATCTTTTCCAGGACTTTCGATATCTTTAAGGCCGCTTCTGAAGCTTCACCCATCTTTCGACCTTCATCAGACTTGCGTTGCTCTTCGGTTTTGAAGTGGCCACTCCCCAATGCGCCCCAAGGAGCCAATCCCATTCCTTCTTCAGCAGCCATGTCGATAATGTCACGCTCAAAATCGCGATGCTCGGCCGACCAGCGTCCTTGATAAACGGAAAATGGACGGAAACCATGATCACGGGCATATTGATTGCATTTTGAAACAATCCATGCTGGCGTATCTGAAACCCCAAGGTATAGAACCTTTCCGGATAATACCAGTGTGTTCAATGACTGCATGAGCTCTGGGATTGAACAAGTAAAGTCCCACCAGTGAATATAGAGTAAATCAATGTACGATGTTCTCAACTTCTTCAAACTTGCTTCGACGGAGACATGGAGAGACTTCGTTCCATTTCCGCCATTATTGATGAAAATCTCCTTGTCACTATCTGTAGTTTTGAAAAAACTCGTGAACTTTGTGGCGATGACAAGCTGGTCTCGAATTCCACGCTTTTCAGCCCATTCACCGATCCATTGCTCGGACTCTCCGTTCTGATAATGGTTGGCTGTATCAATGAAGTTTCCTCCAACCGAATAGAAGTAATCCAGTATCTCCTCGCTTTGTTTTTGATCACAAGCTCCCATGAAATCCTTCCCTAGAAAGTCTTAGTTGCGTAACTATCAGACGGAGTCATCACCAAGTCTACTTACATGCGTTTCCGAAGTTTCCTGCTCCCAAGCATATAGGGCTCACTCTAACCGCTGCTGTGGGTGCCAGCATTCTATACCGGCCAAGAGCAGTCTTTGGGGGAGGGGGTAAACCGAAAGCCATTTTAATAGTTTGGAAATGATATGTACGAGGATGCAGGTTCAATTGAGAAGAGACGAGAAGTGTTTAATATTCTGTATATCTTGACATCTAGTTGGGAGGATGAATGTGAGTTTTTATAATGGAACTTTTTGGCATGATTCCATCCCCGAGAGAAACATTTCTAAGCATTCCCCGCTTTCAAACTCTCTTACAAACCTTCAATTCTTTAACACTGGTAACAGCATACGCACGTACTGGAGCTACAACCTTGCAAGGAGATAAGTTCACTACGTTATCCATGCCAGCTATTTTGGTACTCATGCAGCCAAAAAGTATACGACAGCCAGTTCCGAAACTCCGTGCTCATACCACGAGATAATTAAGTAATCCACAGGAGAATGACCTAATTTTCTCTAACCTCGAATTTCATACTTCCTGACAGCACAAGTACTCCGCACCGGTATGCATTGAATATTTGTGGATGCTGCTCAGCGTTAGTAACACATTTGACGGAAATGCCAATCATCCATTCCGGTTATGGTCGGATGGATGATACATCTCAGTGCACTATTATATACACTTCTGTGCTATTATAATTTTTGAACGTGATAGAACTACATCAGGTTTATAGAGAAAGATAAATACTATAAAATTTATTCAACTTTTACATATCTTTAGTTATTAAAATAATAAATCAGATTTATCAGGAATATAAAATATACCAAGTTTTAAATACTTTTTAAAATAAAAATAAAAATAATTCTTCTCAAAGCGGAAATCCTATATAATTATAAAAAGTTTAATTGATTATATTAATGTTTATTTCTAAAGATATCAAGTTACATTTTCATCTATCGTTGAATTGACTATTATTAAGTAATATAAGTGATTCTAGTATTATACATCTAAAATTTATCATTATTGCCCTTTATTTCTTAATCTGTACGGAGTACGTTGGCTAGCTATTAATAAATGCAACTAGGTACGGATCTCCCATAACTCATCTATGTGATAGGCCCATTCAAATCCGCTCACAAATATTTCTTAAACAGTCTCACGGAGTACCGTGTAGATTCAATGCACACGTTCCCATTAAAGAATAAGGTTGTGGATATATGATTGGATGAATTACGAAAGTGGATTGATAGATTGAAAATCTCCAATCAACTTTGTCGATTCTTCCACCGAGAAGAAGGAAATGATAAATGATCTTCTCTCAAGTGTGTGTTGACTCTGGGGAGCTATATCATCTCTTCGCACTCCATGGTTTTCCCGGTCAGCATCTTGCATATGGATCTGAAGTATTATAAATATAAGATTAAAAAATGTCCATGCTTGGCCCTTGCTACCAGCTTAATCAGAAAGGCGGTAACATGGGGCAGAATCATCAACAGAATCACTTCGATTCAATCTACACATCACTTCCTCTTTCAACTACCATGATATAATTGATATAAGTGATGTCTAAAGGCATCCGACATACAGTGTAGGATTACCCGAAACTTTGACACGCTTTATATTGATATATCATCGTGGCCACGAACAATCACATCAAACTTTTGATGTCAAAGATGCCTAGGTTTTAGAGCGCCTTCTATAAGATGAAAAACTTGTAGTGTGCTAGTCCTGGAACCTGTGATTGCGCATCATATTCTTCCGTCAATACAAGTGTGTATGACTCGTTCCTCTGCAATTTTTCGATAAAAATACAAGTTTTCTTACTCCATGTCTGAGCGATCATCACGTGGATGTTTCCCGAATTCATCGGAGCTAGAGTCACGTTTTGTCGTCCATTCCAGTTCTCTATACTCTGTCTAATACACGGTTCCAACTCCTCGAGAGGATTTATTCATCATGGTGTGATTGGGCTAAGTATGGTTATTGAGAGGTCCAAACAATATCGGGGTCAAAGGATCCTCACTTCCATTTCCCCTCTCACCATAACGGAAACAACTACCACTGTTTACATTGATTCCTATCCCACTTCGCTTCCATGTCTCCAATGCGCCTTCAAGTCTATATATAAGATATATCCCTTGCCGTGTTTTTAAACATTTCCGTCATGTCACGTGCATCGATGAATATACCTACCTAACAACAGGCTAAATTGCTTTCCACCCCACCCCGGCTTCGGAAGTGGCCCATTCTCGAAGTAGGAAAGCTTACAAGAAAGCTTGCAAAGTCTAAAGTGTTTCCCCCACTTCTTGAACTTTTCTACTGCTCTTCATATTCTCAACGACACATATTGAGTGAGATCTTTCTTCACATTAATCACTTTGCTTATTAAATCCTTACTCTTATCAAATTTCACCAGAGGGTGTGGCACATGCAAGCGGTTGGGAACAACTATGCAGAGGAAAGCTGCTTAAAAAACCGCGACGTCACTGCATCTACTGCAAACGATCGGTCTCGAATCGAAAATTTGGAAAAATCCGGGGTAAACTTGAATTTACATAATTCGGAAACTCTCGACAACCACAAGCTAAGCACAATCGACTTTAATAACAACCTTGAGACGGGGATTGCACAAAATGACTCCGATCAGCCATCTGATGGAGCTTCAATTGACGACGATGACAAAGATGATTTTCCAGAAGGGGGTTTGAAGGGTTGGTCTGTGGTTGTGGGATCATTCTGTGGCTCATTTTCCGTCTTCGGAATTCTCAACTGCAGTGGTATTTTACTAGAGTATTTCAGTACTCATCAATTAAAGGAATATGATTCTGGTCAGATCGGATGGCTTTTTGGATTGTCACTCTTTTTGACCTTCTTTTGTGGTGCACCAATTGGTCCTATCTTTGATGCATATGGTCCAAGAGCTTTGATCTTTAGTGGAAGCATCTTATTGGTTTTATCCATGATGTTACTTGGATTATGTACTCGTAAGTCACACCGACACCATAAACCTATGTTTACTTATTAATTGTCCCAGAATATTGGCACTTCTTTGTGGTGTATAGTCTCCTCAATGGTATTGGTGGATGCTTGGTAAATACTCCATGTATCGCTGCTATAGGCCATTACTTTCTCGTCAAGAGAGGTAACGCCACCGGTATTGCAATGACGGCTGGAAGTATTGGTGGAATTATATTCCCTCTTATGTTACAACGCCTTTTTCCAACGATAGGTTTTGCGTGGGCAACTCGAATCCTAGGATTCATTCTCGTCTTCCTTCTCATATTCGCAAATCTGCTCGTGCAAAGTCGTCTTCCTAGAAAGGCACTTCCTAGCATAGGTAGCATTCTTCCAGATTTCAATGCTTTTAGGGACCCACCCTTCTTATTCCTCACCATAGCAATCTTCCTCCTCGAGTGGGGAATTTTTGTCCCTCTGACATATATCACACCTTATGTTATCTCAAAAGGTCAATCAACATCCTTTGGCTTTTACATTGTTTCCATCCTCAATGCTGGTTCATTCGTTGGTCGATTCGGAGCAGGTTGGGCAGCCGACCTTATTGGTCGTGTGAATACACTTATTCTCTCGGTGGCTCTCTGTGTGATAACATGTTTAGCACTTTGGTTACCAGCCAGCGATTCCACAGCCATGGCCGTCGTTTTCGCCATCACTTTCGGATTTGTCAGTGGTAGTAACCTTAGTCTGAGTCCAGTATGCGTTGGACAAATGTGTAAGACCAAACACTATGGTCGTTATTACTCGACATGCTGGATGGTAGTCGCGTTTGGCACTTTGACTGGATTGCCTATTGCTGGACAAATTCTCACAGCCAGTGGAAACGATTATACCTGGTTGATCGTTTTTGCCGGACTCTCCTATGCATTGGCAGGATTCCTCCTCATTGTTGCGAGAGTTTTGGCGGTGGGATGGTCAATTCATACAAAGTACTAGTTGAGATTGGTGGTTTGTGAAGCAAATGAGTGCTCATCTGTTCACTTACCTTGAAAATTCACATATGTGGATGTTTCCCTGAATTATTGGAGATGGTCAGAAATAAGTGTCACCTTTGTTTGGATTGTTGGACACTTGTTACGAAAACTCTTGAAATATCTGATTCTTGTCACTCATTTTCTCTATATTTACACACGATTTTGCAAAAGCCATGAGAAGGGAGATGTTAAACTCTCGGAGGTCCTAGGTGGTGCCATGGTAAATCCCCTGAGAAGGACTTAACTTATTATTTATGGTATTACATATCTGATATCTGATTTCCCTCATTAGAATAATCAACCCTATATACAAAACAATATTACACATTCATTTATTTATGTTTATGTTTTATATCTTATTAAGACTGTGTTTTTGTCCCTTGTAAGATTATGTTACAGGTAATAATTACTAGATAACTTCTTACTTCATAACTACATATTGCTGCAGGATTTGAGAAATATACAAGTAATATAGGCTAAGATTATCTAGTAAATATTTATTTCTTGATCTCGACAGACTAGATGGATAAATAAATAAATAAATTCTCAATTAATATCACAGTATAATACACACTCCGTACTCAAGAATTTCAATATCTTTCCTCATCCTCCAAAGACCAAATCTTAAATCTCAAATCTTTTCAACACAATCCTATCCTATCATTCTTCTGACTCATCAGTATACGTTTGATTCAATTCGACTCATCCAAGCATCTATTCTATTACTTTCTGAATTTATCATTTCATATCCTATCCTATTTTATACAGAATAATCCCATCAGCCTTCTAATATCACAATCTTAATCCAATTCTCCATTTCCTTCATTCCATCCCATCCTTTCCTTTCTACTCCTTGCACTCCTTTCTCGCTAATCTTCCCATCCCTTCCCCCCATCCTCATGAATCCTACACCCAAATAAAATCAAAAGATCCTACAAAAATTGAACTTCCCTCTCTCCCTCTCTCTTACTCCCACTCAGCCCTATCAACCCCATCCATCAATAAAAATCCCTCAACCTCTCATCCTTAACCTCAAACTTCAAATCCAAATTCCCTACCAAAATTCCTTCTCCAAAAACTCCTTTATACCCATCCATTCATTCATCAACGAAATCTACCCGTCAACCTCAAACCCGCACCATCCCTCCCCCTTCCCCCCTACATACAAAAAAGCAAAATATCCCCTTCGAAAACACTTTTATATCCCCCTATCCATCTATCAATCCACCTATAAACTTCTAGACATAATCCCCAAACAAGAATCAAGAATCAAGAATCAAGAACTACCACAAAATCAAGCAAACTCTAGATTCCCATAAGAAAAAATAATCAGCTTTATTTAAGAGAGGAACCGCTGTTTATGGATTATATTATAATTAAAAAAGAAAGAGAAAGATTAGTTTTCTAGAGGTTTTAGAGCTAGAGGGCTATAGACATACTCATCCATATACATATATATTTATTTAGTTTTAGGAATATGACTAACGTGGTTTATCAGCGAGTCGCCACTTTTTCAATATCTTTTATCATTCAATTTCAAGACGCGATATTTCAACGAATTATTATGGAAATACAATCAAAAGAGGCCAGAATAATCTTAGCTATTGAAGCTATTCAAAAATCAAAAAATCTTACAGTTGGAAAGACTGCGAAAATCTACAAAGTCCCTCGAACTATATTATGAGATAGAATAGGCAATCGAATTCACAGAATGGAAACTCGAGCAAATAATCTTAATTTGATTGAAAAAGAAGAAGAGGTGCTTATTCAGTATATTATTGATATGGATGAAAGAGGATTTGCATCTAAATTAAATGATGTAGAAAATATAGCGAATTATATTCTCGAATCAAGAGATGCAAAGAGAGTTGGAAAGCTTTGGGCTTATTGATTTGTAAAACGTTGTACAAAATTAAAGATAACGTGGTTTATCAGTGGGTCGGACATATCAGTGGGTCGGACACTTTTTCAATATCCTTTACTCTCTCACTTCAATACGCGTTTATTCAATAGTTATTAATGGAAATTCATTCAAAAGAAGCACGAATAGTCCTGGCCATTGAGGCTATCGAATTGAACAAAAGATTGACGATTCGAAAGGCTGCTAATTACTATAGTGTGCCTCGATCTACATTATTCGACAGAATTCAAGGTTGTAGTAATATAGCTGAAAGTCGACCAAAAAGTTATAATTTGACTGAATTAGAAGAGGAGGTGCTTATTCAATACATTATTGATATGGATGATAGAGGATTTGCCCTTAAATTAAATAGTGTGGAAGATATGGCGAATTATATGCTCGAAACACGGGGTGCGAAGAAGGTTGGAAAGCTCTGGGCTCATCGCTTTGTAAAACGACGTTCAGAATTAAAGACGTGTTTTAATCGTGTCTATGACTTTCAAAGAGCTCTTTGCGAAGATCCAGAGCTTATTGAAGAGTGGTTTCGATTGGTATCGAATATGCAGGCGAAATATAGGATTCAGGATTGCGATTTCTACAACTTCGACGAAACAGGCTTTATGATAAGTATAATATGCCCTGGAATGGTTGTAACTAGTGCTGAACGAAGTGGCAGAAGCAAGGCAATACAACCAGGCAATCGAGAGTGGGCTATGGTAATTATATGTGGTAATGGAGAGGGTGAAACTATACCTCTATTTCTGATAGTTCAAGGACAAGTTCATCTTTCCAATTGGTATACCGAAACCGATTTTCCTGTGGATTGGGTTATTAAATCTACTTCTAATGAATGGATAAATAATGAGATAGGGTTAGAATGATTAAAGCATTTCGATAAACATACTATTCGTCAAAGAAAGGGCAAATATCGAATGCTAGTATTGGATGGGTACGAAAGCTATGAATCAATACCTTTTCAATCATATTGCAAATCAAATGATATTATATGCCTCAAATTACCACTATATTCAAGTCATTTAATTCAACCACTCGATATTGGGTGTTTTGGCATACTCAAACGTTTATATAATTGTCAAATTGAAGGATTTATCAAAGTTCATATTAATTATATTATCAAGATTGAATTATTTATAACCTTCAAAGCTGCATATTTACAATCATTTACTATTCAGAATATGAAAGCTGGTTTTCGAGGAGCAGGTCTAATACCATTCGATCCTCAATCTATACTTTCAAAACTAGATATTAGGATTCGTACTTCTACCCCTTTATCTACCTCTTTGGAACTTATCAACTCCTGGATCTCTCAAACCCCTTATAATCCAATTGAAGCTCTCTTACAATCAACTCTAGTAAAAGCTCGAATAATTCGTCATCAATCAAGCTCTCCTACACCTATATTTGAGACTGTACAAGCTTTAGTTAAAGGTACAGAGAGATTAGCACATGAAGTTACACTTTTGAGTACTGAGAATCGTATGCTTCGAAGAGCAAATGAGGTATTAAGTAAACGTCGACGTGCTAAAAAATTCAACTACGTAATGGAGGAGTACTTACTGGACAAGAAGCTGAAGATATATTATCACAATAAGAGATTGATAATCAGATTCAACATGATGAGTGTCAAAATAGGGGAAATTTTAATAGGGAATCATCTACTAGTCGATGTTGTAATAAGTATGGAAAGACTGGTCATAATTCAAGAACTTGTCAGAATAGTATAATAGATCCTAGATTATTAGATTCTTGATAGTTTCAATCAATTGATTTAATTGTTGTTAAATAATATGGGTTTGAAATGATAAATTGAGGTAAAAGTGGCCCGCTCGGTGATATGGCCCGCTCGCTGATAAACCACGTTATATGAATTATTTTAATTAATTAGAAAATAATAAGAATATTGAACTGGATCATCAAAAGTCACCTGCAGAAACAATTTAACATTGTCAATTTTTCATTTGTTTTCAGCTCCATACACATGAGATGTAGAATTTGCCAGATGGCTGGACGAGGTAGTTACCTCCCATCCTGATATGCAAATATGCGCCAATTTTTTTTTATCGCCAACTCTAGGTATCTTAATCTCTTGCGTTCTCCTCCAATTGACTCCTCCCTGGTATGGTATCTGTCCATGTAACCATTTTTGGTCGTCTCTCGATGAACCATAAATTCAAGCAGACTACCATACGCCTTACCAATATTTTGATACGAAGAGCTTTTCAAATATAACAGCCTTTCAATTGTAAGTGAAATAATCAGATCCTTCCGCCGTTGAAGAAAGAAATAATGAAACTAAATGAAGTCCGCGAAGAGTATCATTCTTTGCAGCAAACACTAACACAATGAAGATTGAGCTCAGGATTCTATGGCCGATCAAACTCATCAGCATCATCCTTCGCAATGGCATCCATGACCATTTCCTCAGCATCAGGATCATCTTCGGTTGGTGGCGGTCTCTCATTAGGAACTGTTAATGGTTAGCACAATCTTGGAGACTTTGAAAGTTCGAAAATTTACCAGGTTCTTTCCAACCCAACATCTTCTCATTAGGAAGATAAAGGTGAAAAGAAGGAAAGACATCGATGACTTGATCGAAATATTTGACACCAATGTTGAGCTCATGAACAACCACTTCAAGCTTAAGGCCTGGATAGCAATGTTGTAAAATTTCATCCTCAAGCCAGAACTCTTCAACGGAATCATCGACTACTTCATTTCCATCATCCGTCTTGTCTTCATAATCATAGCCAGGACCCTCCCAAGACTTGCACAGCAGTTTGCCGACTGGCTTTAGAGCACCCAATCCTCGGGGGTCTTTGACACGAGAGAATTCTGCAACAATGTTTGCCGTAGCAAGATGGACATCTACCACCTCAATAAATTTATTTTCGATGTCCACGACCTGAGCATCACCCTTCTTGGCTTTCTCAAAGTGGCTCTTGTTACCAAGGAAGGCTACAATCCCTCCAAAGACAAATCGACAAACAGGTAAGCTTAGTAAGGGTACGTTGGTGCACCATTGCTCCGAGCCATCTTCAACATCAACCCATGCAGCGTTGATCTCCATATGCTGCTTGTGGTATTCCCCGAAAAGGGTTGAGGCGGCTACGTTAAAATCGCCGGGAAACATTTGCCGGAGATATCGGATTGAATGGTATTCCCTCTCGGCTATGTCACATATCTTTCGTGCGGCCATGACATCTTTGGTGTATTCTTTACATACCTCATGAGCCAAGACGTAGTTTAGGAAGTTCCTAAGCACTGCGCAATACATCTTAACCCCGTCTTCTCCATCGCCCATTATTTTAGGTGCTCTGTAAGAACTATGGCACTGTCAGTATATTTGGCTATGTGATTAGGTTTTGCGAACGTACAGGAAGCCCTTGACAACACCTTCCCAATCCACAACCCAATTTTCAGTATCTGAAGGGTCGTAGTATTTGGAATTGCTAGACCGAACAAAGTCGGTAGCTTGAATGGCGGCAATCTCTGCTGCAGTGGAGTTCTCTAGAGTTTCTTTATCAAGACCACCATTAAAAGTTTTAGTGCCGACTTCGATTCCACCTAAAGCAAAATACTTTGTAAGAATATTCGAACGAACGCTATCGAGCTTGCGTCTGTAGAAGTTAAATTATTAGCCAACTGTTCTACGCATGACAAGATGTGTGAAGACCTACCGTGCTCTGTATCGCTGAATACAGGTCTGAATACGCCTTTGTCTGTCGTCAGTCTATGCAACTTGCCTCAGGAATGATGACATACTCGGCAAATGACCGGCCTCTAAAAACATGTTAGCTAAGTTGACTGAGAGGTAAGGAAGTGCTTACTCGTGGTAGACATCACGTTCCTCTTCATATTCATTAGGGGTGAGAGGCGGGTCGGCATAAAATTCTATGATGTCACATTAGTGATGTATTTAGTACCATGCATGACTGATCTTGCATACCTTCAAATCCTGTTGGAGCTGCCTTTTTATTTGCTCCACTCTTCTTCTTCTTCTTCTTCTTCTTGGGCTCACCGTCTCCACTTCCAGTAACTTTTAGACCAGCTTCTGCGCCTTCTTTAACTGCTCCTTCTTCCTTCCTCTCGGGCTCTTCGGGGGTAACAGGGAGTCGAGCGACAGGAGTGCCAGTGCCAGAAGCTGGCGTAGCTGATAAGTGGTCTGGGGTGGGAGGTGGAACCCTTGGGGGAGCTGGTGGTGTCTTTATACCGGTTGCGATCTCTGGAACGTTGATAAAAATGCCCAGATCCTCGCTTGAGTTTGATTTAGATCGGATAGTCAACAACTGATCCCTTGTATAACGCTTCCCATCTTTAATCCCAGTTTCGTCCGAAGCACCGTCAACACCTCTTAAAGCGGTCAAATCGAGCTCGCTGATGGCACGAGATAACTCTTCAGGTTCGGGACCTACAGAGTGGGGCGTCATGATATTGAGCTACCTACCCAGATTGATGGATTAGTATCGCAACCAATAGTTTACAAGAACCACTTGGTGGAGAGAAAGTATAGGTGCAATTGCGATTTTGGTTGGTCGGACCGTAACACAAGAGGAAAGCAGTATAGAAGGCTGTGCAGGAGGGTAGAGTTTGGGTACACTACCTTGATATTTTTGGTTGTAGTGGGGGGAGAAAGTTGCGAGGTTGATTTGAAAAGACAATTGAGAAGTCGATCGAAGCCCAATGTGATGAGTCAGTCAAAGTGAACGCGATATTCCGGGCTGATAGTCCCAAGGTGAATTAAATAAGCAAGAAGGCTTCAAGAAGGCTTTCAGGAAGGGAGTAAAGAGGTAAAGAGAGTCAATATTGCGGGGATTGGGGAGTGAACAAGGAGTGCAACATTGATGGATTTGACTGTGCTGAGGAATTGTTTGAAACTTAGGTTGGCAATCAGAGAATTTAGTAATACTAGACAATTAATACAAAGGTGAAGAGAGTGAATCACTTTGATTAAACGGTGAGTGTGTGGGTGTGTGTTTGTGTGGTGTGTGTGAATGTAGCAGCTGATGATGTGGGTGTGATGACTGAGAATCGAGACTCTTGAAGCATAAAAGAATGAAAACCATCGGCGTGTGCTTGGTATGGAAGGTGCAAACAAGTCTTTTCTGATTTGGTTAACCATTTTTTTAATTTTTTATTTGCTACCTTCTGTAGCGCGCAAACAAGCAAGTAAACAAGCATTAAATCACCTCAAAATACCACCACCGAGTACCTTTTGGTACTGTTGAAGGTCCTGATTGCGGGGAAATGCTGATGGTGAGTTAGTATCATTTCATTCAGGTTTCCCTTTTCCCTTTTCCTTATTGGCTTCTGCTATCCTCTTGATATCTCAAAATCGGTCCCTACCCGTCCGCCATGAAGAATGCCTCGTCCACCCCTACGACATATCCTCTGGCCAAAGATTTGTTCTGGTTCTGGTCCTGCCCATTGCCATTCTCACACTACTGCAAGATGGCACATCTTCGCATATGAGCAGTTGAACCTTATTCGTTCTCCACCGGCTGTCTGGAAGGTTATTAACGAGGCACTCCATGATATGATGAGGGTACATTGCGGTGGCAGTGTCGATGACCTTGCGGAATCAGCATGTATCGTGCGTGCATTTGTGCAATTACGGGTCTGAAAAGAACTTCTCTGCTGATGAGGGGGCCCGCTATACTTCCCTGATAAGGAAAGGTTCCAGTGTTTTCTACCGCTCGGCAAGGTTAGTTCCCGCGCGAGAGTGACCCTGGGATCATCTTGCGCGCCCAATGTTAAATCTGATTAATGTCCATTTCACTCCTTACAGACATTGAAACTTAATAATTATTGAAAGCCACGACAAAACGTCTCACCCTAACGCCCCCTTACCAACATTCTTACAATACTCAGCCTACTCTTCGCAGGAGGTTTCTTTTGTTCCTAGCAAAGGAAGTCAAATAGAAGGACGATCGCCCCCGGGTGTACCTTCTGTTGGGTACCTATATTCTAATACATTTCTTTACGATAATGATAGTTACTTGATCCTTCGCGACAATCAAAAAATACAATGGCCAAACCACTTCCCATTTGTGCCGATTTGATCGATTGCAATTATGCTGTTGCAGGGCAGTAGGTGCCAGATTTACCCCGATTTATTAGATTTACTTTTTAACTTTCAAGCAGTGACGGCACTCTTTCTGATATCGACGGGGAATTGTTCATTAAACCTTGTACCGATACCGAGATCGCATTTTACAACGACACCATAGCAAACCACCAAGACTTTTATGATTTTATGCCAGAATTTCTTGGAACCTTACAGTTGGATGAGAATCAGAACAAAGCGATTGAAGAGAAGGCGGCCGAGTTGATCGCACAGCATTCAATACCTGAAGCTTCTTACCCAGGCAGGACAAATGGCAAGAGAATTGTTACCAATCAAGCCGTGGTTCTCATGAATGCATCGCACGGATTTGTAAAACCTAATATCCTCGATGTCAAACTCGGTGTACGATTATGGGCAGACGACGCGCATCAAGAGAAGAAGAAAAGATTCGACAAAGTTACTGAACAAACCACACACAAAGACTTCGGGTTTCGCATCGCAGGTATGAGAGTATGGCAGGGACCGGATGCCAAGGGCGATGATATAGATGAGGATGGTTATAGAATATATAATAAAGACTACGGCAGGTTCGAGTTAAACAATGGCAATGTTCACGAGGCATTTAAGAATTTCATCTTCACAGAAGCGGCTGGCATCGACAAAGAGTTAGGGCAGTTAATATCGCAGGCTTTTCTTATGGATCTGAGAAGAATACAAGATGTTTTGGAAAGTCAGGAGAGCAGAATGTACTCCGCCAGTCTTCTGTTTGTTTTTGAGGGTGATGGAAAAGCATTGCGCACGGCAATGGAAGAAGCCAGCCGAACCCCTCCTCCAACAACAATTGAACATGCTTCCTCATCGTCCGGAGAAACCCAATCATCCTTTGAAGAGGAGGAAGATGAAGACGAAGATGACATTGAAGAGGGGTCTTTTCCAAAGATATATGCTCTAAAGGTCATAGACTTTGCTCATGCGCAGTGGACTCCTGGTCTGGGACCGGATGAGAACGCTCTTGTAGGAGTACGTAGGGTAGGGGAAATCCTGGAAAAGCTGGCGGAATCTTGATAGTCACGATGGTCGTAGTGTCCAATGGCACGTCGAGTACACCATGCTACAGGAACGCTCTTGTCGCACTGGAGTTATAGGAGTCAAGGGCTTATTATATGCACGGCATAATTACGGAGTTGCTTGGACAGGACATACATCTACACATGAGCATGGCTGTTTATTAAGATACCCCCCTGCAAATGGACATTTAGAAGTTTGCATATGCAAAGGAGCATATGCATTGATTTTGCTTTTCCTTCTCATTTTACGGTTTAGATGTGGTTCAAAATATATCTCCAACTTTTGGTTCCGCTGCCATCTTGTATCTGTGTCCGCATGTGAAGGTATGAGAAGGTTAGCTGTGTTTGCCGAGATTGTACATCTCAGCCCCATGACACGACGTGATGGTGGCTTTGAATGTGTTGTCTACTTCAGCCAAGCCCGCAGCCCCGATATCTAACATGCTGTCATGGAGCGCTGATCTGCAGTGATATGTGGCGAAAGGGACGGTCCGGATATCTTTCTTTGATGTAAATAAACGCTTTTAGAAATATTTACCGAAGTTTGACTTCGAAGCTGTGAGATATATACTTAGTTATAAAGTCGGCGGTGACATGGTTCTTTGATGGCTAAATATGGGCATTCTAAGCTGTGTACTCGAGTATAAAGCTGAGTATTCCCATTCAGTAAGGGACTTCCGTTCTGGTCTTTAGTAATTTGCTGGTTATAAGTTTAGATTTAATAAATAATACGTACGTAAAGTGATGTACTCGAGTATAACAATCCTAATCTGTTATCGTGATGAATTTCACATGAGAAACACGTCGCGTTAATACCGGTTAGTTCCACTGTAAGGCTGAGAAACCCCTGCAACGGGAACCTTTGAATCCCCATATCTTTTATCTTTGAACCAGAGCTCTGTGATCTTAAGCTTCCCTAGCCAAAATCTTTACTCCATGCTCCACAACTTTCCGACGTAACTATTAGATATTAGGTAGATTATGTCGATACCGGGGCTAGGTCATGCGGCTCCTACTGTAAGTAATTATTTCATTCAAGTCTATAACTATGATCATCTATTAATTGTCTACAGAGAGCTGCAGCGCCAGCAGCTGTCTCACATACGAATATTCATGAGCTCCAAGCAAACTCTGAATGGCGCTTCGAGGTCGCCATAGGGTCGAGTATTGATGTGAAGGTATGATTATCTTCTTTGATGAAATAACATCGATGGTTCTAATCGATATATCTATCCACAGGTTCTTTCAGGCACCGCAGAAATCTTCGGCACAGAACTCGCTCTCAATCATACATATACATTTCGCGGCACCAAATCATCCATCTACACCTGGCACGGCTGTCGCCTCGAAGTAACCGGACCATGAGAAGAATATACCGCCGAGGAAACCCCCATGGTATCTTACGTCAACA